GTAGCGTCTACCCGTGGAAAAGCTCCCTTCCTCCTCCTTTAATCCCATCCCCCCCCCCCCCCCTCCCTTATCCCAGCGCCGGGACACCAGGAAGAAGCAACTCACTCGGAGTTACACTGGTGAGGACGACAGAGAGAGGGAGCAGAGGGAGAGTCAGGATTTACTCGAGGCTCCCTCTGGCTGATAGGCGACAGGAAGATAGATCTGCTGCCGTTCAGTGTAATACGAAGGCAGTGGAGCTGTAAACCGAGATACTTTTCCAACTTGCGTTCTCCCTCGACTCTCTCTCTTGGGTATCGACGCAAAACTCCGTACTGATATCCATATATAAGTCAGCCCTTCCTGTACGTACCGTAAGGATGAATACATACGGGAGTACGGCCCACCGTAGGCTCCGTCTCTTCTCCTCTGCATCCTCACGTGGCATCTATAATCTTCTCCTTCGTTCTTCAAACCTCGAATTGCTTTTTCTCTCCCTTTGCTTTTCTTTTTCTTTTGCTGCCTTTTTCTTCTTCGATATTTGCAAAGTAAATAATTAAACAAAATTAAAGAACCGCAAGAAATCCACCGGAGCAAAAAAAGCCTCTTCGGGACTGGTGCTTTTCTCACTTATACTCTGAGCCTACCCAATTTTATTCTTTAGCTTCTATCATTTTTTTTTTTCAGACTTGATTTCTTCACCTTCTTCTCCTCTTCCTGCATCGACGAACCAACCGTCAAACCTGAGGGAGATTTGAACGAGAGACATCGAAAGACATTGAGAGACACCGGGAGAATCAAGGTGAGTCTGCTTTGTATCGTGTGAATTCTCGTTGTTGTTCTTGATCTAGTTCCAAGTACTGGGCTTCATTCTTCAGCCCTCAATGCGTTGGCTATTATTATTGCTGCCTGCGGCCTGTAACAGCTAGATCTTTTTGTCTCTCTGCTTGCTTTAACCGTCGATATTTGTCTATGTTGCTCTTTGTTGTCGTTCTCGTGCTTTTATATCGCTGTCTCTCTACTTTGCTGCCCTCTGCCCCTCTCTTTCACGGGGTATAACAACCAGCTCCCTTTCTCTTTTTCTTTCGTCCTGGCCAGCAAACAGCAGACAGAGAACAAGCTAGCAAGCGCTGTGTGTATCGTCAGGTTTATTCTCTTTCTGCATCAATTGTATCTTCGCTCTTCCGGGTGTTTGTTTTGGGAGTCGGAGCTCCGCGGGCGTTCGTTTTCGCAAAGATACCATCGCTAACAAGACCAACAAAGCCAGTAGTTCATACAAACACAACTAGGAACGGCGTGCTTGGGTATCAGCCTGTATATAGATACATCCGCGATATCCTCGGACCCAGCGGCTCACACGCTTTGCGCCGACAGGCTGACAGGCGCTGATGGAGACATATCACGGACATGTCCGCACACCAGCGGACGCGATTATTCTGTTCGAGGCATGCCGTATTGGGCTATTGCCCAGAGTTCAGAGAAGGCTATCGGAAAAGGAGAGACAGTCAATAAAGTCGGGATCGGTGTTTGTCTGGGATGAGCGGGAAGCTGGCATGCGAAGATGGACAGACGGCAAATCTTGGAGCGCCAGCAGAGTATCCGGGAGCTTCTTGACATATCGGGAGATGGAGGGCAAGCGTGGAGGCAGCCATGCAGCTCAGGCGTCGTCGAGAGCCGGAAAGACGCCCGACAGCAATAGGGGAAGCGACGAGGATGGAGGCGAAGGGGGCGAAGAAGGACCTGACGGATACCGATATAAGCCAGACGGCCTCATGAAACAGTCGTTCAGCATAACAACATCGACCGGCCAGCATCTTCACTTGATCAGCTACTATGCACGATCCCATCCGACCGTTCCTGGCCTTAACCAGCCCTCAACCGACCCGTCGTTGCGACATATCCAGCCACAGAAGGGCCTATACCCGGAGTCGAGCGTCAACGACCAGCAGAACCTTCCTGTTGTCACCCGTGGGCCTATGGCGGGAACCCCTTACTCGGTACCACCTTCTATACCGCATTATGGTCGCCCAGCGGCTGCTCATCCCCATGGTTACTCGCCAACCTCGTATAACTGGCCATCGGCCCCCATGAATGGGCAGCCGCATCCTGCACAACCGCCATATACCGGAAGCTATCTACCACCGCTCCCAGGCGCCAGTGGACACCCACAGTATCAGTACGCTCAACATCCTCATCTACCGCCTTCCCAGCCGGCATATCCACCTCAATACGACCGTCCTCACCCTGTTGATGTCCAACCGCCCTCTGCTCCTCCCCATGGCAGCGGCAGCCATAATGCCAGCCCTCGCGGATACCCGTACTACACTGCATCTCAAACCCCCAGGCATCCACAGCCTAGCCATATGGGGCCTGGAGAGAACATCTATCAGCCGGGTAAAGTAGACCAGCGTCTCAGCATTTCTTCCTCTGGTTCCCACTCACCAAGAGAAGCAATGAGTTCGCTGCATAACACGCCGATGAAATCCCCCGGCCTGTCGCATATCAACCGCTCACCGCAATCGTCAAACCCACAAAACGGCCATGTCCACGGTCTTGACGCAACATCCAGCTCTTCTGCCACTGCAGTTCCAAGCATCAACGCCCTGATGAATGGCCCACCGCTAAACGACAGTGCCCGTATGCCAGGTTACCATCAAGGAGTCCCAGCTCCAGGCATTGGTGGAGAAGGGCCTAAAGACATTCCTAGCGAAAAAATTGGATTTGGCGAAGATATGAGAGCCCTTCGACAACTTGATAGGGTGTTTACTGCCTAGCTTCAACGCCTTTTTTACCTCCGTCACAGCTCGACTGGACTTGCCTTTTTCACTCCCTGCTCAACAGTGACCCTTTCATACGACGTACGATGTTACTGCTTTTCCCTTCTCTCTGTCTGACATTCGTTGCTAAGTCCGAATCTGTCTGATGTGGCCATCTCTTTACTACTTGTGACGCCCCCTTCTCGATACTCCATTTATTGTCCTTTCTTCTTCTTCTTCTTCTTCTTCTTCTTCTTCTTCTTCTTCTTCTTCTTCTTCTTCTTCTTCTTATTCCTATTCGGCATATTCGTTGCGGTTCCAAGGGTTGATTTTAGCATTTCAAGTAAGGTGGTGGGTCATTAAATGGGTCATTATTTGTTTCTTTTTTTTTCTTCATTTGCTTTTGTTCTCATTTGCTTCATTCCTCGATTGTTGTCTTTCACATGGGGTTTTATCACGGTCACAAAAAGTTATCGGACTAAATTCGGACGGGCAAATGGAGTTGACCGCTGTTTTCTATCACTGTTTTTCTTCTTCTTCTCTTTTCTTTTTTATGCCCCTCGTGTTCTGTGTATTCTCGTTCTATACCATATCTGATGTTTGTCCCGATCGTGCTGAGTCTTCCTAACCTTCTTTTCCCGACGAGATATAATAAACACTTTGTTAGTCCCGTCAGCCAATTTTCCTTGTGCATCGCTTAATCGACAAGCCAGAGAAAGGAGTCAACCTTGTGCTAACGGGAACGGCTGGCTTGTATGATAAGCATTCTTGCTCCTCCACCTTCCCGTCTTCCGCCAAAGCGTAACAATGCCTAAAATCAAACAAGCGTAAAAGCTGCATTGCTAGCCATCTTGGCCATGTAAGGATGTGGATGGCGGACATACATATTCTCTCCCTTCTTTTCTTCTTCTTCTCCCTTTCTCATCATCCGATACATCCTTACCCACTCTCTCCCCTGTCCATTATGTTCAGGCAGCCTGCAAATCAGCGACTATCAAATGGGCCTGACGGTTAAAGTGCGCTATGCCAGAGGGATTGGCCCTGCGATAATAGCCTCCCTGGCTACCAGAAAAGAAAAGAAAACACCGTCCCAGCGATCGACAGCACCCTCTTCAAGGGTCCTAAACGTTTTCTACCTATCAAAATACAAAGAGCAAGAAACGGACAGCTAGAAAACTAACAGTCAAGGGTGGCGGGAGGCAGGGGAACCAAGGACGGCAAGGCAAGGAACATGGGGCTTTATGGTATGAAGGTATTTTTAACCATCGCATGCCCATGTAGGGTCTTGCAGGATGCAGATGGTAATCCTGCCTGTACTTTTATCATCGGCTCCAAGGCAGCATGATTCCGTGTGCTGTCTGAAACTGGGTATATGTGTTTCCTCTTCACAGGCCTCTCCTATTTGGACTGCCCAGGAGATGCTATTTGGTAGTTGTCAAACTATTGGTTATTAGCAGTGGCTTTGCTTTTTAGTGATTCCAAATGCCAGCCAGTCTATTCTTTAACGTTTATTGATTTGCCAGCTCAGCGAGAGAACTGTTCGACGTGCTTCGCCAAGTGAAGATATAGATGCCTCTTTACGTATCACGGATGGAATGCGTACCAAGGTCAGTATCCAAGGCCCAGACAATGACCATGACCAGGTAAACGATGATGATAACCGTCGATAGGTGAAGCGTTGGCGTTAAATAAATCAGCAACCGAAGCGTTTCAAGGATGAGCCTTAAATTTGGTAGCATCTAAACGTTGGTAGTCCGTCTGGCTGCATCGATATAATAATAATGTTAAGATGCTGCAAATCCTTTTGGATAGATTCAACAACGGTGATTTCAGGTCATCTAGCTAATTAATAAATACAGAGTACTCGTAAATAGAATCTAGGCATAAAAATAATATATATTCATCTTCTTCGCTTGCTTGACACCTATTAAGAATGTATATATGGTGGTAGGTTCAACCACGAGGAAGTTGGCTAACAAGTCATCTACATGATACACGAGAACTTCGGAATTTAGATGGTATACAATAATCTAGTGCCTTTTACAAATCCAGCTAATGAGTTGAGTGTCTTCTGGATTATATTAACCCTTGGTATAATAGAGGAAATCATTCCATTGACTCCTATTAAACACAATATAAAGAAATACAGTCAAATTGCTCATCGAATCATTCTATAAAAGTCGCTAGAAAATATAACATAAGGTATCACATAGATATATACTAATACCGTGTTAGTTAGGGTATATAGCTGTAGGCCAGCTCGGTGCTCGCTGTATATACGGTGAACATGTGCAAAAAGAAGAGCAAAGCGGAATGGCCAAACCTATACATCCAGCATACTTCTGACATTTTGCTGATGTCTGGCTTGAGAGACAAGTGTTTCTCCAGACGATTGAGAGAAGTTACTTGCGGCACTGCTTTGCAGGTGACCTGTGCTGAGTCCAGGTTCGATTCTTGATTCGGGAGAACCGCTACCAGTGAGCTGGCAATTTCTGTCTGGAGAGTGGCGGTGCTCGTCTGCGAACGGGTCTGGGTTCCTCGGCGCTTGAGAATCAACAGAATCCCTATAGCGACTTGTATCAATGACGCCCATCTCTACCCTTTGCTCTATATTTCGCTGCGTAGGCCTGCCACCGCCAACCTCTGTCGTCAGAGCGCGGAGTCTGGACTCATAACTGTTTCCAATATTGCCTTTGAAGTCGGGTCTAAGCCTCCTCCACCATGTAGGCTTTCTTCTACCGGCTTCAATACCGAGTTCCGCATCGGAAGCGTGTCCTCGCTGGATTCGCTGTTTTATTAATTCTCTATCCTCGTTTGAATCAAGATAGCCAAAGATATTAAGAACCGTCATGATCATGAGATGTGGCCCGTAGCCCAAGCCGTATAGATATCCCGCTCCACCATCATATTTTAGGGGAGAAATCATCCAGATAAACGAGGATGCAACATTGAAAGCAATGGAGACGCTCGCAAGAGTAATGACGATGATAAACTTGAGTGGGGCGGACGTAACTAAGAAAACAAGCGACGGTCGTGCTTGAGCCTGCCACTTATATCTGTATAGGCTATGTCCAAGGCTGTAGCAGATTATAAAGATGCAAATACCTCCAATGATACTTCCAGCTTTAAATCGGGCATCAGTTGCGGCAGGTCTAGCCACGGCTTCTTGTTGGTCGAAAGTTCGTTGTTTCTCTATTGCTGACCACGACCTTGGGATATATAAAAAGAAGGACAAGAACGCAAAAAGGTAAAATACTAGCGGCATATACAGTTCTTGACGTTCTCTCGTTGTTGCAGCGGGGAATGCAAAATTATCTCGATCGACTATTTGTCGTTCCTGCCATGATCCCCTATAAGTGTGATATTGAGTTAGCAAATATGGCAGGGAAAATCTCATACGTGTTGAGGTCTTATTGAGGATAACTAACCAGTGCCTCACAGCTTCCCAAACTACCGCAAGCATGACAGGGATCATCAGATAATAGAAAAAGCTCTGTAACACAATTGCTGACTGTGGCAAATAGTCACGATCAACATCAATGCTCATAAAGCAACTAACAACTCCACAGATTGCGAGAAATATCATCCAATACCACTGTGACCGTCTTCCAACAATAGTCCATCTCTTTTCAATCGGCAGCAAGCGTTCACCATGTTTTCGGAGGTTAATGATCGCAGAGAGTAATGTGGCTGCAAAAAGAGCTGCAAAGGCAATTCCGACACTCCCTCTAGTTTTCAGCCCCTTGATCGGTACATAGCACGATGTGCCATTTATAAAGGTTCCGTTCGACAAAAGATATGGTTTGTAGATATCGAAGGTTAGCCAACAGCTGGAGCCGTTCGATAGAGTCCCATTCGAATAAAGGGTATAGTTGAAATGATTCAAGGTTGTAGTATTGAAGTGAATGCCATTTATCACTGTATCCGTTTCGTTATCACCAGTAGGGAACTGGAGAAGCTCCCGCATGGATAGGATTGTCATAGTGAACAGACGCCTGGCAACCCCTTAGAAGCGATAGAATCAAATGTCCAAGGCGGCGAGGAGGCGATACAGCCAAGCGCCTATGACCCGGTGGCCCAAAAAAATAGAAACCTGAGGAAATGGGCGTTATCCCGGAGAGAGCAGAGAAAAAATGCAGTCCAAAACGGACGATTTATTCATCTCAACGGCAACTTCGGAAAGCAAAATCGACGTCATGGCATAGCTTATGTAAGAACTAGGTTGGATCGAGCGGTTGATTAGTAATAACTTAGCACTTACATAGTATTAAGTAATGGAGACTTTATAATAGTATTAATCGATTTATCTATAAGGTAGAATATAGATTCTTTTTATATTTATGATGCTGCGTGGTATGACATATTTATAGGGCGAAGTAAAGTATAAGTCTACCTATACACCGTCCGTTGAGGAGGAATAGCCTGAAATTATACGGTGGCCGTAGCAACAGGTTCCTGAGCGCCATCCTCTTTTTCGTGCCCATCGCGGTTCAAGTACTCGGCGCGGTAACCGAACTATCCAGCGTTGCAGCAATCCTGACGATCTTAGGAACTACCGGGGAAGCAGCGCTTAACATATACAGCATCGTCGATAACCCCGAGAATGCGCCGCTTGCGATTTTCAGCTTAATATTGACGCCGTCGGGGCTGGCTGATCCGGCCGCGATCAGTAAGGCAGCTGCAATCAGGCGCGGGTTGACTGACGCGGACGTGGCCAAACTGGGAACAAAGGTGGCGGGGAAGTTGGGAGCTATTAAGAAAGGGATGCAGATTTGCCGCAAGGCATGAACGGAATCATTTCGTCTTGTTGTTCCGCCGAATATAAATATCCGTTGGCGTAACCAACACCTAGAGATATGGTTGTTCGTAGTTAGGTATCGTAGCCGGCGGCTGGTGTGAATATATATGGTAAGAAGGGTTAGAGCAATTCATTTAAAATCGGTTATTTTTTATGAAGCTCGGTGAAGTAGCTCGCTAGCTGGGGTGTTTGGTAGATCCGGTAGATTCAACTGATGATGACGTGAGGATTCAACTAGTAGATGGAGTGAAAATAGATTCGCCTTCAGCTTCAGGATGCGCATGCGGGACAGCATCATCCGTGGAGTTGAGGGTTAGAGAGGGATGATTCAAACAACTCTCTATTATCACCCGAGCACTTATCGACAACAAGCGTATAAATGGGATATCCCTGGAAGGAGACACTAGCAAATAATTGCCTGCGGATTCAGCTTCCGTGGAAGGAGTGATAGCTCTGGTCGTATGAGCTTTGTGTCTTCCGTGTTGACACGGATATTATCTCTACTACATAGTATGTAGAACCATCTCGTGGTTTTGCGGCGACGACTCGTGGTGTGGGGCCCTTTTTAAGCATAACTTTAATTTATTAGTAAGAACTATTTATTTTTTGTTTTGGTTTATATTTTTGGATATTTTGGACTTCAGCGTCCAGTCTGACTGACAAGCTGTGAGAAAACATTTAAATATAAGCCGGAGGCTTAGAAAATAACACATAAAACCCTGTCCTCGGGTCTGTCTGCAAATTTTGCCATAATTGTAAAAGCCAGGACAAGCAGAGTGTTTAAAAGCGCGAACGCTGACGTTTGATCCCAGCAGCACATGTATCATCATACCATCGTAGCTGGATGTCGTCGATATACCACATCACAGCTTTACCAGCTACTTGTGCATCGATCTCAATGCCTGACAATCCGCTGAATCCATCCCCAAAGAGGACCTCAGTTAAAGTGCAGTGCTTGGATCCGATACAGGGAGGAATCGTGAATTTCGAGACCGCAGCAGGGACTTCGGTGCCGGATTCTGCAGAATATTTCAATCCCTTCACGGTTAGCTCGCAAGTATTCGTGCTGTTTCCAGTATCACAACCCACTTGGGCACTGAAAGCATTGAACCAAAATAGCTTCTGAGCTGCACGAGGCCCTCCGCTAAATCCTCCCGTAGAGCGTGTTCTCATACCCCATTTTTTTGCTGGAACATATATACCAATATGAGGGTTTGATACCGGTGCGAATGGTTCTGCTGGAGGAGGGCCGTATGACCAACCGCTGGAGAAGAAGAAATGGTGGTATGGGCTAAAGATGGGTGGGAACAGAGCCTTCTGGTGTTTGCCAGGCGAGTATATTGGAAGGTCATCAAACTAACCATACTGTTAGACATACTCCAATGGTATAGAAACCAATTATCTTACGGTTATTTTGAAGAACCCAATCTCTCCGCACGAAGGTGCAGCACCAGCAGCACTTGTATGTGTTCGAACCATTTGGCCTGTCTCTAAAAACGTATCAATACACTTTTCCCGAGGAATATTCTCATGCCTAGTATCCGGATAGTTAAGACTCACTTGTAGGTTTATGGATAGGCGTATCAGAGATGAGAATTGAAGTATTTGTTTTGATTGAAGTTGGCGAAGACAGCTGCTGCCCAATCCATTCGTTCTTCCATGATACCACCTTACCGTTTATGGTTGCAGTTACTACGTCTCCAACCTGTCGCTCATACACTTGTGGATGCATAGAGAGGGCTGGGACCGCTGTTGCCACGTGTTTAACTTCATATCTGAGCGAGTCAGCTTTGAAGGCCTCCCTGGTCGATATGGTGACAAATGTGGAAGCGTTCCATCCGCTTAGGCCAGGCCCAATTAAGTGGGATGCCGTTCCAGCTTTCATTATCTGAGCTTTCATAAACGTGGGGATACGTATGATAGATCCGGCTGTGGGGCTTGGTTCGCTGACAGCGGAAGATGGCAAGGTTGGCTGTTTAGTGGGAGATGTGGCTGTTATGATGGATTCCGTAGTACCCAAGGCTACTTCCGTAGTAGTTATGACCTTTGTAACAGTAACGATTTCTGTGACGGTAGCGTCTTCCTTAATATTAGTGGCGACAGTGTTTGAATACAGGCAACTTTCCTTCACAGCCTTAGATATCAAGCCCGTAGATTCACCATGATCTACAGCGTTTCCTGCAGCAAGTGGAGAATTATTAACCAACGAGAGCGTTTTTGTATAGGACACGAAACTGGTTGCCGGGAGCGTTGGTTCATCAACCGCAGTGGTAGTTAGAATTGGAGCATTTATTGCAGCCTGGGTAAGGATGGTAGCATTCTGAAAGGGAGCGAACGCTGCTTTTGTCATGTGCGGGTTTGGATAACGGACATCAGTTGTTACTGCTGTCTCATGCCCAATTCTGGGGTTACCGGTGGACCAGCTATTGCAGAATATTAGTACTGCTTCATAAGAGTACACTAGAGAGGATAAGGAACGGATGCATATAAAGTGGGAGTTCAACTGCTGTTGTATGGAAATAACTCATAGCACTGCGCATCTGACAGCAATGCAGGGGCAACAGGAACAAAAACACGAGTAGTTTTACTCACTCCTGCGGCAACATGGCTGAGGATGCTCCTCCAGCAAGACCAGCAACAGCCAGACATGCCAACCAGGTGGCACGCATCGTGAAGATCGCGGCCTGTAGCGTTGCTAGAAGCTGAAAAAACCTACTGGAGGTAAAGAAACGAGTGTGATATGACAGAAACTAAACGACAGACTTGTTCTCTCGAGATGCACAAGTTGATGTGGGAGAGGAGGAGAGAAACGTCGACGCGTCGAAGTTGGACGAAGTGAAAGTTGACGTCGTTTGCTCGTTGTAAGAAGCGCGGCAACTTTCACCTCGTGATGTGAGAAGATGGACCGAAAGACGACAAACACTAGAGAAAAGATATCATCTAGATCGTATTACATATAAGACCTATATATTCTTCGAGATTTTTTATTCAGCAGCCCAAAGGACGGTATATCACACTTCCTGGCTTCAGATAACGGGAATACTCTATGGAGTACGGCTACCATATAAGGTGCTCATGAATACAGGCAGCAAGGTCATCTCTCAATACTATGGATATAGCTGGGGATTTCTTCTCATTATATACTATTTCATAGCAAATAGTAGAAGGAGTTAGGAACCACAAGCATGCACTGGTTCTATGGGACTGAAATGGACACGGGAACCCATATATCTAGGGGCTTAGGTCTCTGTCAAAGACAATGATTTCGAGGGTATTCTAAAAGGAAGATGTTCTGGGCTTCAAAGAGCAGAGGAAGGATACCATCCAAAATCAGGCAGACATAAACTGGCTGTTTGAATGTTTGAACCCAGGTAGGAAAGGTTCTATAAAATATGTGACATCTACACTCCATGAGACGGCCCAGATGTCAACGGGTAAGCATCCGATTAATAATCTGGTGACACTTATAGAACAAGGAGAAATCACTTGTTCAATGTAGGGTATAAAAACAAAAATAGGGAAAACCATCTGGGTCCAGGCGGGAAACTGCAGATTCATCCACAACAACGTACCTAGCATTGGCAGCCCGTAATATAGCCGATCTTCCTGCGGCAATAAATATGAGATATCTTCACAAATGGCAAATAACGGCCTTATCTAGGGGCGCAGGAGCATTCTCCTTGAATCCATAAAAAACTTACCAATTAGCAATCTTCTGTGGCCCCCAGTTTTGGAGTTGATGGCAACCATTACGGCCTAAAGCATCCCTATTGGTAGATTCCACATATATCGGATCTGCGGAATTCTACTCCAATAGTATCTTCTATCAGACAACCCCTTTTTTCCCTTTTGGACGGATGGAAGTGTATAGGCAGTCGAAATATTTAATCGCCACCTTCAAAAAGCAGATATGAAGAAGCGGCCTCAAAAGAAATTCCCTCGAAATAAAATAATGTTGCGATTTCAGTTTCTTTTGTTTGGAAGTGTCTTGGGGTGGCATTTCAGATGGGTCTGTCTTCTGGGGGAGCGGGACGTGTTCCACTGTGTAGACAAGGTAGCACAAAAAAATAAGGTATGCTCTTTATTCTGTTATTCAGTTAGAGGATGTTTGCGGTGTCTGGATCTTTGGAGGAATGGCCAGGAGAATGGCAAGATCAACAGTGCAGGAGATGCGGGACATTTAATGTGTGACAGAGCCATCGTCCAAACAGCCCGATTTCTTTTTCTTGTCGCACACCGCGGATGTTTGATGTAAACGAGCTCAAAGAAATAACTTAAACAAGGCTATGTTGCGATATAGATTCGCAAAAAATGCCGGGTTTCCTCGCAATAAGGTATCACGAAATCACATAGCAGGCCAAGATATACCTGCTTAGCGAATATTCTTGTCAGTAGCCTCCCTTTTCGGAAATGGGGGGTGAGATAACTTGCGGTTTTTGATATAGCCCAGTGCAAGGGTAATGCGTGTCATGCATGACCAACAACTTATACAAGTCACAGATGAGGGGTTACATAACTATGCCGTTTCCATACTTAATCACCTTCGTATGATATGACAATGGGCCAAACCTGGATTACCGAAGAAATGCCCTGCTTGGAGATAACTGTTAGAGTATTCGCCATTGATAACTGTAGCCCGGAGAAATAGAACATTTCCAGGCCATGGCAATTCGCATATTCGCTCTGGTTTAGCAAAGGAATGGCTGGAGTGGCGCAGCAGAAGATTGACAGAAAAATCGCTTGATGCTTTTTTGTGATTCATGTCTCTCTTACTCCCCCCTCTTCCTTTTTTTTTTCTCCCGTCAGAAAGTAAGTTGCATTTGAAACCTGATGGGCTGAGGGCTAGGACTAGGGAGTTAATTGCCTCATGATTTAATTTAGCAAGTGAGAAATCGGGAAGTCAAGAGGGTGGCTGTCATATCAAAATCTGGAACTTTCTTTTCCAGTGTGATAGTGCCATGTCATCACTACTGGATAATTAATTTGTCCTGCAGCAAGGGAGGATGTAGTTGTTGGGGCATGCTGTAGGATGGGTGACATTTTTCATTTTTAGGGGACAGAAGTTTCTCTTCTACGCCTTGCTGAGCAACTCGGCTTGATATTGAGGTCTGTTGGACACGGAACACACGGAAAAAGGCTTAAGGAGCATCGCCAGCCACACCGTCGTAATCCAGGTTCGGGAGTGGAAGCCGGGGTCTCGCTCGCTGAAGGAAGGTGTCATGCGACATATTTCCTCCTCTGTCAGCACGGATACGGAGTACATGCTTGGTCCAGAGGGTTCGAGGCGTTGAGGAACTCTGTTCGGTTGCCTTGTGTATGTATGGAAGATACGAAGTAAATAACGCACTGCTCCGTATGTTTGTGTTTGTCAGAAGATGGAGCATGAGGTATGCAGTATTGTGTATGCATTGATTTAGGTTCGTTGTATTTAAAGGCGCAGGGCCACTCGCGATGGGACTGGATGAGAGCGCCAACTCTTGCGTTTTCGTAATTTAATATTCTCCACAGCGGGTATTTATATTGCGAAACATTTTCGTCATGGATGGTCATTGGCGCATAGACCAAAAGTGCCTTTACCCAAGGTTGAATCTTTGTTGGTGTCAAGCTCCTGACTTACATACATAGTACATAGTAGAATGTGGTTGGTGGCTGCAAGGTTCTTGGTCCTTATAATAAGCGACCGAACTATATATATTTCTGGGGCCATTCAAAGGTTTATGACCCATGGCTTGGTTTGGGGAATGCGGCCCGTCAGTAGAAAAGCGGAGCAAGTCCCACCAAACGCTTCTCCTGTTGTATCCGTATTGAAGGTATATTCTTCTGCTTTCAAGTCGGAATTTCTCCGGGGTTGATACCATAAAGGAATCGTAATCAGTACAACATTTGCGGCGATATGACCTCTGGATTTGCGTAAGGATGTAAGCACAGAATGGATATATGCATAACTACCCCGTATAAAGCGCTCCATTTTCTGGCACTGCAACACGAGGGAAGTTGTCTTGTGTGCCTAATGGGGACCAAACGCCCTTCTGTAAATGGTCAATATCAGGGGAGAAGGATTGATTGTATTGGTTCTTATTTGATGGGACAAATTTCGATCGGCGATCGCCCTCAGACTCAACCCTTTGTGAGTGTGGAGAGTCATTACCTGTATAGTAATTCTTAACTGGCCCACAGATACGGTCAGGGATTTAGCCTAGAGGCCCGAACACTTGCTTTATTCCATATTTGGGCAAGCCGGAGTACCTTGTCTGCCATGCCTGCTGTTGTGCGCTTCAGGATGATGGGCTTTGGGCGGAGTTTATTCTCTGCATGCTATTATACTGAAGTTCAAGGGTGCCGATTACCCTTGCGTAACCCTGTCTCTATGGAGACTAGCACTGCTGTCCAAGCCCGAATGGAGGGCCCACCATCACAGCATCAGGGCGTATCTGATTGTGTAAAAAGGTGAAGCATTAAATGAGTCCTCTTGTACATTTCCAGCACGGCCAGTCACATGAGCAAGTTTTTTTTCCTATACAGAGTCCAAATCGTCCCGCTTGGAAAATCTCGTCGCCTCCCGTGACCTTGGGCGTTAAAAAGAGGCTTGCAGCCCACTTTCGAATTGTTTAAGGTCCCTGTTCGAGAGGGTTTGTTTGCAGAAGCTTGGGCAGCCCACCACCGGGTAGTATCCACCGAGTAATATATATAGCTAGTATACATACTAGATACTCCATCCCTGGTGTACGGAGTCCATATAATTTCTCCATGATTTTATGTGTCGTGGTACTCCATACAGCGCCGAGTAACTGATTCAACAGTTTGCGTAGCAATATCTTCTTTGGTGCTCAGAGCCTTCTATATTGTGATTGGATCCCAGTTTTTAGGTTCAGCAGTATCCAGGAAGCCAACAGCGCATCAAGAGTCTGGCCAACCACCCAGCATGAGAGAGAAAAACTTGAGGAATTTTCATGTACCTAGCCAATGATGTTATGCCAGTGCGTCACCGAAGAAGCAACTAGCCGAAAAGACAGGAGTTTGATATTTCCTTTTTTCGAGTTGGGATGTCGATATGCTGGTAAATGTGGAGGTGGAAGCGCTACCAGCAGATCTAGAGGAGTACGATTGCAACAATAAAGGTATTGATATGAATGGGATGGCGTAAGGTGGAGGCGGAATCGGGATGGGATGGATATTCACACCACGTAGCTTGCATCAGGAACTCGACCGAAGGCGCCAGGGGGAAGCGGCGGCACGCCCTAGAGCCAGGGTTTGCGGGATACCAGAAGAGGTTGGATTATATGTTCAACAGGCATATGAGATATTGACAGCCAGAGTGACCCACGAGAACACCCGATTTTAAGTATCAAGGCCATGTGGAGATTTTAAAGAGAGTTGATGATCACCAAGCAAGGGGAAACCGGGTCGTGGAGCTTGTGCTTGATGGCCGTTTCTCGATCGCATATCTATCATGGGGCCAAGTGTGGGCGCGAGTACGAGGATACAGGGCACGAAATGTGTGTACGAACATTCAGTTATATACCTAATGTTCTGGATGCTTCCTCGCCGTAGAATTGTGCTATGTTTCAGCGTTCGTATGACTATCGCTTAGATCGCAGCGTGAGGAATGGGACTAGGGAAAGTCACTGACGACGTGGATCTGAGCGGGACTTCGAGACCATGCCGTCCAGCCAAGAGAAAGGAAGATACTGTGCATGGCATTGTATCGCCTGATGCCGACCTCTTTGACCTGGGGCTGAATTGCTGGCTCACGCGTCCCCATGTTGTGCTCAGTGCCCCGGGTGGTACATTGGAAAAATACTCCGAGACAGCATGTGAGGTGACCTATCCAACCACTTGGAAGGGGTTTTAAAACACAATCTGTACGCTAAAGCGTTGTGTCCACGAGGCCGGCATAATATTGACACCAAAAAAAGACAATAACAACTAGGATGGCCTGCCGGCCTCCTCCTTCGCTTGGGAGTTTCCTGGCGTGGCCGTTGTTCTGTCGAGCTCCAGAGGCCTCTGGTATCTTGTTATATACATAGTAGTATGTTCGATTTGCATCTCGTGAGATTTGCACCCACTGACGCCCTTGTAACCAACCGCAGGTACTTGGATGCATATCTTGTACCCCGTATATGTGTACATGCGGGCTTCGTGGCGTAACAGTCCGTCCCCGCACTGGCCGCGATCGCTCTAACCATATTAATCGTGATAAATAGTAAATACGACAAGGGCCGGCGAGGCTTGGGTACTGTTTGTTGTTTGCTGTGTATATTTTCTTCGAGCATTTCCGCGCAATAGACACCGTAATCCGCATACATATATGGTACCGGTGTATTTGCGCATTCCTTTTCAGCCAGTTCCTTTTCTTCTCTCGCTCGCCATCCGTTTCTTTTTCTTTTTCTTTTTTTTTTTTCCTTTGCCTCCTTTGCAACTTTTTTTTTTTTCGATCTGGTCCAAGGGCCTGGCTCCGGGAGTGCCAGAAGGGTGATGGACGCTTGCCCCTGGTCAGCCTCTGAATCTCTCTCGTCTGTCTCTCCATCCCAGATAGAAAGTTTGATAGCATTCCTCATATTTTAACCAGTGCGTTAGAGTTGCGAGGCTAATCATCATTTGATTGAATTCTGGCTCAGGCTCCCTTTTTTCGTCTCTTTTCTTTTTCTTGGTAGAAGAGAAAAAATTAGATAAATAAAACCTTCTCCTCCACCATTCGTGCTCTCTCTTTTCGTGTGTTCCACTTTGATGACCTAGTTAGTTCGCGTTGAATTCTGGATGTTGGAGAAACCGTCGATGTTGTTCGCTCAGAGGACGCCGGCATTCGACGTTTGCCGCCAATCTTTAAATATCAGCCTCGGCCGTCACGTCTCCAATGTCCGCAGCGAGCCTAGCAAGGATAGCAAGAATCATAATACCAGCGAAAGCGGCGGCGGCGTCGGCAGGTTTGGTGGGAGGGATGTGTGCTGCGAGGTAGCGGATGCAGGAAGCAGCAAGAGCAGCGGTACCACCAGCGACTCGTCCACGCCCTCGCCCACGAACTCGACGGCCAACGAGAGCTTCTCCCGGCTTTCCCTCGAGGTACCTGATGACATCCCCCGGGGATCTCCCGGTCCGTGGACGTATACTTCGACAGCCGAGCAGACCTTCTCGACCCAGGTGTTCTCTTCGGACCGCAACACATCGGAGATGGGTTCGCCAATACAGGTGACCCAGGCACTCAGCTTCACGGTGATATCGTCGCCAGGATCGTCTATGTTCGAAGAGAACGTCGTTCCAAAGGTCGAGGAAGTAGAGGACGACGAAGACGGAGCGGTACCGCTGGGTCTCCACTGCAGCGAGCCACCGGATGGCAAAAGTGACGTCCCGCCATCGCCGACTGCGTGTGTTCCTCGAAAACGCGGTCGACCGCGCAAACACCCTCCTCCAGTGCCCGGCCAGACCAAGGTCACCAAAGGCAGATCGAAGACCGGATGCATAACATGTCGACGGCGGAAGAAGAAATGCGACGAGACCAAGCCGGCGTGTCTCAACTGCCAGAAAAACGCCGTTGTCTGCGAGGGCTACCCGGTCAAGGAGGTTTGGAAGAGTGGAAAGCAGAAGATAGAAGAAGGTGAGCCAGATATTACCGTTTTGGGACAATCAGACCTCCAAACCCTCCAACGTCCAACCGGCTAACAACGACGACCTTTTTTTTCTTTCTCTTCTTTTCGCTGTATTTAGCTGCTAGAAGACATTCTTTTGCCATCTTTGCCCGCGGTCTGCCTGTGCTCATCGACGGCATCGAGACAGACATCGACAGACGCTTCCTCGACCATTTCGTCAACGACTTCAGCCGAGTCCTCACCCTTATCAACGATGATTCCAACCCGTTCAAGGAGATTCTCCTGCCGATGGCCACCCAGCACAAGGGCCTGATGCACTCGCTGATGTGCTTGGCCGGCTCTCATCTCTCTGCCCGCGATCCGGAGCCTTTGCTAAAGGAGCGGAAGCACTATCATTTCCACCGCGCAATCACAAACCTGCGAAACACCATTGCCGCCCAATCCTCAACCCGCCCGTCTTCTCCATCCCCATCAACCACTACTTCTACCGGTACAACGGCGACGTCACCAGAAACGCGGACGACTGAGCGTCGGGAGAGCCTGCCGGTCGAGGATCCTATGATTGCGTCTACTATTGCACTGTGCCTTCACACTATCTGCGAGGGGGAGACCAAGGGCGAGTACAGGTCTCACATGGACGCTGCAAGGTATCTCCTGATCACCCAACGACCGAGGAATGAAAAGTTCAGGCAGTTCATCGTCGAGTTCTTCCAGTACCATGACGTCTCCAACTCGGTGACCACGCTAGATCGACGACCTGTCTGTTTTGCCGGCGATCTTCGTCTACCTGACTTTGTTCCTCATGCTCAGGCTGGGGCTCTACTCGGCATTTTCGATGGCCTGTTCCACTACATATCTGAAATCACAGTCCTTCGTGATAGGATACGGCAGCGGATAAATCAAGGCATCGAACCGGCAATTGATTATCAGACACTGAGCGAAGCTGTTGGAATAGACTCGCAAATCCGTGCATGGGAGCCGTCGTACCCTGCCGACAACCCCAACTGGTTGGCATCGCAGTTGTATAGACAGTCTACATGGGTGTACCTTTACAGGACCATTCGGCCGTCACGCCCCGATGAGAAAATATCGCAGGTGGTTGACGATGGCCTTCTCTATCTCAGCCAGCTACCCTTAGACGCTGGTGCATATAGTATCCTGCTGATGCCCCTGTTCCTCCTGGGGTGTTCTGCCTTTGAGCCCTATCAGCGAGAGCGCATCAAGGCTGGATTCAATAGCTTACAGGCTTATTCGAGCCTACGAAATATCGTCCCCGCTCTTCGGGTGGTAGAGAAGGTCTGGGATGTGATGGATAAAAGTCCGAACCTAAGCTGGGACTGGGAGAAAATTATCGATGACATGAACATGGACTTCTTGATAACATGACCTAGTCTATCATTGCCCAGTCGCCAACTAGGTATCGGTACTCCTTTGACCACAGCAAATTAATACTATCACCCCGCTGGTGATCCACCACCGATATACACCTACATCCTTATATCAATGACCTTGATATGTTGTAATTCTGCAGGAGTTTAGGGGCGGAGCATTGCCAAAGAAGCACGATTTATCATCATATTTAGCATGCTGGCGTCTGGTCGTTTCATTTCATCTCATGCTTGGGAAAAAAAATATCTTCCTGCTATCTTACTCCTTCGCCTGATAATCAACGCCCCCTGTGGCATCTCTCTCCCCCCATCCCTTGTCGGCGGAGGACAGGGTAACTTTTCAGTCGCAACTGATATCGATCCAGTCTCTCCCTCCACGGCCGCCATCACAATAGTTACTTTCCTTGGCTCGTGTTCGAGGTCTACCGAAAGATTTAACTGGCAGCGCGACCGAATGTCAGATAGAATCCACCAGCTTTCCAATAGGCACTCAACTTTAAAGGTGGTTCTAAAAATGGCTCGTTCAAGTCAAGGGTTGCCTGTGTAGAGTAACAATAATTCTCATTGCCTGATTTTGTCCACCCCAAAGTATTTGGATTTATATTTATATATACATATATATCTGTATGCATTGATATCTCCTTTGCATTGGGCTCATATATACATCCTGCGGAAACGGAACAAGTAGAATTGGCGACACTCCCATTATCCGTACGTTATCGCATCTCTTGGATGAAATCCCCCTGCTTGTGCCTTTCGTCTCTAATTGGACAATCCATTTACGAGTAAGTGCAAGCGAATCCGCTACCAGTGGCTGTTTTTATACTGATATTGTTTATGACGTTGAGAGTTACTTCGCTTTTCCAACTCCTCAACCTTTATCAACGACAAACCCAGCTAATATTCGCAAGTACACTCTCCGTCTTCCGGAGGGAACTCACTGTGCTCAGAGAAATCATACCGGCCAGCAGCCGGCATGCAACACACACTCCGTCGTTCAGCCCCAAGGATGGAGCACGAACCCCTGAGCCTAGCAACCAACAAAGCGACTCTTTAAACATCACGACTAGGAGGCCCAGCAATCGTAATGAAACCTACATAAGTGGCCCTGAGCGGGGTGCTGAGGGCCCTGCACCAATCGAGTCTCCCATTTGATAGCTCGTCTGTGTCGTCTACTTGCAACGAAACCATCCTGGACCGGAACCCCGAGCTTGTTGATCCGAATACACCTGGAACTTTGCTCCTGTGGAGACCCTGCTTCCGTTTCTCCGCAGCCACCATGGCTCCAGAAAACGCCGTGCTTGCGATGAAAACGAAAACGAGCATGCCGTATTTAAGTCGGTGTTACATATACATGGTTACCTCCTCCAGTTGAGGCCGGCCTTGGAATAATGCCAATGGGGACCCTTCACCGTACGCAAATTAGCCGACGACGTCATGTAGGCTTATCCTCAGAGAGAAACTCACTTGGCTGATTGAACTCCTCGCTGAACGTTATGAGATCTTTTGCCTACGTCCCTAGCATGTTTATCAAAGCTTATATATTTGAAGCTTAGCATGTTGACAATATATGCTGTTACCATGATTTGCACCCCATCCACATTTTCCAGGATGAACGATACCTTGACAATTAAATTGCCAGCCCAGGTCGGATTATATCGCTCTTGGGGAGCAGAAGAGATGTTTATACATCAGATATTCACCCCATAGATATACACACTCGAACCCCTGGATCTGACCGGTAATCACGGATAATCGAACCCTAGTACTTCGCCCCACTGCATAATGAACGGAGTATAGGTTGGAGGAATCCCGCCTCGGGTCCAATGATTTTAAGCAGGTGTGTATATAGGGGACACACCCTAGCCCGGCCATGATGGCGTCAGAAGACATGGCCTATTTATCGGAGTATAAGTATTCCTTCACACCAAATAATCCTCAAACGACAACCAAATATTCCGTACTTCTGATGCGACATGTATCAAGAATCACGCCGTACACGACCATAATTAGTTGTACACTGTTGGATCTCGGTAGCCGAGATATATACTCTTGTTACACCCCAAATGGAGAGTTTACAGTGTGACACCATGAGTCCTTTGGAAAAGGAACCCTCCGATCCGTCACTCAATACCAGTGAAACTAAGCCTGCAGCCGGAGAAGGAGAGACAGAAGTCTTCACCAAATTGCCGAGTAGATCCCATCTGTCCCTTCGTGCTGTCCAACCTGTTGACGTTGAAGTAAACGATCTCGGCCTCCATGTTGATACCACTCCCTCAATATTCCAGAACCCTGCGGCTGCAATATGGACCCGCCTTTCTTCGCGGCACCGGGCCACATTTAAAACAGTCCTTGATGGTGTGACTGCTAGCATGCCCCATGGTACCCTCACGGCGATTATAGGGGGCAGCGGGTCGGGGAAGACAAGCTTATTAAATGTTATCGCTGGTCGTATGGGGACTAGCCGTATGAAAGTGACAGGAGCTGTCAAATTTAACTCAACCGGGAATATAATCGGCAATCTAAGTGCATATTTGATGCAGCAGGATGTTTTAATACCCACCCTGACCGTACGAGAAACACTCCAATACTCAGCAGACCTGAGATTACCTCCCCCTACGACTGCGGAAGAACGGTGTGCTATCGTCGAGAGGGTAATACTTGAGCTAGGATTGAAAGAATGCGCCGATACCAGGATAGGGAATACCTCGCATAAAGGCTGCAGTGGTGGCGAAAGGAGACGTACAAGCATTGGTGTTCAAATGTTAGGGAACCCTTCGATACTCTTCTGCGATGAGCCAACGACAGGGCTTGATGCAACAAGTGCATACCAAGTCGTCAGAAGCCTGAAGAAACTAGCCTTAGATGGACGGACAATCGTCATCTCTATTCATTCTCCTCGGTCAGAGATCTGGGGCTTGTTCGATAAAGTTGTGCTACTCTCTCGTGGGTCTGTACTTTACAGCGGAAAAGCGGACGAATCTCTTTCACACTTCGAGAAGCAAGGCCATTCTATACCTCCCTTTGTTAATCCTGCTGAGTTCTTGATAGACCTAGCGGCGTACGATAACAGAACCATTGAAGCCGAATTAGCCTCGCGGAACCGTGTGGAAAGCCTCAGGGTGGCCTGGAAGGAATCTTCAAGAGCCAGCTCCAAGAAAGATGAAACGGCCCCGACAGATGGGCAACCTGTTTCTCACACTGGTAAGCAAGAAAGCGTCGGCTTTACGAGGCAATTTCAAGTTCTGACAGCCCGAACCATTAAAATGACTATCCGAGATCCCATGGGGATGACAAGTTGCCTATTTGAGGCAATTGGTATGGCTGTTCTTAATGGTTGGGTGTACCTTCGGCTTGATGGTTCTCTGACTGGTATTCGATCACGGCAGGGGAGTTTATATACTGCAAGCAGCCTCAACGGGTATATCATTCTACTCTACGAAATATTTCGACTAACAACTGATATACAACTCTTTGATCGTGAAAGGAATGAAGGTGTTGTTAGCGTCTCTGCCTTCCTACTAAGTCGACGGGCCGCTAGGTTGTTCCTAGAAGATCTGCCAGTCCCTATACTCTTTTCAACTATTTTCTACTTCATGGTTGGATACCGACTGGCTGCTGCCGAGTTCTTCATTTTCCTGGTGCTAAATATACTCACACAGTACACAGCTATTACCTTCGCGGCTGTTTGTATTAGTATTTGCAGGCACTTTCCCGGTGCGAGCTTGGCTGGAAACCTCTCTTATACCCTACAAACAGTAGCGTGTGGATATTTTGTCCAGGTCAACCAGATTCCAATTTATGTGCGATGGGTTAAATGGGCTGCCTATACCTTTTATGCCTTCAGTGCATTATGTGCCAACGAGTTTATTGGGCCTAAAGGCTCTGAATACGGACAGTTCTATGATTGTCCGTATTCAAAAGATCCTGCAAATCCTCTATGCAAGGAATACACGGGTCGGTTCATTATTGACAGCCTTGGAATACCTCACGACTGGATATGGCGCCCAATCGTGGCGCTTGCCTCTTTCGCTGTTTTTTTCTATATACTTGCCGGTCTGATACTGAAATATAACAAGGTTAATATTGCTGTTGCCCAACCGCGAAATGCGGAGAAGGACATGTCAGTTGGCAAAGAGAAGTTTGTCGCCCGGCCTCCAGGGGATAGCCGCCAGGTATCTATCAAGCTTCAGAAGTATTCTTTAGATATCCAAAAGCGTTCATTTACTCAGCATGGATTCCGGTTGAAGACTCTTAGCATTATTAAACCTATCACCACGGAGCTTGAACCTGGAAAATTGAATGTTATTATGGGGCCTTCCGGGAGCGGGAAGACGTCGCTTTTGTGCTCAATCGCAAATAGGTTGCAGGGCTCTGTAGGGACACGGTACTATGTTGGTGGTGATATGCTATATAATGGTGCTACCCCTTCGAGAGACGTCGTTAGATCGGTCACTTCCTTTGTCACACAAGATGATGATGCTTTGATGCCGTCCTTGACTGTTCGCGAATCACTGGAATTTGCTGCTGGGTTACGACTACCCTCATGGATGTCAAAAGAGGAGAAGAACCAGCGAGCGGAGGCAATCTTATTAAAGATGGGCTTGAAAGACTGTGCAAATAATTTAATCGGAAGCGATCTGATCAAGGGTATCAGTGGCGGTGAGAAGAGAAGGGTGTCTATCGCTATCCAAATCCTTACGGATCCAAAAATTCTACTGCTTGACGAACCCACTTCGGGTTTGGATGTCTTCACTGCCACATCCATTATCGAGGTTTTGAACGGATTAGCCGCCGAGGGAAGGACTCTCATATTAACGATACACCAGTCAAGATCTGATATCTTCCAATATTTCTCTAATGTACTTCTAATTGCAAGAGGTGGGTACCCTGTTTATGCTGGTAGCGGGCCAAGCATGCTCCCTCACTTTGAGTCGCTTGGGTATGAATGCCCTCAAACTACCAACCCAACAGATTTTGCCCTTGATTTAATTACCGTGGACTTGCAGGCAAGTTCAAGAGAGGCTGCTACTCGTGCCAAAGTACAAAACTTGATTGAAAATTGGGAGATCAATCGTCACGATGACGGAGCAGTCGCACCCATAATTGCGACACCTGCAGAGTTGGGTAGCCTAAAGAGGAAACCTACCGGATTTCCTTCCATGTTTGCATTGGTCCTTCGGAGATCAGCTATCAACTTGAGGAGACAGCCATATCTTCTTCTTGCACGAACGATGCAGGTAATTGGCGTTGCAATAATTATGGCTTTGTTTTTTGCGCCGTTGAAAGATGATTATGAAGCTGTACAGTCGAGAATGGGAGCTGTGCAACAGATTACAGCCTTATACTTTGTTGGTATGATTCTACCTCCGCAGATCCAAATTATACCAGTACTGATGTGTATTGTAGGAATGCTTCAAAATATAGCTATCTATCCCTATGAGCGGGATGTCTTCTACCGCGAGGAAAGCGATGATTGTTACTCCCCCGAAGCATTCATCTTACAGTACACGACACTGGAAGTTCCATTCGAAATCGTATCGTCTCTTTTATATGGCATTATCTCTGCGTATGCTATCGGTGTAAAACGAACAGCAACAATGCTATTTGTCTCATCATTCAACGCTTTTTGTGTCACTAGTTGCGGCGAATCACTTGGCATTATGTTCTGCACTTTGTTCTCGCATGTTGGATTTTCAGTCAACATAACCTCGATCGTTCTATCGATAGCAACCGTCCTAGGCGGTGTCATGAGCCTTAACATTCCTTCGGTTCTGCAGGCTATTAACCATCTTTCCCCGGTTAAATACTCAATATCCAACCTGGCACCTTACTCCATGAATGGGCGCACGTTTACCTGCGCTGATAATCAACGTCTTCCAAACGGGCATTGTCCAATTGAGACTGGCAAACAGGTCCTGTTACTCTACAATCTAGATAAGGACCCGAAAATCAACCTAATGGCACTTGGCATATGTGTGATTGGTTACAGGCTGGTTGCATACGCATTAATTAAAGTTGTTCGAAGCCGCGCGGCTTGGGAGAACATACGAGGCAGATTTTCGAAGTCACATAAGAGTACCAAAAGCCTCGCAGCGTGATGAGAAGGCATGGTTCGTATTCTTTTCGTACGTAATAATACCCTTGTTCTATGTCTATAGTAGCTCGTTATCTACATTGTATTAGTTGATCTAGGTTAAGTTTTATACCAAAATCAGGTTTAACATTATTCGATTATCGTGCTTATAATATGTCATCTTCTGTAGTAAGCAACCTGGATATAGATATTACTTCGACTTTTTCTTTGAAGGCAAGAGTTTAAGGTTTTAATATGGGGAAAAGTATGTGCTTTCTCCACGTGGAGGAGGCTTAAATGAAACTTTAAATAGATAGGGCGAGAGAGAATAAAGACAATGGTTGTGGGACGTCCGCAGACGATTTGATTTTGTGTGTTTATCTATATACAACACCACCTCTACCCGAAACTCCTTTTATATCACATTTTCTGTTTTGTATAGCCGACCCGGCCGGAATCGGGAAACACAAGAACCAAAACCAAAACGTAGCTTTATAACTCGCAGTGTGCCTGAAGGGTATATATGTATTTTTATGAGGAACGTATCATGGATTCCATTTTTTGGAAATCAAAAACACCAAGGCCTTTTTTTAGTCATGTTCATCGTCGCCTTTTTTGTAGTCGTGCTGTGGTGAGGTGTTCAATTTACTCTGGGCGAGCATGTGGGTGGCGAGGGCGGTTGGCGGCCTTGTCCACGGGCTTGAACATCTTTGTTGGCCCAGCAGAGCCACCACCAGCACAGAGGACAACATTGAGGTCCGTTTCCTGAGGACAACCGTGGGTAGCGAAATCATCCTTTGGCTGGTTGTAGGCCTCCTTGCAGTCCTTGACTCCTCCCTCGCAGACGACTGCGGGACAGCCGGAGTCGCTTGGGTGGACGCTAATGCCACCCTCAGCGAATGGGTAACCGTCGATGTTGGATAGATCGTAGAAGATTTGTGGCTCCTTTAGAGTGTACTCAAACTGCGAAATATCATTGTGGTTCTGGTCGGTAGCCATCTTGATGGAGATGCCACCCCCGTTGCCGTTGGTGCGGTATTTCTCGGAGTGAGTTTCACCGTCCTTGAGGGTGATCATCTTCTCTCCAGCAGAGTCAGCGATGGACCAGAGGTAGACATCTTTCCCACAGGCGTTCTGAACGTTGGCAGTACCAACATTTCCGCCGCCACCAGCAAGAGCAGATGGGACGAGAGCGGCGAGGGTGGAAAGGGCGATGAAAGCAGCGTTGGAATGCATCTTGATTTTCAAAGACGAAATAAAAAAAATGTATATAATGAATGTGTATAAGAGCTCTTAAAAGATTGTATAAGGGCAGTAAAGAATGACCCTTCAAAAATTGTATATATCAAGAGATCAAATGAATGTGATATGATGAGAAAAGAAAAAGGAAACGAGATCGAGGGTAGGGGTAGAGGGGGTATTTATAGATAAATTCCTCCTATGAGATGGTTCAACATGACGAACATTATCTTGGGAACGGTCTAGAAACGCTCCGGGTTTCGACAGCATCCACCAATCAATCGCACTACCCGAAGTTGGAGTTTTGAGTAAAAATTGCGCTCTTGCCACGAGGAATTCTTGCTCCGAGAAGTGATGGTGGTGGAGAATGTTCAGGAACAAGGGGTACAGCTTCTAACATTGGTGGGAGAGAAATAATGAAGCCCAAAAGAGAAACAAGGCCGGATATGTGTAGATTTATGCTCAAGACTACCATGGTTCTAGATGGGAAGGGAAAAATGACGTTGAAGGTGGTGGCGGGGAAATCTTGGATTTGTTACCATAAGACCATTTCTCGGTCCTCTTCCTAGAATTGGATATGCGCATGCTGGGAGTGGTGAGTAGTTTAAGCGTTCGTCTGCACGCAAACGACAGTATCTGACAATCAAAGCAGGCCAGAACATCACAATGCTTTCTTTCCTGAATGAAATGTCCAAAGATGGGACATCTGCAACTGTGGGTCACTTGCGATATATACTCAAGTAGACAAAGGAGGTGTGGATAAAGCATTGCAAGGATCTTTTGAACATCTTGTCTCGTTGTCTGATATGATGGACTTCATTCAGGGAAAACGTTCTTTAGGCCGTAGGGTTTAGCCTTCTCTTTCTTCAGGTATTGAGGTATTGAGCCACTTGAAAAAACCACGCCCCTTTGTACAGGGCTTTATTGTCGTCGAGAGGGCCCTACCGATACAATCCAATGGATCCTGCCGCAGAAGCCGCTTCTCGCGGCTGTCGGTGCGTGGCGGGTTTGCTGGCCCCTCTGTGGGAGCCCTGACAGTCCATAGTTAGTCCACTTAGGCAGATCCATAGGCATTGAACCGTCCGTTCTAGAACCTCAGGCTTCCCCATATGGAGTATACATCGAAATAAATACGCAAGATATCCAAGATTCCCAGCCCTATGTTGGTCAGCCGAGGTCCACGTAATCCCAACCTATCGTCACGTGATAGTATATGTGGACCCCTTTAACTTTTTACTGTTGATGACTAATCAGTGTTGGATGTGATAAGCAGTTGGATTATGTCATCCACCCCGGCTCGACTCTTCCCATTGGACGTTAGACCTTTTTGTCCGTTGCGGTCCAATATCAGCATTTCATGACAGTCGAAGATCGAGCGCAGCCGACGACGACGAAGTCGCGGCAATCCACTCACAAATGATGGTGATGCTCGTCCGGAAAGATATCCTACAACTTCTCTTGCTGTTAAACCATTACGACCGTCAATTACCCATTGGTTAACGAACCCACCTCTCTTGTCGTCGCCCCCATGCGGTCATGGCGGCTGCTGATTAACATATTACTCTGAGCTACTCTCAAATGAAAGGCATATTTCTGGAAGGTTCTCATCTAACTATGGCCACGGTATTGTTTACTGGGGAGATTAACTCGACAGGATTACCTTTGAGTGGATAGTGCATTCAGAAGTTCACTCAAACGACATGTTAAAAAAAATCAAGACCTCGAGCCCTTTGTAATTTATTAATACCTTTTTGGCTCTATTCAGAAACAAAATTCTTTCAGGCCATCTGATTGTCAATCACAGCTTTACCGCGGCTCCTATTCTTCGGGCTCCTCCCAATACTATGGATTAAGTATTGGTCAAGAGCATCGGCGACCTAGTGCCAGGAGCTCTCACAAAGGCCATCAGGCCTAGCTCTAGAATAGAACGTAAAGGGCTGGGTGAAGCAGGAAACCCAGGTCAAGACCACGTTTCTCATCAAGCTCCATGAATTCCATACCAAGCCAGCCTACCAGAAGCTGCTGGAATACATACTCTCAAAACGAAGGAATTATATTGTTAAACATAAATCCCCATATCCCGAGCCGAGCGGAGAATATCTTTAGCTTCACTGCATCAATTCTATTAGGCAGTTGAGAGCGTTCTTCGAGGGAGGACCAGCGAGATCTGGCTGTATGCACATTAGCTAGCTACGCCCCACTAGCATAATACACCAGTACTTACAGCTTGTACGAGAGTGTTCGCCCGCTGTCCAAACTGGAGTTTGATGCTCGAGTTCGCCGAGCTTCAAGACAACTTTTGCCAGGTGAGAAGTTAGAGATTCGACTGGGAAGAGTGCACTGGGTTAATTGAAAGGGGCCGAACTGGCCTTTGATGAATTTTTTCAACACTCTCGCAAAGCATCTACCGGAATATACAAAACTAGATAACAGGCAGCCGCAAGCTATTTTAAGCTACAAATGAGAAGGCGATAAAGTTGGTTTAAATATATATTGGGCATGGAGTATATGGAGTGGTCCCTGGCATAGTTAATTTTAGACCGTTGCAATATTTTATTCTCTAGAACCCACATAAAAGCGATTGTTTTCTCCCAAATGATATCCGTCCAGTAACTAAACTTCTGCATTTCTTTCAACCAGAATAAAACAGACTATTCTAGTTTCTCCTGAGGTTCGTATACATATAAAACTATGTATCAGATTATATAAGCAACGAATCTTCGGAGTTCCACCGAGCATTATACGATTTCTTGCCATTAAGCTACTATTGGATTAGGGAGCTAGGAACGGAGATCCTAAGGGCTAGAATTTGCTCCGGCATATTTCGTCGGAGCCGTCGATGGGTCCTCATGGATTATGCCGTTGCAAAAGAAAACATCAGCGGGATAGGTCACAAGCTCTGAAGTATGTAAATAGATAAGTGGGCACATTAAATGATCAATTTTCTTCGTATGACAGTGGTTGAGTGAAATATTCGGCACTACCAATATGGTGGCCGTAATCCTGCCAATCCAGACAAAGTACTTTCCACTCCAGCGCCGACAGCGCCAGTGACAGTGCTGCCATCATCCTTCTTTCGGTGCCCACCTAGCTCTATGTTGATCTGTCGGTGCAGGTGCACCAGCCAGTCGACATAACTATGTGCCTCATTGTTTCTGTCCTCCAATAACAGTCGTGCAAATTCGTATTCCGAACCATCAATACCCTGCCTAGCCAGTTGGATAGTCATGGCCTTCGAGCCACGGATAGTGCTTAGATATTGAAGAATATTGCGTACTTGGGCGTTGAGTTGCGTTTCTAGAACCGGGATAGATGATGTATTCGGGTCAAGGGATTTGAGTGTTGTGTGACCTGGGCCGAAGAGGTCCTCAAGCAGGTTTGGGGACACTAATGCATGAATCCAGAGGATACATATTTGACCATTGTCCACAATGTAGACTCCCCCGTCTTCAATTCGCGAGAAAGATGCTCGTTGGCTTGGCGGGACTTGTAGTTGCCCATGCTCGTTGGAAAATCCATCCTTAGGATCTAAGTTGTGAATCGGAATAATCCGTGGGTATAGATAAAGTGAAAGTTCCCGGCATCCAAAGGAGCGAAGCATCCGGACATCGTGTATACGACGGTCCGATGGCTCATGACCTCCTGTTGCAGGGGCAAAAGCGTGAAGTTAGCTGACTTGTAAAAAAGCACATGAAAATGTGTCAGCCTAGACACCACTTACCCTTAAAAGCACGAGACTTCAACAGGCTCAACATATACATCGAAAATTCTTGTATATACTCAGGCAAAACTAATTGGCCAGGGGGATGCGATAATGAGAAGTTTTTGCGGTAGCTTGCCAAAATATCGATACTCTTCTCCGTGAGCCCAGCACGGATTTCCGTCAGAGATTTTTCAGGAACCTTGGATGCAGCTAAAGGGAATATATTAATGACCATAACGTTTACAAAGGGCCCTAAAAGTTGACATAGATGGAAGGAATTCTGAATAAACTTACCTTCTTTCGCAAGGATAGAAACAATGGCATCCTGATCAAGAGACTTCATGGTCTCCATTCCACCATCATTGACAGCAGCCACGATGTTGATACATCTAACACGTCGTTGTCCATTCCCGGCAGTATAGAGGAGGGCAGCCTGGAAATGGGCGTCTAGTTTAGGGTCAAGCTTGCCATCATATGTAAACATGATGCCGAACGCTTTATCCGCATCAATACTTCCCATTTCAAGATCAGAGGCGAAGGTATGCTGCAGAAAATTGCCATGGTATGATGAGATCTGGAGGCCGTTTGAGCAGCGGACTTTCAGAAGCACCTGATAACCTGTTTCTCGAGTGATTGAATGAGATATTTCATTAGACAGCTTCTGGACATCGCGAGGGGCATGAAAATTAGGATAGAAAAACATCTCCCCTCCAGAAACGGCAGACACATGGCCTAATTAAAATGATAATCCTTAGTAAATAAATCCAATTTGAATGAATGTTGGGAATGTGAGATCAACTTACCAATGGTTGCGATGTCCATATATGTTCCACCCCCGGCTGCTATAAAGAAATCAATACCGATTCCAGACTCAGCCGCTTTTGTGGCAGCTTTCTTCCACTCAACATGCTCAGTGATAAACAGTTTCCTTTCTGCATCAGTTCCGGGGCCTGTTCCTTTGTCTCGCATAAAAAGACGTCCAGGGCCCCAGGTGGGCAGGCTGCTTAAAGAGCATACGATCTTTCCTCCTGTTGATTCCAGGGCACAGAGAGCAGAGTTTAGAGTAGGGAGGAGGGCTGGTTCTGGATATTTGATGAACGAAAATAGAGTGGGTATTTGTGTTAAGAGAGATGATATAACATGCCTGTAATAAAGTATCGTGTTAATACCAAGCACTAAAGACGACTGGCTACTGAAAGGAGAGGATAACAAACTTCGACTCGTATGGATCAGCGAATAGCCCTTCGCTGAGGGGCACAAAAGGATCCTCTAAATCCGGCATTACTATCATTTGTGCCTGTTCTAGCTGGGGCTATAAAAATGAACGTCAGTTCCCAAAACTATCCTTGGTTTATATTTTCATGGATGGATGTGGAAAACACAAAATCACATACACTTAGATTGTAAAAATGGACCTCCTTGTCAAAAGTAATTATTCCGACTTTCGCGCCCTCAGGTAGGTTCCTTCGTGGTTTAGATTCACCATCTTCTGTGGTTTCGGCCTCGTGTTCGTCTCCATCTTTATTTGATCCGTACAAGGCAGAGAGCAGGCCATCGCAACAAGCTTCTAAAAATCCCCGAGACACAGCTTCCTGGGAGACGTCAAGGAGGAAGAGCCATCGCAAGCCCACCGGTTCTTTGCTCCAGTATTCCTTGGGAACCAAAAATTCGACAGTCCCTTGCATTAGTTCCGGGCGATGTATACGATCCACACGTACACCCGAGGGGTCAAGTGGCGCATAATATTCAGGAGAAACGTCATTGGGGAATGTACACATGTTGCAGATAAATTTATTTCCGCCTGATCGGAAAATCATAAATGGATTTATGTAAGCTCTACATCTTCGGCATCGTGGGGGTCCAGCATCACCGAAGTCCAAAACAGGGACGGGCTGTTCTGCATCGTCTAATGGAGCAAAAGGCTGTAAGATAAGGCCTAGAGGGAGCGAGGTTGAAGCAAGGGACTCTGCTGTAGAAGGGATATTGTTGATAGTGAGCCGAGCAAACTTTGGTGATGAATTTCCTTGGTCATGGGCGACGAACGGAACAGTGGATGGCGGAGGTACATGCCGTTCCATGGTTGGGTAGGTATGTTCAAGGTAATATTGAGCGGGAACATCGCGAGACCGTGGAACACTGGGTATCTGTTCTGGGTCAACCCTGCCTTGTGTCGGCACAGAGCCATCGCCAATAGCCCTGGCGGCCCCTGGTTGCTGTTGCATTTGAGGTGAGGCTAATCCCCCATGAGGAGATGCAACTTGTGGGCTCTGCTGGTTTAAGAATTGGGATGGCTGTTGGGTCGAGCCCGGAGGCATGCCATTGAATGCTCGAGACGATCCTGCGGGAGCCCCGATGTCATGGTATGCATGTCTATCTTTCTTTTTATGTGCCCTGACACTCCCACCTGCTGGGGGGGTTGGTGCTCCGCCGGCAATTCCTAGTCCACCCATCTGAGCAGTTAAGTTGTTTACCCCGGACTGCATATCAACTGGAGCTTGAGGATATCCCTGTGGTGACGGGTATCCTACCGAAGGTGAGGGATACGGAGGGGATTGGGTAAAGCCATGCTGGTGGTGGTATGCTTGCTGAGGGGACGGGGCAACGCCTCCGCTTTGTACGTAACCAGACGGCGGATGAGCAACCGGAGGGACGAACTGAGGAGCTGCGGGCTCGGTCCGTATATGTGATTTCAATCTCTCGTCCTCCGGCACAGCACCGTCGCCTAGGTTGTGGTACATTGAAAAGTCGGCCATTCTTTTGCTGCATTCACGCGTTATGGAGGGGAATCGAGAGAGCAGTCTAGGGGTGGAAGGGTGTAACAATATTCTGCTGCGGCGTCTCCGCGTTCAAAATTGTACTATATCATAACAAACTCATTTCTCAATTCATTCGTAACAGTGACAGCAATTCGACTTTCTATCTTGAACTTCCTTCGATTAAAACTGACCACATCGTTCAAACGTTCAAGGTCCTCGGCGACGGAGTTATATTTAGCCGGATAAGGATTTCCACGTGATTATCTATGGACATTTTCAGCAAGAGTTTTCTACCTGATATTATCTCTCTTATAGTGATTTTAACACTGGCTGAAAAAAAGAAGCCGTGAAGACTATTTAGTTCTACCTGCCTAGCTGATAATAACTCCCAAACCTGCGACTAACCACGCCATCTATTCCAAACGCCAAATTCAGAGACGAAATCTACTTTCGAGAAGAGAGTAACACGGCAATACTCTGATAGCTCAAAAGAAATACAGGTGAGATGCATGATTTCACACACCACAGCTGCCGTAGGGCCCTGTATCGAAATCCTCTGATGGAACTTCTTCGAGAAGATCCTTGGTACGAGGCCCCGTATATCGTCTAGTTACTGTTAGCCAATGTGCAGTTACAGAGTTATCGAGAGCCTACTTTCTAGCCGAGAGCCACCACCATGAGAGTGCAAAGAGGGCGATAAAGACTATTACACAGCTAGCATAGTTCCTGTGTTCTATATTAGCTTCGGAGTCATATTCAGAAGTCGGAGGTTGAGATGCATACATATTTTGCGGCGTCACTGGTTGAATCGGAGGGAAGAACAGGACGACGCTGATGAAGAGCACCCAAGAAATGGAAATCCAGTTGATTATTGCTCCCCAGTTACCAAGGGTAAATGGCCCCTCGATGAACTTCACTTTGTTCTTGTATAGCCGGTGTGCTAAAATCACACCGATATAGGAAAGATCTAGGCAAGGAGCAGTTATGCTGAATATTGATGCTGCGGTTTCGGTGGAACCTATGGCAATACAATTGAGGCATATGGAAAAGAAAACGACGAACCAAACCGCATTCATTGGGGTAAGAGTATATGGGTTTATTTTGGCCAACACCCTATCATATTTAACTGGTCAGCTCGTCCTTACGTATTTTGAGAGCTTGACATAAACGGGGGAACTTTTTCTTACTTTGAAAAAGGCAAAGCATCATCGCGAGCAAAAGCGTAGGCCATCCGGGTATCTGCCAACATAGCAGAGCAACCTGTAAAAAATTGCACAAGGACAGCAAATGACCACATAATTGTCCCACCAGTTCTCCCTCCAGCATCGAGGAAGATCTGTGCTGCCGGGAGCCCAGTTGGTGACTTGAGGACCGCATCAAGATCAGTAATGCAAAAACATAGGGTGACGGTTAACATCCAGCCAAAGACACCAGATACCACAACCGCAGTTTGGATAGCAACTGGGCCCCTAACGGCAGCATCATGGGTTTCTTCAGACATGCTATACAAATAATATATTAGATACCATAGCCGGAGTGGACCGTATTGGGAAAACAGGGTATCTTACTGAGTAGTTCCGTCATAATCTGTCATCGTCCAAGCGACGGCGATAAAACCAAGGAGGAAAGAAAACGCTTTTGAATGCCAGCCTGATCCGTCAGTGACATTGGTGAACACCCACGAAGCAGGCTGCTTGTTTGGCGTAAGAACAAGAAGGGCAGTACATATGCCGATTGATGCGAGGACTACTTATGTTAACCAGGCACACTTTCTCCGAATCACTCTGCAGAAGGTAGTGGTATCTATGGATCACACATACTATTGATTGGGGCAAACCAAAGAATAATCCGATGTAAGCTCTTTGTGGTCAAGGAGCAGATGACACCCATTATGCAGAGTAATGCAATTGAAAGAAGAACGGTCTGAAGGGCGGTCCTGTGATATATATTGTTAGCTTCTTTGCTTCTAGACCTGCTAGGAGCCGGTGTATGGGTTAAGGGCAGGTATACAGACAGAACTCACGGTTTAAAGGAATAATTGCCTTCCTCGTCCAGTGTTGAATTCATACTTGCGGCAGCCAGTAACATCTGGCTCACGGTGTATGCAACGCTAGAAACACCGGCAGTTTGGCCCAACAAGTTACACCATCCCTGAATCCAGGCAAATATCGGGACTTGATCTTTTGGGACTACATGTTTGGTCACAAAATACATTCCCCCCGCAGTCGGGTAAGCAGAAACCAGCTCTGCAACCGACGAGCCAATGCACATTGCCATGACTGATCCAATCAGCCAACACCATACGGCTGTAGCTGGGCCACCTGCACTGAGTGGCTGGCCGAAAGTTGCTGGTACAGATCCTAAGACGCCTAATATCGAAATGGCATATGATATCGTTGACCATTTTGAGAACTCACGTCTCATTTCCTGGAGAAAGATCATATTAGACCGTTTGACCTTTGATACTGTAAACAGGCCGCCTACAGTCTTCATCACGGTTTTTTTAAGATGCCCAAAGAAAAGATTTCCGTACTTGTTTGTACCCAATTCTAGCTAGAAGCCGCTCATCATCATCTTGGATTGTCGCCATTGGAGAGGTATTGCTAGCACTGCTCTCGTGACTAACAGCCAGCTTTTTATCACCAGATCCGCTATGGCCTTGCTCTGATGGTTCCTGGGAAGTAGTTGTTAGACCTGAATCCATCATAACAACTCTTTTTGCTTTCATTGGACTTGCGGTTTATAGACGCATTGAACAGGGTATACCGTCTATGTTCCGCTTATAGTGGTATTTCTTGCTAACAAGAGCAGGACTGGAGTCAAGATAAGCCCTTCGTGGAGCAAAACGTCGAGTTTTTGGAAGTTGGGTGCAGGATGAATAAAAAGGATGTCGTGAGAGATTAAGAGATGCAACGGCTGGAGAAGGGCAAGCTATCTTGATTTTTCGGAGAAAACAGGGTAGAGACCCAACTCATATACAATTCTATGTACTATGTAATACATACCTAACAAGTAGGAAGAGTTTCTTCCTGGCCTGATCCTTGTTTATGTTCGCTCCCTCTTAACGGTGACAACACTCCACAGGAGCGGTGGATCGAGCCCGAACGAAGAAACGAGCAATCGGGAATGAGGAAAGACACTTGTTAGTGCATTTGTCAATTGCGCGTCAGTTCTTAATCAACATGGGCATGAATATTCTCATTTGGTTGCTGCGAATAGTGAGAGAGGTGATGTTGGTACCCGGTGATAGTGTATATATTCCGGTACTCCGTATGTATAATCTGATTCTATTGATCCCTTGCACCAGGTTAACATTGCAGGATGCAGGCAGGTTTCTTGAAAATGGATCAACCGTATTCCCAGACCTCCCGCTTTTCTTCTTGAGAAGACGGCGGGTATTTGCAGTCGAGGTGGTTTTGGTGCCATGGTCACTTTTAGCCATAAGACAAGCCAACCGCAACACCTGGTTAAAAAACTGTACTATGTACGGAGTATGCTTCCCGCTCATTTCGAAACGGACGAGAAAAACAGTTTATATTCAACACGTGGGCCAGGGAAGCAGCTTCATATGCAAGTATCGATAATCCCCGTTTTCGTGGCTTGATATCAAAAGCGCCATCCCTGCTGGTGATTGCTTGGCCGGTTTTTTTCGAAGGTGTTTTTATATACACACAACTTGCCTCCTCCGTGGCTTCTAAGATATCAAAGGTAGCTAATATACCTGCCCTCAGTCGTTAGAGCTTATTTAGCTTGGATTTCTACCAGCCAACAACATTCCATACCCACGATAGGCTTCTTCTTACGTTTTATACATACAATCATTTTATTACATAATCTAACATGCTTAAAGTTAATTTTAATGAATTTGAAAAGTTAATATAAAGAACGAGTCTGATTGGTTGATATTAGCTAACGTCAAACAACTCCAAACACTTTGGAAGATATTCTCGATAATATCATTGCCTGTCATCTGTGGAGGGAACATTTTCAAACATGATACGATCGATTAACTGCCCACTCTCTAACAGATACCCTGAAGGGCCGTTCCCTTGCCTGGTTCAGATACATAGTTGAGCAGTTAAAGTTTAGAGTTTGTCGTCCCGATTGGCGGACCCGAAGATATAATTTCAAGGTCAATTGTATGCTGCATCGACTAACATGAAGAATATCACGGCTGTAAATTTTTATCCCGATCTCACATCTTGTATTGCCTGATAGTATAGGACCTCATACCGTCGAGGGATATGAGAGTGTGGGCTGTTCTCAAATCGCTGTTGTAATATCTGTTATCCAATTTCCTAGTAGTCAACCAATATCAAGAGTGAAATCCCACCGCCAGTAAAGCTATAATACGCACAAAGAAAAAGATGGGCTGTCTGCCAGCGTGCTAATAATCCCAAAATCAACAATAAGAAGTAAGAAATAAAACTGAAGGGAATACATAGACCGAAAACGCCATAGCTTGATACATGTAATATAAGCCCAATTTCACATAGACACGGGTCCCTGTTCATATGCCTTTCTCTCTTCTTCGATCATCTCAATCGCCTCCTCCAGATTTCCGTCAGCAGCCTCGGCAAATATGCGGAGTCTGTTCTCATCTTGAGATCTGTCATTCCCAAAACCAAGAGCCCTAAGATGTGACAGACAAAGTTCAGTTTTGTCATTTAATGGGGTTTCAGCTATGGTTGCAGCCTGGCTTTCGCGGGGAAAAGTCCCGGGGAGATCTGAATGTTGGTGGTCGCGCCCAGTGCTAATCTCTGCTAACTCATGAGTGCTAGACCGTCGTCGGGGGTAGGGGTGAAATTCAAAAGGCCTTGGAGGTGACCTGTGCACACGCTCCGTTGCACTTCGACGAAGCGAGGATGAATTGGAAGTAGGAATAGGAGGAAAGTGGCGAGGAAGTGGGTTGAATGGGTGAGATAGATCTGAGAGTATTGGACGGTTGAAGTGGTTCATGCTGTCCGAGGTGCTGGGTCCAGCCTGGTTTTCGTTTCGGTGAGGTCGAGAAGGTATGCTACTTTGCTGGGTCTCCTGGTCCCATGGCCATGACCCGGGAATTCGATCGGGGACTGTGGGGGCCAGTGGTTCTCTAGAACTAAATCGATTGGTGTTTTGCTCAGAACATCCATGGGTAGGACGAGTTCGTGTGGCTTCCCAATCCGAAACTGGTTGCGGGTTGTGCGTAAGGAGATGTTGCAGTTCAAGTTGCTGCATCGAAGGGTAGCGGCTAATTCCAGAATTAATGTCATTAGGTCCAAATGGGAAATCAATATGTATATCATGTTGTGCATTTGGCCCAAGACTATTGGCACCTTGGGATGCGAGGAGAGATGGATAACGTTCGGCAAGGTTTGCCTCGGATTCGTCAAGTAATGCTGTATTAGGTGGAGGTTGGGTATTGACCGGCCCCTCAGGCACTGGGAGAGTGACTGATGCACATTGAGATGTTGGTGCCAGATGTTGTTGTGGGTGAACAACATTGTCGGTGTTATTATCTAGTTCGCTAACCGGAACTTCTGGATTGGCCATCTCAGCCTCAGTTGTCCCACACAAGAGTCCAGAAGTTGGATGTACAATAGGGCCATCCGATGGCTCCACCGTGTTGTCAGGCTCTGGGTGCAGCGACTCGCTCGTAGGTTCCACATTGATGCAATTCTCCCCGATGAATGTACCCCGTAAAGCTTGCAGCGCTGCAACAGCAGCATAAGTTGTAGGGAAACGGACGTAGCAGAAGCCAGCATGATCTCCAGTTAGGCTATCCTTAGGAAGCGTAACTGTTCCGACAAAGCCCTGGTTGGCTAGCGCTGCAACAACAGATTCTTCGGTAGCATCTGGTGGTAAGTTACCGATGAAGATGTTGTTTGCTGCCGGATTGACCGCTTCAGGGGCTAATGATGGGTCCGATATGTTCGTATTTTCTTGTGGCTTGAGCCCTTTCTCAAAGCCTGCAATGAGTGAACCACCTATGTCTCGTATATCGGATGCAAGTGTTCGCAAGTTATTCAACTGGGTTGTTACCACCCTCTCCGCTTCATTGGTTGCAGTGGAGGATGATCGGGCGGAAGTAGCTGCATGTTGCATGACTCCCGCTAGTGTTTGAATGTGGCTACCCATGGCCTGGAGGGTTTCATGTATGGTGGTGTGCATTTGGTCTGGGATGTGATGCTGCATATCCCTCATCCTCTGTTCAATCTCAGGCAATCGAGCCGTCAACTCGGTTGTAAGCAGATTTACTCGTGATAAAAGAGACTGGAAGGATTTTCCAAACACTGTAACAATATGAGAGATCGTCTCAGCAGTGTCTGGGGCCTGGTCTGCAGTCGAATTAGCGGCAAAGTCCTCCCTAGAGTCTGGTTTCGGTTCTTGCACTTCTGCAGAATGGGATCCGGCATCGGAACCCTTTCCCACTACTATTGTTGGCTCTGCAGTAGTTGGGGGAAGGGATTCCCACCCTGCATTTTGCGCCATAAGGCGGGATAGCTCGGCCTCAAATTGTGACAGGAGTGGTTTGGAAGATGTTTCGATGGGGGATTCTGGACTTTCAGGCTCCCTTTCTCTTGGATTAGGCGAAGGTTCAAAGAACTGCTGAGCTGGTTCATAAGTACGCCAGAAATCCCCAGAATTACAAGCGGACGAATTTTCTGCTGGTTCTAGCCAATATGCGTCGGGCCAGTATAATTTACGGGCATCACGAAGTTGTCTCCCAGCAGCATGTGCCTAGACTATAGTGTTAGCTTGTTCAAATTTAACCAATTTACCGAAATGATCGCATACCTGTTTCTTCCCTTCTTCAGTAATAAAATCATTACCTCCACTCGAGGAAGCTTCAAATAATGATTTGGGTGTACCGTCAGTCGGTCTGGTGCATTTATTAGTCGAAGAGCCTGTAACTGAAGGGTTACATTTTTTATCGACCATGTTTTCCAGTGTGCTCAAATGGTCATCATGTTGCCCTCTCGCATCGGATTCCGGTCGGGTAGTATTGGAATGGTTTGCAGTGCTAGTAGGTTCTGGAGGAGCATTTATCGAGCGGCAACTAGTGATTTGACGGTGACCGCTGTTTGGACGTACCGGTTGGCAAGAAGGCTGTCCATATATACTATTGCTGACGGTCCTGAGACGAAAATCCTGCCAAATATCTATCACGGGGATAGTTTCTTGTATCTCGAATGTATGCATGGTCGGGCTATGCTCTGAGTTAAGTGCGCTGAGTGGTAGACGATAGCTACTAGGTAAAAGCTCCCCGATAAGCTGAGAGAGCTCTAACGATGAACCGACCTGAAAACGACACTGGGTTAATTGTGGAGAGCAAAAGATGGGGACAAGGCTAGGTCTACTTACAACCACAATCTCGCCATCGTCATCGTCCTGATACTGAAGCCTAGCTGCCGGGAGTTCTTTTATAGTCTGGTCATACTCTTTTGCAGAGACTTGGACTACTCCATCGCCTTGGACTTCAAACTCAGCGCTGTGCTGATTATCTGGATCTTGGGTCGAAGCGATGTCAGATCCGAGCTCAGCATCGTTCCTAGAACGACGTCTTCGGTGCAAGGGATGTCCAACGATGCCCTTGATACGAAATGGAGGCAACATCTCGAGGATTCAAAAGGTATCTTCAGAAAAAGGGATTGTAAGTAGGGTAATGATGCGCTGGGGAGCGATAACAAATAAATCCCCTCCAGATATACTGCAGCCTGGAGAAAATACGGGTGTATCTCAACTCTAATAGTGTGGTACACAGGGGCGATACCAACGGTTAGTAGCCCAGCTTGCGAGTTAATCTGACTGCCTGTTCAGATGCCTGCGCGTTCTGGGGCAAATTCACCACAACAAGGCTTCGACTTAGCGGGCTCCTTTCGAAGCTTACGTAGCTATACGTAACAGTACAGGGAACAGAGCTCACAAAGGCCTCTGAAGGGGCAAATAGATGCAGACGTTGATAGTGCTGTTTCGCCTTCCTTCGTTGCCAGGCAGCAGCAATACATAAGTCGTTATGTATCTACAACCCCGAAAAGACGTGCTTTTTTTCTGGGGCGGAGCAAAAAGTTCGTCATACTTGCTTAGTCATTTTAGTCATCAAGTTAGGTAAACCCGGATACGGAAGTACATATATCCGTGATGAATAATCAATGTATCGATCACGTGAATAGTCACTGAGCTTGCCTGATTAGGAAATTAGAAGGGGACGAGGACAAGAAGAAGAAGAAGAAGAAGAAGTGCCATACAGACTGCATTCATCGAGAGATATCTTCTTGTTAGAACATATTCAATTGTTTTATAGACCCTTTCTAATGCGCACATAATCGGCCCCCGAAAAACCACGCACCCAGAGTGGTTGCAATGCCAAACAGCAAACCGTCACAGACCCTAAAAGACCATGTCAACCAGAATGTGAAGCAGGTGGTCCTGGGGAACCTTCAATTTAAGGCATGGTTCGACTCGCGTTATCCTGAAGAGCTAGTGAGACCCGGTGATGGGACGCTGTACGTCTGTCGGTGGTGTTTCCGATATACATGCGACAAGCAGGCATACCTAAGCCATACGACCACATGCGCAAACAAGGATACACCGCTCGGTACCAAAATATATGATCATGACGGATATTCGGTATGGGAAGTTGATGGCGAAGATCACAAGCTATTTGCGCAGAATCTGTCCCTCTTTGCAAAGCTATTTCTGGATCATAAATCAGTGTTCTTCGATGTGTCTTCGTTTCTCTACTACCTTCTCGTCTACACGAATCCCGCCGACCCGAACAACTACCATGTGCTTGGATTCTTCTCAAAGGAGAAGATGTCATGGGATGCCAATAACCTAGCATGCATTCTTATCTTTCCGCCATACCAACACAAGCAACTGGGCAAGTTCCTGATGGGTATCAGTTACAAATTGAGTGCATGGGAATGGAGGGACGGTTTAATTGGTGGGCCTGAGAAGCCGCTCAGTGAAATGGGCCATCGGAGTTATGTGAGGTTTTGGGAGGAGAGGTTAACTCGATTCCTCCTCCATATTAACCCTAGTGGCGCGAAGGACGAGCAAGCCAATACAAAACCACAGACCGCAAAGAAATATAAAAAGAGACCTCCACGGGAGCAGATGACAATACAGGATATTGGTCAAGCGACCGGAATGTTAGCCGAGGATGTTCTCACTGCCTTAAACGCCATGGAGGTTGTTCAGGCAGAGAAGAAATCTGTGAAACGGAAACGAGCCTCCCAGCCAGACGATGAAGATAACCTACCCACTGCCGTTATCAAAAGATCTAGTGTTCTTGACTGGGCTAAGACACATAGGGTGAACCTACGAGACCCTGTTAGTGAAGAGGGCTTTGTAGGGGAATGGGCCATGGGTAGTGACAATGAAGAATTTGATTGAAGATGAAATAACGAACCATCTCTAGTTGAATGATAGGCAAAGGGGGTCTATCAGATGGACTCTTCTGTCGTCCACAGGTCTTCCTCTGGGTGTACCATGTGAGTATATTCTCCATCACATTGGTATACGTACAATTTCAACACTTACTAATGTAGTCTCTGTCAGTGAACATCATCAGACTTCAAGCCACTAATGGGCTCAAGTTGAAAATCCTAAGCGTTTACGTGCTTTAGTATGTCATGATCTGAAGCCTTAGTCCTGCTGTTATTTTACTCATAGGAGTTTAGTTATGAAACCCGGATTCCACTACTCTGATGTTAAACCCGAGCCCAATTCTCACTGTGCCGTCGCTTACCGACATTCTTCTTATAGGTTTGGTAAGATGCCAATCCCTGAAAGAAGTCACCTTCAGTTAGGGCATCCTTCGGCCAGTATCTATCAGGCAAGTGGGATAGTGTGGATTGATTGAACGCGAGCTCGTTAAAGCATGCATAGGTATATTGAGTGATTTCATATTAATCCTCTAGATAAGATTACGGGTTGCTTGGTTGGCTAAAAACTACCGATGATATCATCGTTAGTCCTGTCTCTAAATCAGCAATAAAGTAGCCCTGGCTTTGCCCTGGACAAATATCTCCATCTTTGGGTCTTAAACCCCTAATCTGGTGTCTATCAGAAGGCTCTACCATGAACCCTCTACCTTGTTTATTATATCCATCAATTTCATAGTAAGTCGTCTGGAAATGTAGTAGTTATTCGCCAGCTATTGTGTTTAGACGTGTGTCGAGCGCCTTTTTCTAGTTCAAAGGTGCAATAACAATGAAACGGCGTAAGTTCCGCAGAAGGTAGTCTATTTTGGACATTATCCTAGAGAATTCAGTGGATAGCTAAGCACATAATTTTCTCATTTTTAATCTCTAGAAACCATACTTTTACTCTTCCATTCCCTGTGGGCCACCTTGTTTACCCATCTGTCTGGCCTTCAGCAGCTCGTCGCAGAGAAGCAAATTGGAGGCAATGCCGGCACTGGATGCAATGCAGTTCCTCAGTACCCTGAATGAATCGAAAACACCCTCCTGAACGGGGTCCATTGGATTTCCAGTTACAAGATCCAGACCAGCAATGTTTCCTTCAGAATGTTCGTCTTGCAGGACCGCGATAGATTCCTGAATGTCATGGCCAGAGTTGGCGGCCAAGGTCTTCGGGATGATGAGTAGTGACTCCAAAAAGGCGTCCACACCAAACTTAGATTTACCCTTGACGGTCTTGCGGAATTCTGCGGACTTGAGATGTTCCGCACAGGCAATCTGGAAAGAGCCTGCTCCTGGAACGACAGCTCCATCAACAATAGTGTTGTAGACAGAACGGAGACCGTCACGGGTCGCTTCCGTAATTTGGGTGATTGTGTGTTGGTTGGGTCCTTTTATAAGAAGAGTCACCGACTTGGGGTCTTTAACCTCTTCGATAAAGGTATATTTCTCCTCACCAAGTTCATGCTCGTAAACAAGGCCAGCCCAACCAAGTACGTCGGGTGAGAGGTCATCAACGCTATTTTGAGCAGTGCCACCACATACTAGTTGCAATCGTTCCATGTTTCTCCTCTTTGCTCGGCGCAGGGCGAGTATGCCATTCTTCACGAGGACATCCAAACTCAGGGGGTCGATACCCTTCTGATTAATGACAACAAATGACTTCTTCGGATCATTTCCACAAACCTCCTTCTTCAAGTCCACAATCTTCTTCAGTTTAGCATCAACAAATTTACGTTCACTCTCCACAAGTTTATCCCTCTGTTCTGCAGTCGAATAGAAGAACCCGGAGTTAATCTCGGACTTTTCATATTCAAGACTCACATTGAGAGTAAGAATAAAAGCGTTCTCTACTCGTTTTGGCATGTCAGGATGACGGGCTCCATGGTCCAAGGCGAGACCTCGAATAAGCTTGGTATCCGAGGCAGTGCGATGCTGCATCTTCATAATTTCAATCATGTGCAAATCTGGTTTTGTTGGGGCCTTGTAAATCGCAAGAACGGCATCAACAATGGCAGGCGTTAATTTTTCTGCGAGAGTGCGGTTCAACTTCGTCGCAAGAGAGGTTCGTGCTACCGATAGTAGTAGTTCTCTGTCGATATTTCGCTTAAGCTTAAATGTCTCCAGAAACTATAGTAACAGAGCGATTAGCATGTATCATTTTGCGAGAAGCACCAAGCATCCCTGGGTATGTATACCTTTAGTGCTTCATCCTTCGCAATTTCATATCCATCAGTGATGACTCTAGGATGTAGGCCCTCAGAGATATGCCGATTAGCCTGTTTAAGTAATTCTCCAACAAGGAGAACCACAGACGTAGTTCCATCACCAGTGATATCATCTTGTGCTGTTGCAGCTCTGGCAATCATCACCTGGAACCCAGTATATCAGTAAATGCATCGTTTTAAAAAGGGAGCCTAGGTAGTGTTATACCGCGGTAGGATTTTGAATTTGCTATTTCCAGATCTAACATTAGCAGCTGTAGCGGTAAGCGAGGGAGAAAACGCTGTAACAAACCATTTCTCGCAACAACACATTTCCATCTTTCGTAAGCTTAATCTATATATTCATTGTATAAGAATACGGCAATAGTATGGGAGTAAAAGGAAATCCGTGAGGCTCATACCGATCCCGCACCATCAACAAGCCTATATGTTGTCATGTTAGTCAACGGTATATAAATATTGTGTATAGAAACCCCACATACATTTTAATGGTGCCAGAAGGTCCTAAATTGGACTTGAGGACATCTTGAAGGCCTTCACCGGCGCTGATATTAACTTTTAATGCTTCTCCCCTCCGCTATATTTATTGTTATTCACAGTGTCCTCTGAGAGAGTGGGATGGAAGGGGGGTAAAGAGCAGTACCCTGGACTCCGCCTTCGGGTTCAGCAACTGTGTTGCAGACATGGCGAGTAGGATGAAATCTTCTGTATAAATCCGGCCGTATCAGCCTGATAGAATGGACAATACAGTTGAAAGCTGGTATCAATGCTTCCAAAGTTGTTATTTTCAGCAAAAAGATTATCAAAAAGTGTCAAAAAGTAAAGTTCAAGCTCGAAGCTCTGCGCACATTTCCCTTTCCGCACTAGCGCGTCCACAGAGGGAAGAGAGAAAAAAACTTCGACTTTTTTTTGCTTCTTGCGGATTTTCCAGCTTCAAACAATATTTTCACAGAAGCTCCACGAATAAACCGCCAATTGACGGGAATTAAGCTACAGGAGGGTAATTCGATTCCCTGCTCATAGATATGGCGGACTTTCTTCTTTTCGAGGGCCCCGTGGGCTACTCACTCTTCAAAGTTATTCACGAACCCGACTCCGTTGGAAACAGACTGAAGGAGGTTCAAGCTGCTAGCCAGGACCTTGCGAAATTCGGGAAGATGGTTGAGGTTGTCAGTTTCTTGCCATTCGAGTAAGCAGTGCCTTTCGCCCTTCTGTACCTCCTATTTTTTAACCTACGCGTACTGATTTATGTTTAGGAACAATAAGCAAGCGCTCAGCGAAATTAACGATGTATCCGAAGGTGTGGCCTCTGAGACACTGATCTCGTTCCTTGAGCTCAATTTACCAAAATCCAACAAGAAAAAGAGCGTGGTTATGGGTGTTTCTGATAAAGGCCTTGCTGGTAGCATCAAGGCCGCGTTCCCATTTGTAGAGTGTGAAACCGGCGACACCAGTGAAGTTGTGCAGGATATGTTGCGAGGAATCCGAATGCACTCTGGAAAGCTTCTTAAGCAGCTCCGTGAGGGTGATATCAACACGGCGCAGCTCGGTCTCGGCCACGCCTACTCTCGCGCGAAAGTCAAGTTCTCCGTTCAGCGCGACGACAATCACATCATCCAGGCCATTGCTATTTTGGACCAATTGGACAAGGCCATCAACACTTTCTCTATGAGGGTGAGAGAATGGTACTCCTGGCACTTCCCGGAATTGGTTAAGATAGTATCTGATAACCACCGTTATGCCCGTTGTGCCCTTTTTATCAAGGACAAGAAAGACCTTTCGGAAGATAAGCTTCATGATTTGGCCGCCATCGTGGACGAGGACGAGGGTATTGCCACTAGCATTTTAGACGCTGCCAAGCACAGTATGGGTCAGGATATCACTGGCACGGATATGGAGAATGTTATCGCCTTTGCTGAACGCGTTGTCAGCCTTGGAACATACCGCAAAAATCTGCACGCTTACTTGGTCAATAAAATGAGTGTTGTTGCTCCTAACCTGGCCACCCTTATTGGAGAAGTCGTCGGTGCACGTTTGATCTCGCATGCTGGAAGCTTGACCAACCTTTCAAAATACCCTGCTTCGACCGTACAAATCCTTGGTGCCGAGAAGGCCCTTTTTAGAGCTCTCAAGACCAAGGGTAATACCCCCAAGTACGGCCTTCTATATCATTCTTCTTTCATTGGCCGCGCCGGTACCAAGAACAAGGGACGTATCTCTCGGTTCCTTGCAAACAAGTGCTCTATTGCATCAAGAATAGACAACTTCTCTGAGACACCGTCTACGGCATTTGGAAATGCTCTCCGACAACAAGTTGAAGAAAGATTGGAATTTTACTCCTCTGGTGCCCCCCCTACAAAGAATGAAGTGGCTATGGTATGTATAATTTCCCTATTATTTTCTTTACAGTTACTAATATCTACTCTTCTATTCTCAGAAAACTGCCATGGATTCTATCCTCGCGGATATTGAGATTGATGGAGACAATGATGTCGAAATGGAAGATGTAGAAAAGGCTGAGAAATCTGAGAAGAAAGAGAAGAAGAAGGAAAAGAAGGAGAAGAAGGAGAAGAAAGAAAAGAAGGAGAAGAAGAAGAAGGAGAAAAAGGAGAAAGTGGCCGATGCATCAGATGACGAAGCTGATGCTTCACCGAAGAAGAAGCGGAAACGTGACGCTGATGTTAGTTCGGAAAAGAAGAAGCAAAAGAAGTGAAGCCCGTTTGATTTGGAGTCTTTGAATGGCGTTTTAGGAAAGGAATTTTTGTCTCTGTGCTTGTCTTGACTGGAAGGATTGTCTGATGTTATTTTATCTCGTGTATACTTACGACACCTCATTTTGAATCGATATCAGTGAGCATTCATTCTCTTTAAACGCGTCTTGCTTAGTAATCGTGCACCACAGTAGAAAACTAACTTCTCTAAGTTGGACAAACAACGTTGGCATATCAGCCGTCAAGCAATCGTCAGTCATGGAAAATTTCACATACCCCGGCGGAAGAATGTCTAATGTTCACTAGCCAGTGCAGCTATCACTTGAATTCATAGGAATGATGCACATTCGGCAGCGCACCTCCTGAACCGCTACTTTTTCAGATGAGCATTGAGGCAGTATACCCCTAAGAGATGGAACAGAGGGTGTTAGCTATTCACAACAAATCTCTGAAGCGTAAACGTGACGAATCTGATTTTAGCGAAGAGTCGCTTTCACCACTATCAAATGTTGCTCAACACGATGCAGATGGCGAGAATTATGATCAGGGCGATGTGAAGACACCTGGAGCTTGTCTGGACGGAACAGTGGCAACTAAATTTCGGGACCTCGATATACAATGCGCGAGCTCCACAAATGCGAAGATTCAACAAATACCTCCGGAAGGTGGCTATGTGCAGCCTCAGAGGCCCGAAAATGCACAAAAGCCACATGCTCTAGATGCTTCCACAAACGCACCAACCACAAGTACGAAGAAAGCCATATCGAATGAGGATATAAACAAAGTCAATATAGCAGACTTTACCAAGGGATCTTCATCATCTACCGGCCAAATTCACCCGGATATTGCAGATTGCTCGCGCCCAGGCTCACCGCCTCCTCAATGCTCCGAGACTAGCGATACTGAGAATTATGAAGAATCGCTGACTTGGGATGACTCAGAAATAACGGGCCATCATGCTACGGATCCAAACGATGACGGGTATGGGCTTAATGGGGTCGGGTTTAAGCCCTCAGCAGAAGTAGCGTGGGCTAGATCTCAGCATCGAAAGGACCAGGTAGCTAAATGGGAGAGACGCCAGGCGAACGAGGCACGCGAAGCACGGAGTAGGCGAAGACAAAGGAATGACGGCGGTAGCCCCGCTATTACGATAGCAAAGAGCGCTCCCAAACAGAAGAAAGTCAAATTTGATGCATAATACTTGTAAAAATACAGATTCTGGATATTAGAGAAGGGGTTCTTGGAAACGAAGGCTATATTACATAGATGAAATAATGCTCATACAAACGTCAACCCAATGCTATACCGCCGTTGAGAGCACCTATTGGCCTGGGATGCCCGCAATCCGGACTCCAAGACTCCTAAAGGATGTATAATAAATATCCCCAATATCTACCAGAATTTATAGTTGGACGGGTTTGTCCAGCTTCTCCGTCGCGCCTCTTCGGCTTTCCGGGCCTCCTCTTCCTCCTGAAGTTTTCTGGCAGCATCCCTCTCCTTCTGCTTCCTAAGTTTGAGTTCTCTCATGAGCTCAGCAGCTTCCTTCATTCCCTCGCGTTCAATCGCCCTCTGTCTCTGGCAGTATTCATGTGCCGCCAACGAAACAATTGCGAAAGACCCAACGGCCCAGTTACTAGCAGACCATAGCGAACGAATGCCTAGCCGTAGAAGTTAATATCAATTACGCTCTCCCAAGATTGTTAGTATAAAGCCTCGTTCATACCTCCAAGAATTGCCCTTACTCCTCCAACGCCGAACCCTGTGCCGATTCCCAACAGAAGTGAATCTCGTGCGCATGGAGCTTTGTAGGCCGATATAAACTTGTCAAGAGACAGGGATTGTAATGAATTCATAAATGTAACCTCCTTAGGCTTACCACCCGCGGAATTGTAAGTACCGCCAGGCATCAGATTAACCGGCTCGCTGGGGTTTCCGAGCTCCTCCCACAGTTTGCCCGCCTGCGACTTCGAGAGTTCATATTTTGCCTTCCCGTCTGTAGTTTTCGGCTCTGTTTCCGACGAAATGTCTGCCGGTGAGGTTTGATCCAGCGAATCCGCCGCCATACCTGTCCCCCTCTCGTTATGAGCTGTAAGTGGTTGTTTGTTCTGTAAGTCCGTCAAAATCTCCTTTGACTTCAACTTTTCGTACCTTCAAAGAAGGCTTGGCGTGCGCCAAGGCATGCTCCTTGACATGGAAAGTTTATCCGCCTTCTTGTCAATTAAACGAAAGAAACGCGAAGAAACGCGCGAGACGCGATTAATTAGTTACGCCTCGATTTTCTTTCATGTTGTTTTTCTAGCTGTTGTGTAGCAAAGCGCTTTCTTCCGTGTCCTTGTTGCCTTCTTTTAATGTAGCCTTCTCTAACATTGCTACTCTGCCTAATGGATCGATTCTAATCGTACTTTTTTTTATTTTTTATTTTTATTTTTTTTGTTTTTTGTTTACGCACTCGTTTTTTTAACGATACCTACCGACATGGCCCGCCGACCCAGCAAATATGGCAACAATTTCAGATCGCAGTCGTCATCGTTTATACCGAAGAAAGCAAAGACTATCGGTGTCTCATCACTACGATCGAGTGAAGCTACCTCTCAAGATGAGAAATTCCAGGCATTGCGTATCGCAAACGAGATCGATGAGACCATGGGGTTTGCACGATATGAGGCAGGGAAGAAGCGAATTGGATGGCTATGCAATATGCACAGTACAACCATAGAGGATTCAAAGATTCCTGGTGGTCGGGCAGCGGTAGAATTTTATTTTCTCGAAGACAATGGCGGCAGCTTCAAAGCAGCTGTCGAATACGATCCTTATTTTCTAATAGCCACAAAACGAGGACATGAACTGGAGGTGGAAGAATGGTGCAAACGAACATTTGAAGGCTTAGTAAAAAGCATAAAGGTGGTAGAAAAGGAGGACTTACAGATGCCAAATCATCTACTTGGGTATAAAAGGAAGTTCCTACAGTTGAGCTTTGCCAACGTCATGGACTTGCTTGCAGTACGGAAAACTATCGCTCCTATTGCCACAAAAAATAGGAAGAATGTCAATGCAATGGATACATATGCAGAACTTGCGAGGTTAGTATTCACATGTACTATATATTCCTAGTGTGATGCTAATTTATACTTCGTAGTGCTAATGCTGGATTTGATCTCTTCGACGATGATGTTAACAGTCGTGGACAAAACTCACTGCAGGATGCCACAGACTATATCGTGGATATCAGGGAGTATGATGTTCCCTACCATGTCCGTGTCTCAATTGATAAAGGTATCGTTGTTCCGAAACGAGATGGCGTGCTTGGACAGTAACTAACGGGCCGTAGATATCCGCATTGGGAAATGGTACACGGTCCAATCAATCCAAGGGCTAATATCATTGACTTGTCTCGAGGAAAGGCTTCAAAGAGCCGACCCAGTTGTCCTTGCATATGATATAGAAACTACAAAACTCCCACTGAAATTCCCGGATGCTGCGATTGACCAGATAATGATGATATCATATATGATTGATGGTCAAGGTTATCTGATAACAAACAGAGAGATTGTCTCTGAGGACATCAATGATTTCGAATATACTCCTAAATCTGAATACCATGGCCCTTTCACAATTTTCAACGAGCCAGACGAGAAAAGAGTCCTTGAGCGTTTCTTTGACCACATCAAGAAGGCAAAACCTAGCGTTATCGTCACCTATAACGGTGATTTTTTCGATTGGCCTTTTGTTGAGGCGCGAGCAAGTGTCCAAGGGATTGATATGTACGCCGAAATTGGCTTTCGAAAAAACAGCGAAGACATTTACCAAAGCGATTATTGCGTTCATATGGATGCGTTTTCTTGGGTAAACCGAGACAGTTATCTACCACAGGGAAGCCGTGGTTTAAAGGCTGTTACAGTTGCGAAGCTAGGTTACGATCCTGATGAGCTCGACCCAGAATTAATGACCAAATATGCAAGCGAACGGCCCCAAACCCTGGCAGAATACTCAGTTTCTGATGCCGTAGCGACGTATTATCTATATATGAAATATGTCCATCCTTTTATCTTTTCACTTTGTACCATTATTCCCCTGAGTCCTGACGAGGTTCTTCGAAAAGGCACTGGAACCCTGTGCGAAATGTTGCTGATGGTCCAAGCATATCAACATAACATTATATTGCCCAATAAACACATGGACCCGAATGAATCGTTCTATGAGGGCCATCTCCTCGACTCCGAGACTTATGTTGGAGGCCACGTGGAGAGTATAGAGGCTGGTGTATTTCGCTGTGATATTCCTGTTAATTTCACCATTGATACTACGGCTATCGATGAGCTCCTTCGTGACCTTGATGCAGCACTTGAATTCAGTATTACTGTCGAAGAAAAGAAGTCTCTTGAAGATGTGGTTAATTACTCTGAAGTCAAGGCGCAGATTACAGAAAGACTACTGAAACTGAAAGATTCACCTAACCGGAAGGAAAGACCATCCATCTACCATTTGGATGTTGCATCTATGTACCCAAACATTATGACTACCAACCGGCTGCAGCCAGATTCAATGATCAAGGAGTCAGACTGTGCCGCATGTGACTTCAATAGGCCTGGGAAAACCTGCGACAGGCGCCTTCCGTGGTCATGGAGAGGAGAATTTTTGCCTGCGAAGCGTGATGAATATAACATGATACGGCGTGCAGTTGCGAATGAAAAATTTCCCGGGAAGACGAAACACCACCCCCCAAGGAGCTTTGAGAGCCTCAGTGAGAGCGAGCAAGCCACTATTGTGAAAAAAAGATTGCAAGAATACAGCAAGAAAATTTATCACAAGATTCGTGAAACTAGAACTATTGAACGTGAAGCCATCATCTGCCAGAGAGAAAATCCATTCTATGTTGATACTGTCCGGAACTTTAGAGATCGAAGATATGATTTTAAAGGCAAACAGAAGGTATGGAAAGGCAAAGTAGAGTCTCTCAAGTCTTCTGGTGCCGCAAACTCGGAGATTGAGGAAGCTAAAAAAATGGTCGTTTTATTTGACTCTCTACAGCTTGCCCATAAGGTTATTTTGAACAGTTTCTACGGATACGTGATGAGAAAAGGTTCCCGGTGGTATTCTATGGAGATGGCTGGAGTCACTTGCCTGACTGGTGCACATATTATTCAAATGGCAAGGGAACTAGTGGAACGAATTGGGCGTCCCCTAGAGCTAGATACAGATGGTATTTGGTGCATGTTACCAGCTACTTTCCCCGAGAATTTCGTATTCAAACTCGTGAATGGTAAAAAGCTTGCCATCTCATACCCTTGCGTCATGTTGAACCATCTGGTTCACGGGAGGTTCACCAATGATCAATATCAAACCCTCACAGATCCTGCTACATTCAAATACACAACCCACAGTGACAACTCCATCTTTTTCGAGGTTGACGGGCCTTATAGGGCTATGATCCTCCCAACCTCAAAAGAAGAGGATAAGAACTTGAAGAAGCGTTATGCTGTATTTAACCACGACGGATCTCTTGCCGAGCTGAAGGGATTCGAAGTTAAGCGAAGAGGAGAACTTAAACTCATCAAAGTGTTCCAGACTCAAATATTCAAGTTCTTCCTCGAGGGTACTACTCTCGAAGAGACGTATGGTGCTGTCGCCGAAGTCGCGAATAGGTGGTTAGATGTCTTGCATATGCACGGCTCAACACTTGCTGATGAAGAACTCATCGACATGATCTGTGAAAATAGGAGCATGTCTAAAACCATTGAAGAATATGGGGGTCAGAAATCAACATCTATTACGACAGCGAAACGACTTGCTGAATTCTTGGGGGAGCAGATGATTAAAGACAAAGGGTTAAACTGCAAATATATCATTTCTTCGGCCCCCAGAAATTCACCCATTACAGAAAGAGCCGTTCCAGTTGCCATATTTTCAGCCGAGGACAATATTAAACGGTTCTTCCTACGCAAATGGATGAAGGAGGATCCTGGTGATATGGATCCCCGTACAATCATCGACTGGGACTACTACCTGGAACGGTTGGGATCTGTTATTCAGAAGTTGATAACTATACCTGCTGCACTGCAAAAGATTTCAAATCCCGTTCCTAGAGTGGCTCATCCAGATTGGCTTCAGCGAAGGATCAATACCAAAGAAGATAGATTCAAACAAAAGAAGATGACTGAACTGTTTACGAAAAATCCATTAGCCAATCTGTCAACAAACATAATGGATCATCGTATTCCTGCAGCAGGAGATATCGAGGACTTGATGCAACGAGGAAGCCAGAAGCCAGGTACACAGCCAGGGAACAACCACACCCAGAAACGAAAAGCGCCTGGGGATACGGTTACATCGCAAGACCCTTTTGCGAGTCTTCCGCCAACAATGCCGTCAATAACTGAGAACTATGAAGATTGGTTGCGATACCAGAAACAGAAATGGAAGATTCAGAAACAGGCACGACTCAGACGCCGTAAGCTCTTCGGTGCTATGAAAACTACAGCCTCCGACTCAATTGGTGGTTTCTTCCGAAACCAGGCTGAACTTACATACGTTAATACATGGCAGATATTGCAACTTCGGGAGACTGGCAGCCCAGGTGAAGTAAGGGCATTCGTACTAATTGATCGTAAAGTGCACACTATTACCATCAAAATCCCGCGTCATATTTTTATCAACTTCAAGGATGTGGATTTACCTGATGTTGATATCACTGATTGCTCAGTTCAGAAAGTAAACCACACGCTGCCAAATGGCCATCCCTCCGTTCATCTATTCCAATTGAGTATGCCAGAAGAGGTATATCTGAGAGAAGCATCGAAAATATCCTTGTTACTCAATCACCCAAGTGTCGAAGGGGTGTATGAGAAAAAAGTGCCCTTCAATATTCGGGCTGTCCTTAAACTTGGAAATCACTGTACCTTTGATGAAGATCAGCGAGGTGTCCTAGGTAAAGGCTTAGAACATGGTTTTGACTTGTCGACCCTTCTTCCTGCACCTGAACCGGGTGTCTATCTTGAGGGAGCAGAATTTCAATACGTCCTCCTCTATCATATAGTCTCAGGAGAACGCGAGATATTCTCAGTTTTCTCGACGCAATCTAAAGAAGCGTATATTGTGACTTACACAAAACAGAGAGATTTCCAAGGGTTTCCCAATGTTGACAGAGTCTTCGCCGAAGCACGTCAGCGGAAAGCAAGCGAGCAAAATAGCGAAACGTGGCAGCAAATATTTGAGTACCAGGAAAAGCTACATTTCAGGACAACTCAGGTTACAACAAAACGGAAAGCTCACCTTGAAGTCGGTGACATTATAAAAAAGTTCCGCAATGAGAATACCATGCCAATGATGGTCGTGGTCCAGTCACCCAAATGTCGCCAACTTCCTCATCTAATTTCCAGTCTGAAAGAATATCCAATGATATCCCTGAGGTCCAATGCGTCAGATAATGAACTGCCACCGCTCGGTTGGCAAGCTTATGCCGCAAGACAAATTGTGATGCACTACTTGGCACTGGATTCCTGGATTAGCCATCTACTCGGATTTGCAAGATACGGCAATGTCCCAATTGGTAACCTCGAGAAGGACGACCCTAAGCATTTGATCGATATTCTCTATGCTCGTCGGCTTGAACAGAGCAATGTTGTCTTATGGTGGTCCTCCAGCCCACTTCCAGATCATGGTGGCTATGAGAAAGATAACATTTTAGGCCCGTTGAATTCGGTCGAGATGACCTCTGTCAATACTCCCGGCTCATATTCCACTGTTTGTATTGAGCTCGAAGTTCGAAATCTTGCGATTAATACTGTCCTTACTTCCTCACTCATCAGTGATCTTGAGAGTAATGAGCCTGCGTTGCTAAACCCAGCAGCCCCGGGAGACCAAGAAAGCGCTTCAGATGGAACTGGCGTTTTATATTCGGACACCGCTTTTTCTGCTGTGGGTATACTTGTTTTGCGTGATATGGTAAAGTCATGGTGGAATGAGGCTTGTAAAGGTAATGGAATGGCGGATGTAATGGTCCAGCATCTCATTCGATGGGTGGAAAGCGCAGATTGCTGTTTATATGATCATTCATTATACCAGTATATGCAAATACTCCTAAAAAAGGCCTTACAACAACTTATCATGGCCTTCAAACGAGTCGGGTCTAATGTTATCTACGCAAATCCAAACAGACTGGTTCTCCAGACGACCAAAACTGAGGTTGGAAACGCTTACGCATACAGCAAATATATCCTAAATTCTATCAAGGAAAAACCATTGTTTCACTTCCTTGACATTGACATCAAGGAATACTGGGATTATTTGATCTGGTATGATGAATTTAATTATGGTGGCAAGGCATGTCAGGAAGTTGTCGCAGCAGATAATCAAGAATTGGAGGCAATTATGAACTGGCAGATTAGCAGATTTTTACCTATTCCGCTACAATCTGTTTTTGTGGACTGGATTGTGGAATACGTTGAGATAATGCATGGGCTCAAGAAGCCGGCTGCTGGGCAAGGCGAGGCTGATGGAACCCCTCGACAGACACAACTCCCATCCCGACCTGAAGAAGACAGCGAGAGCGTCGAGATAACTTCAGTGCTGAGTCAATCCTTCTCCAAAGCACTAAAGAAACAGATAGTTGGCTTAATTCGTCGACAGCGTGACGAGATGCTCCATCCTGAGCTAGCCTCCGATTACGACTTCCCCGTACTTCCTGGCGCAGCTCCATCCGAACATGAACGAAACCCAACCCTAGAGTTGGTTAAATATCTCATGCATATCCTCGGGCTTTCTAAATATACCGCGCTGGAGGTGAGGCTTCTGCGTCGAGACCTCCTCACTCTATTCGACATTCGCGAGTTTAGTGACGAAGGGAAATTCGAAAGCCCAAGCTCGAGCCTTGTAATGGCACAAATAATATGTCACAACTGTACTATGGCTCGGGACCTAGACCTCTGTCGTGACCCCGAATTGCTCCCTGAGAGCGGGACTGAAAATAATGCGTCAACGACTCTTCCTCCATGGACATGCCCGTACTGCTCTACCGAGTACGATCGGCTGTTCCTCGAGGAGAGAATCATTGGCGAGGTTCATGGCCTCGTTATGGAATGGCAAGCGCAGGACCTTAAGTGCGCAAAATGTGCTGGTATAATGATTAACCCATTCATGGAACACTGCTCATGTAGCGGTGAATGGGTTGGGACTATAGACAGGCGTGCTATAGAGAAGAAGCTGCAGGTGTACCAAAGCATAGCTGATTTTTATGGCTTCAAAATGTTGTCCATGGTTACGAAAGGCGTTTTGGAAAGCATATGAGCAGGCTCGTTCATGATTTTCATGATATATTTATGATCTTCGATAATGTTACTTCGACATAAGAGCTTTGCTCTAGTAATGGATCGTTGCATTAGTTGGCTTTATTTGGTGTATGTATTTAATTACCGGCGTTCATGGAGGCTAAGAGAGGCGGAAACGGTATATCATTCACTGTATTTATCTACTGTTTGTCGCAATAAAATAATATAATTCCTCATGATCGCGTATGAGGTTTGTATACATTTTCTAACAAGACGTCTCCTTTTTCCCTTTTTTGGAGGCGTCCAAGCCGCTTCGTCCAAAACGGACGCGGAAGCTTAACTCCACCTCGAAGTGTCTTCCAACATGTAGTCAAAAACACCCGCAAGTTTTGTTCTACACTCGAGAGGCTGGACTTCACCTTAGGACTCTCGCGCGACTTTGTATCGTACAGTAAGTGTTTCCATGGGGCTCCCTTGATTTAACCTTGATAACTGTTGGCTTTACTCATGGGAATCATCCACAGGTTGCTCGTTATTTACCCCACTTGAGATCGCATTCCCTCCCCCTTTTATACTACTCGATTAGGAGAGTAAAGACCAAATCCTACGAGATATATAACCGCTACGCCCGAGGATCCGTCCACTGTTTCTACCTGTTCTTACGCGTGCTTTAACAAAATTTGATCAATATCCTAGCTCAATGGCAACCCAAGTTCAGCCAGAGACGAGTAGGCCAAAGACCGAAGTCCAGCCATGCAGGTATAAAACAGGCAAAACACTGGGAGCTGGATCGTACTCCGTCGTGAAGGAGTGTGTGCATATCGATACAGGACGGTATTATGCTGCAAAGGTTATCAATAAACGTTTGATGGCTGGGAGAGAACATATGGTACGCATTCTATCTTGTGTGTGTTGCATAACCATTTCTGTGATAACGGAAACTAACTGGCTGTGTTTATCAAAGGTTCGAAATGAGATTGCCGTACTGAAAAGAGTCTCTATGGGACATCAGAATATCCTTACCTTAGTGGACTATTTTGAGACTATGAACAACTGTGAGAGCCTCCCCCATCCCCCCACCCAAGAAAAAAAAAAAAAGAAAAAAAAAAAAAAATCGAAAGTAGAACTGGAGTGATATTGGTCTTTTCAATTAACGAGGCTCATATAGTGTATCTCGTCACCGATCTTGCCCTGGGAGGGGAATTATTTGATCGAATTTGCCGAAAAGGAAGTTACTACGAGTCTGACGCGGCTGATCTTATTCGAGCTACATTATCCGCAGTAGCATACCTCCACGATCATGGCATCGTCCACAGAGACTTGAAACCTGAAAACCTTCTCTTTCGCACCCCTGAAGATAATGCTGATCTTCTAATTGCTGATTTCGGTCTCTCGAGGATAATGGATGAGGAGCAGTTCCACGTTTTGACAACAACATGCGGTACCCCCGGTTACATGGCCCCGGAAATTTTCAAAAAGAGTGGACACGGAAAGCCTGTGTAAGAGCGGAATTGCCCACCTTATGCCGCATATTTATTAAAAAGTTGATGCTAATACATGACTTTAGTGATATCTGGGCTATTGGAGTAATAACATACTTCTTGCTGTGTGGTTATATGCCTTTTGACCGTGACTCCAATGTTGAGGAAATGCAGGCCATCCTTGTAGCGGACTACTCGTTTACTCCTGAGGACTACTGGCGCAATGTATCTCCCACCGCGTGTGAGTTCATTAATAGGTGCCTTACCACTGACCCCCTTGCCCGTATAACTTCCCATGAGGCTCTCCAGCACCCCTGGATCAACCCCCCAGCAGATCCTATGAACCCCGAAGCTACTGCAAAGGCTGGCACTGGTGAGGATCTTCTGCCCGTGGTCAAGAAGAACTTCAATGCCCGTCGAACATTGCACAAGGCCATTGATACTGTTCGTGCCATCAACAAATTGAGAGAAGGTGGCGGTTTGATGATGGATGGTGCAATGAGCATTGATCCAAGGCCAGAAAAGGTCAATGGTGACCAAGTTACCCCCGAAAATGGAGGTCACGATGGCCATATGGAAATAGATAGTAGGGGAAATGCTAGAGGGCAAACTGAGGAGCAAATTAGAGAACAAGAGAAGAGGGTTAAAAACGTGGTTACAGGGCTGTGGAACCAGTCTGCTGCTGGACGGCGGTGAAATATCCAGGGTATGGAATCCCTTCCCGATTACGTTTGATTCATTCATTTACTCCTATATACAAAGTCTTCTAATTTGGGGCCAACGATAGCCCGGAGTAGAACACTTATTTAGTTATTATGGATTAGTGGGCTAACAGAGAAGTTTTTATGTATTTATGAGTTTTGCTGTCTCCTATTTCATGATATATATACTTTGACTCCCATGTCGAACATCTGCCATCTAGCAAAATAAATGAATCCATGTTCAACATATAAAGATTGGAAAGGGGATAAGGAACTGGTTCAAGGGGGTAACCCTCGATACTGTAGAGAGTGAATATAGAACTGTTTATTAGTTACTGCTTTAATTAACTACCGTACTTTTACATCGCAGATATATGTATTGGATAATTTAAATATTGGTATTTTAAAATAAAACATTGTAGGAGGAAGTTAGAAAGTCCAGATAGCTTTTAAGAGAAGCTATCTAAAAACGCTCTCCGTAGAAATCTAGCACTTGAGCTTTCCGCACTGGCGGCAAGAGTTTCTGACACCATAGTCGCAAGCCTTGCCGGTGCCACGAGCGCACTCGAAAACGTGGCCGTTGGTGCAGGCACGGTTTATCCGCTCGTTACCGCAGAATTGTCCTTGAATTCCATTGCACAGACAGTTGCTTGGGCGGCAAGCTCGCTTCTCAAGCTATCAGTGCATTCCATGTTAGTACAATCCATAAAGATTCAAGATCATATAGTGCTTACAGGGTTTTCAGCACCTGTAGCAGCTGCGAGGCAGGCAGGTACAAAGGCAACGAGGGCGAAGACGGTGGTGAGCTAGAAGGCCTATGTCAGTGTACTCGAGTTAAACGCTGCTGGAGGTATAAATTACCTTCATTTTTGTTGTTTAAAAGGGGTTTGAAAGGTTGATTTGGATCGAGATATTATCAGATGTGTGCCGGTTTGTTGAAAAGAAGCAGATGAAGGGGATGAACATGCTCCTTTATATATGTTAGTCTCGAAGCCCCCTTTTCCCTGCCTTCTCTTCATTTTTGACCGCAGCTCAGGTTATACGGGCACCATTCCGTCTCTCATGTCACTGAAAGTATCGGAAAGCTCACTCATTGGTATCTGCTGCTCAACGGAGAACTGAGTTCCACATATTCGGCGAAGGGATAGCGGAAGCTTCTGTGATAATTATACTGATCCCTGCCTTTGTTTGTTTAGTGGTCGTACTGCTGCTGGCTTGGACATGTATAGGCCGCGTCGCAGACACGAGAACAGTTGCTGACAATGCGTCTAATCGCCTTAATATTGCCACGCTCGGTGCCCTGCAGGTGGGATATCACATCAACTTGTCCAAGGAGAGGGGAACGCATTGCATCATATCCAGTAGGTATCATAATGAAGGATTCGACCTTTGGTCTCTGATGGAGATATTACTTCGTATATTCCCGTGCCTTTGTTTGTCGTTTGCCTTCTCCGGACAAGGGGCACAGTAGCTAAGTGCAATTGACAATGATTGACTTGATCAACCAGCAATCACGGAGTTTTCTAATTTTAGAATTTGCGGCTGTTCCCTTGTTCAGTCCAGCTGCCTCTCGGGGTGGTGCTGTTTCTAGTTGTCGATGCCGTTCCGGAGAATCTCCGTACGAGACGTATCTATCGCTATAACAGCATTATTCTGAGCCTTAAACAACGATGTTACCAAGACGTTGTACTCTGTATACGAGTAAGGAGGTACTCATGCCCCATAGACCAGCATGTGGAGGCTGAATGTAGTTTATTTTAGCTCAGTATGTAGTTGGCTGGTAGCTGTGGAGGCCAATGATGATCGTTCGTATATTCGTACCAGCGATATACATAGTACATAGCCCAGCACCGAGTTCCGCCCCTATTAATCTCTGCGAGAAGAATGGATACAGCTCGATCTTCCCAGTTTGTCCAGGTCGCTGCTCATGAGTCTCAGTGTATATTGCTCTGGACGAGGAATATCACACAAATGCTCGAACAGTTTGATTAAGGAACTAGCTAACTAGTTGGTTATATAAATAGATTCATGTATGGGATATTAAGAATAATACGGAGGAGATGCCGATATGGGTAAAAAGGTGAGATTATAAGTATCTAGCTTCGAGAGAACCTTCTCACACGACACCCTCGGGACAGGGAGGGGGGGAAGAGGGAGAGAGAGAGAGAGAACATGGAGTTGTCCGTCGGTTATTTTTCTGATTGATTGGTTGGCATAATTTCACGTTGCGGTTATATATATTGGATGAATGTAACGATGGGGTCTTGGATAATTTAATCCGAGGGTTATGTTTGTCGTTATAAAAATGGAAACACAGGAGACATTCTACTCCATGTTGATGGCTTCCAAGATGTTTTGTTGCCTGACCACGATCAAGACCTTACTCTAACCCTCAGCACAACAATCACCTTGGTTACATAAATTGACCAGGGGCCCCCGGAAGTAAGGAGTGCAAAACATACGTCGAAAGTGATATCAAGTAATTTCATTGCTTGGTCGGATGGAATGCAGTATCATGTTAAATAGTTGTCTAAACCCCGAATAAATGTTCCGAGCTGGAGTATTGGATTATTGTAATTGAAATAAAAAGTTAGGGTAAGGCATGAATAAATCTGCCTGCTGCAGCATATCAAGTATAGAGTCCCCAAACAAAGCCCTTTGAAAACGCCCCCTCGTCGTAACCATAGAAATGAAAAAAAGTCGAAGACATCTAACGGGAAGCTTCCAAGATGGCTAAACGGTCTGGAGAAGATTCTACCCACTTTCTCCACTCCTGCCACTCGAAATAGGATGCACTTGATTTAAGTCCCTGGTATCTGACGGTCTTGAACTCGGACATATCCTCCCAAGGCTTGTCTGGATTCCCACTGCTAGAACTTCCTGACCGGAGGAACCGGCGAGTAACTACACCAGCACTGGAGCCCCCTTCCCAGCCAGCTTTCCTCATAAGGCTCTCAACTGTTTCTTCCTTTGTCCATCCCTGATCAACTGCCACGTCCGGGAGATATGTGGCTCCATATCTTCTCCCTCGATGGATGAACGATATACGTATTCCATGCGTTCCTAGCTCCCAGTCGAGCGCATGAGCACAAGTCTCGAATGTCGAGAGGAGGGTAAGGGAGCAGGAAAGAGAGGGAAGAAGTTGTAATGGTATAGGGGAGAACCTAGTATCTCCGAATGCCCTGTTGTGACTGTTAGCGTATATATTTAGATAGCTTTCCAAGACTGGCTTCCTTGAACGTGGGGCCATACGATGTCAACGCATATGATCTCAAGCCAGAACTTAACTCCTGGGCTTCAAAAGTGCCGATACAACCCCGGAGAGACTTGTGGCCGCTTCTGGAAACCGTATTCCACGTCACAAAGAGCGGGTATGAAGCATATGGAGGTGAACTGCGGAGCCTCTTACTATAGCTCTCAGGTGGAGAGAAGAAAGAGGAAGTCTTAGGACTAGGGCTGGAAGATATAGAAGTATTGCTCGTCAGTGCAGAACGAGAAGAACTGGCAGATAGTGCCGATGGCGTGGAAGCTGTGGCACTGGATGACCCGGAGGAGGCCGCACTCTGAAGACGACGAATACTAGGCGGTTGCAGTGTGCTGGAGATTGCTTGTCTTCTATCTTCAGAGGAGGCATCTTCCATATCATCTTGCTGGTCCTGATCATCCGTGTTTACATGAGGCTCAACCGAGCCTCTTTCCATCTCCCCATCTTCTGCCGTCTGTAAAGCAAGAGACTTGGAAGCTTCAAACTCCTCCCATAATTCTTCAACTACTGAGAGCTTTGGAGGCTTACCCCTTTCAAAAGAAGAAGCTAGTGTTTCGAAGCAGAAGTAGCATTGTGCGGGGGTGGCCATTCCGAACAATGCTTCAAATGGCTCCCAAAAAGGTCACCTTTAAAAGCTGAATAAACCTGACCTTTGTAAAAATATATGCTGGATCAACAGGCCTAATAAAGGGGGTTGAAAGGGAGAAGCCAGGCCGCCAGCTTATTGCGGGCTGAGCATGAGCGGGAAGAGGGGGCCGCTTTCTTGGGTTTCAACTTGCTCTGCACTCACTCTAGATTCGATGTGAAACCCGTAAAAGAGCTTTTGGGCGTGTTGGCCCTCCGGGACGGAACCGCTCGCGCTGCAGCCTATGCAATTATACGGCGGGATCACGGCGAGTCGAAAGACAAGAGAAGTTGAAGTTGGGAGGTTCGAAAATGTCTTTGGAGGAAAAAGACGTCATGCGAGCAGATGTTGGATTATGTCATCCACCCCTGGGCATTCGGAGAAATGGTCACGTGCGGCCTCGCTACCTTTACTATATTCTATTATATTTGAAACGGAAGAGTTAGGCCGTCAGCACTTCGAGCAATCCATTTGAAATGTTATACCCGTAATCAGAGGTTTACTCCATCACGGACAGCGAATGGGCCTTTCATGTGTATATAAAAGACACCCGTTTCTGTTTCTTTAGAACGAAAAAGAGGAGGTTGAAGTCGGAGCGACGGATAATATATGATCCGTTATTACTAATAGACTTCCCAGGATCACAATCGCACTATGTAAAGGAGAAAAGCTACAAGAAGCAACAGGTAGAAAAGAGCTTATGTTGAAAGATCTGGACACACACATCATAAAACCATTTCACTGGGTGTATGTCTTACATTCTTATAAGGCCTACCCCGTCAGGCAAGCTGCGTACATCATGCGATCGCTGCCAGGGTCAAAATCAAATGTAACCAGGGCAAACCTGAATGCCATCGATGCATCAGCCGTGGAGTTGCCTGTGTTTACAGTCCTCTAAAGCGCATGGGGAGGCCTAAGAAGCAGCGTACTGATCAGAATCGCGTTGATGCTCGAGGCGTGGAAAGCATAATCTCCCAGTGGCAGCGACGGAGGCCATATCGACATCAACTATACCACACATAGCAAGCCCAAACAACTATTTCCTTAGTTGATAACTGCTCTACCGAAGCCATTTACGAGGTACTGCTGAATCAGAGTCAATCGCAGTTTGGAAGCAAGATCAGGAATCGGGATCTAATAGCTGGCCATATCGGGAGTTTCCAAGGTTTATATCCATACACAATATCTACTACTATCTCTCGTGATACCAGTGATTGCCCCAGCTTGACACTCTCCTCCAAAAGCTCTGGATTACACAGTAATGGAAGTATACATATTGAATCTCCCAATATCATCGGGCCAACCACAGACACTACGCGGAACTACGACTGTAAGGGGCAGTGCTATCCATCTCTACTTTCCCACATTACTCAGCTGGAGGTCTCGCTCGCTGCCGATTCGTAGCCTCTCATAGACTTTGTTCTTATATCGGAGCGCGATTTACGCTTACTAAAGGAGAGGCTGTTCGCGTGCTATAACCATAATTCCAATAACACAGGAGACCCCATATGTCGAGATGCATGTCTTCGTTCCCAGCCATCCAACCTTCTTGTTCTCTCTCTTTATATAGGACGCGTTGTATTTATGCTTGAAGATCTTTTTAGCCGCGCCGCGGTGTATGCCCATACAATGGAACAGGAAGCCAGGCAGGCCCTCCAGCTTGCTGATAGAAGCAATGGAGTTTGCAAACACACTGCTGAAGGTGGTTGCACCTATTGCCAGCCCTATCAGAGCACCGAAGAGTCGAAATGATACCAAGATACCCACGGCAAGTCCCCGATCTTCCGCTTTGGGCGCACTAGCCTGGATCGGTATTGTGAGTATTGTACAAAGACCCATATATATAACGGGTACGTAACTTGGATAGCTGGTGTAGCAAACCACGTTTCATAAAGGAAGGATAGCCGAAAATCATCACATACAACTTGCATATTTGGCGCATAACTACGTTTGGTTACTCTCTAGTTGCATTGAGAAGGGCTGTTCGAAGGTAGCGAACATGACGTGGTCTGTAATGCATATATCAGAGCCTCATTTCATGTTTGCGGAAGTCGGTCACTTAAATTTGGAGGTACTATGACTCGCCCACAAAACTCCCCTGATAAACTCACGAGAATCCCACTTATGGACTCCCAGGGACGCTACCGGCAGGCGCTAGATGAGGTACTGCAATTCACTGTCAACTCGTTGAACCGTTCAATCTTCCTCTATCGCTACTAGGTGCAAGTGACCGAAGCGGCAAAAGAAAACACACGACTTGCGACCTCTTCTAGGATTTTGGCGAGCCCAAACTTGACAAAGTACGAGGACAGTGACATATCCATCCAACCCTAGGCGGATGCTCTGCAGTTCCCTTCGGATACTTGATCAAGCCTGCAGATGCTATTACAAGAGCAACTCCAGGCTATACCTCTAAGTTTAGACCAGGTAGAGTTTAACTCTACAGTGGTTTCCTGTGATTTACTGATATACCAGCTATGAACTTCAACCCACCAGCTTACTCAGATCACTCCCTATATAATATTTGAAGGGGTATCCTATACAATTGCGACGTTATAGGTTTTTGAGAATAGAGTTTATCCCTTGGTCCGACTGACGCCTATGACTACAACCAGTTCATCCTCTGCCTACATCGCACTCATACGATTTTGGTAAAGTATGTGAATCGAGAATTACTGGCAGAAATAAATTCAACTAGTGCACGCTTTCAATTACTTACCATAGCCTGCCGATCATGCAGGAAGGATACTTCTTCTCAATCGCCATCCAAGGAGGTCAAAATAAGACATAGCCGTATGTACGACCGCGCTTTTATGGCAGAAGAAAATGCGGACGTTATCGGTGGAAATAACCGTGCTCTATACATACCCCTATGGAAAACATAACAGACAAGCTGGGGGTTGAAAGCCAAATCTGCGGTATCTCTAGGAAAGAGAGTCATTTACGTCAGCTAAATGAGGTATTGAGAAACGAGCTACTGTTGCCATACCTGCCTAGAGCTTTCCTCTAGTTATGGATGAGGTAATTTTGGTCAAATGTGGAAGATACGCCCAACAATTGTGTGTATCCTAAGCAATGGGTTGGGATGATCGACCTGTATCTCGATGAGTCAATGCAAATAGTTATATGGTATATACTCCGTATAGCTTCTAGGAAAATGGAACAAACGGATTCTCCCCACCCCAACACCCCCTTTATCATATGGCAACAAGCTAATGTCACCATTGCTCAAGCTATCGGAACATGAGGCTTCGGGGGAGCAACACCACCCCAATCCCAGGGCTTCCGGGGACGACCATTGTCGCTCACGTCATGCCGCCACAGCTCGACCTCAGCTGGAAATTTCCAGCTATCTGCGAGGGGGAAGTATTGTTCGATTACCTTGGCCTTGATTACTTTGTTTGATACAGTGCGAGGCAGTTCCTCTCCCTCCTGCAAGATCCGTAATACAGTCGGCAACATAAAGGCAGGTAACTTAGTAGCGAGGCTGGTCCGGAGGAACCGCAACGATTGTTCGATTGTACCATCGCCGCAGGTGTTGGGCGGTGCAAAACGAACTATCGCTGCTACCATGGAGTGTATGTTGGGATATGGGACTGCCACAATGCAGCCCTCCAGAATGAAGGGCAGCGCATGAAGGTTAAGTTCAACCTCGAGGATGGGAACCCAATTAGCGCTGCATCTTACAACTGCCCAGGTAGCCCCGTTAACCATCAAGCAGAGGGCAGGTAAAGTAAAGCTATAAAGAGACGGGGAGGTATCTTACAGTCTTGTGTAGCCCGTCCATCCAAAACGTAGTTACCCCCTTCAAGATGGGCTAAGTCTCCTGTGCGGTAAAAGCCATCGTCTGTAAAGACAGCCCGCGTCGCAGCCTCATTGTCGAGATACCTAGGGGTCGATTAGCAATGCAGTCTACCCAGTCTTCATAACATAACAAACCGCATACCCTAGAAATAAAGTAGGACTTTTAATCTGTATTTCCCCATGGTCCCCATCTGACAGCCGAACAGTCATCTTCGGACTTGGCTTTCCAATACAACGCTGGGATCTAAATCAGTAACTAGACACTCTCTTAATATGATCATAACAATCACGAACCTCGGGAGCATCCGCGTTTCCAGCATGATGCTTGATCCCTAACCCACCCAGTTCTGTAGTGCCATAGCTCACCCCCAACGGCCGGCCCATGTCCCGCCAGAATTTCAATAATGAACTGTGAGGCATCGCGCCCCCGACTTGAGCAACACGCAGGCTGCGAGCACCTCGAACATACTCTTCCAGCTCGGTAGGGGGGAGGCCCTGTAGCTGTTGTTGGTAATATTGCATCATATTGTTCCATAAGTACGGGTTAGCTGCTAATCTAGTGACACCACCCTTGCGAAGCCGTTCCCATATTGCTTGAGGATCAGAAAAGATAACCTCTAACCGCGAACCTGCTAATGGGTGTAGGATAAGGGCCAGAGCGGATCCAATCCAAATATAGTTCTTGTGGCTGAGAACGATGTCGTTAGGCTCACATAAGGTATAGAGCTCGAAGAAGATATCTCGCTTCAGCACTACACCTTTAGGGGGTCCGCTGGTACCTGACGTAAATAGCACCATACCTGGAGAATTTGTTGGTATCACCAACCCTGTACCAATTGTAAGGGACGAGAGTAACATATCAGTAGCAGAAGTCTGGGACTGAATCTGAATAATCGTAACCTCAAGTCCCTCGGAGGCGGCGATCCGTTGTAATTCCCTTGCCAGGGGTAGGTGAGCTTGGCTCGCAAGGATACTACACGACCGACATTTACGTAGGATGTGCATAGCCTCTTCTGAAAGTATGGTCGTTACTACGTAGTGGTCAGTGTTGATAACCCCTAATGATGGGCTGGGTGTCGGTAAATGGGACTTACCCAACGGGACAAATGCACCCCCAATGGAGAGAATCGAATATGCCCCAATAATGAAGTCATAGTGCCCATCTGGTAGAAGCAACACATATGGATTTGTATCTTTGAGAAGACGGTTGCTGCCCAGCACAGAGTCTGGAAGAGAGGCACGTAGAGAGCAACGCGTTTGCAATATATCTGCGAGCAATTGCGTGAAGTCCGCAGTTATTCCCCTGTTGGCATCATGAACAATAACATGGTCAACTTGACGGGAGACCTTTAGTAACTGCACGAAGATAGGCTCGTTGGGTAATTCTCCTGGATTAGTTGCTCCCTCCATTTCAGTATCTTTCCAACGATGTGGCTAGCTAGGTATAATCAACCTAAGGGAGTAAACAGCGAATATACTATGTAAGATAGCTAAACTGCTCGACTGGGTATAGAATAGAATTTAAGGGCATGCTGTTAAGAGCTCTGAGAGGGATCTATATTTCCTTTCTTTCCTTTTTTTTTTTTTGTTGAGTCTCAAATATTGGATAGGTATCCATCCAGGCTTCATTTTGAGTTGAAAGGTTAACTTAAATTGAAAGGTTAAAGATCAAGTTGTACAGAGAACTCCATATATATGAGGTGGAAAAAGCCACCAGATGGATGGAGGAGCCAAGTGATGTCTACCATACCATGAAGTAACTATACGTAGTAGTTATGACTTGGCTCCGCCTAATTGTTGGGCGAATTATTGGGATTTTAACTTGGCCAATTGTGGCGTAACTAGTCAATTAACTAGTTACCTACCATGAACAGAGCATACGTTTGCTTGATGGCTCGTACGACGGTAGTTGATTATATGAACCTCCTCCCTCGGGATAGGGTGAATTATATTCTATTACAATTTTATATCACTGTTGCTTTCTGGTCATATATTAACGATGACGGTCAGGATTCCAGCAACGTTCCCAAAGGACCCTATCCTGGTGAAATTGCTCCAAGCTGCCCAGTTGACAACCGAGAAAATTATCCACGATGCATACGGATTCGACAAGACGTACGGTGAGCTTTTGGCTGATGTCATTGCAACTCGTAACGCTCTCCTGGCCAGTCTTCCTCCATCCGCTCTGACCCCAGAAGGGCTCTTACGGGAAGATTGCCCGTATATTGCCGCCTTAACGTTTGGGGGATACGAGTTTATGATCGCTTTCTTTGCTATTCGAGCACTTGGTGGAGCTTGTTTCCCACTTGGTAGGTGCATAAATACGTGCTAAGGCTACCAAGTGGCTAACGTCCGCGTGATATCAGCATCGGGTATTCTTCCTGAGGAGGCGGACTACTACCTCTCAGCCTCAAAGGCCACAGCTGTACTTGCTGGTGGATCAAACATGGTGCTGGCCAGGAAAATAACAGCGTTCGTTAAGAACAAAGGGCTGCCTGGCTTTTTCCCCCTCCAGGTATCCAGTAATGAGCCGCCAATTGATGTGGCTAATGTCGTTATTGATGACTCCCTTATATTGGATCCTCGTGGTCCTGGAGCAGTCCTATGCACTTCAGGAACTACAGGGATCCCCAAGGCCGCCGTTCTGCCGAGGATATGCCTTGTGGAAAGCCGCCCTCCGCAGTTTGGTGAAGCAACACTCAGCTATCGGCCACCCCATTGGCGCGGAGGGTTTGCCAGCCTCATTGCACCTCCTATCGAGGGAAAGAAGCTCTACTCGCTTAAAGAACGCGCCTCTGCAGAAATTGTTTGGGAGGCACTGCGGAAATATCACATCACAAACCTGGTTTTCAACCCAGTGCTGCTTAGAGCTATGAAGGATGTCTATATTCAAAAATTAAACCACCTTCCTATAGAGGAGAGGGAAGCATATGTTACTGGGTTTAAAAATCTGGAACGCATCAGGTGTAGCGGTACTTTTCTCGCCCCGTCGCTGCTGCAATTCTGGACGGATTTAACTGGATTGCCCCAAAAGAATGCATACGGCTCGACAGAATGTGGCGGCGGGGTGACCTACACAAATGTTCGAAAGCCATCAAACGTCAAAGTATGTTACCACACAGCAGGCAGCATGTGAAGTTTCTAACCAGACTTTCAGTTCTCATGTGGTCAACTATCCACGGAACCGCCTGTGGAAATTAAGTTCTCAAAAGGGACGCACGGCGAGATCCTCGTAAAGAGCCCATGGATGCTGATAAAGTGACTATCACCTTACCCTGACCCAGAATATACTGGTAGATATATGCTAATGTGGAACAGGTATATTGAGAACGAGAAAGCAACTAAGGCCGCCTTCGACGAGAACGGATACTTGAAAACAGGTGACATTGGACATATTGTTGGTGATGAATATGTCTATGAGGGCCGTGCAAACGATGATTGTAAGCCTCCATTCGAAATGTCGAAACTTACACCGGTTTAATTTTTGTGTTCTTGTTAGTTATCACGAAAGTACCTAGAATTCCTGTCGAAGTGGCAATTTCAAATCTGCCTTATATCTCTGAGGCATATGTCCTCAGAATTCCAGATCACGAAGAACGCGCTGTATCTGGAGCGCTTATCCGTGTCAATGACACAGTTAAGCGAGAGGATATGACGATCGAGAAGCTTCACAATGATCTTTCTGATGCATTGCCAGCGTACATGCGCCCTTACCTCCTGAGAGTCCTAGCCGATGACGAGCAGATTCCTTTGACTGATTCGCAGAAACCGCTAAAGCGTGGAATGCTGAAGCAATTTTTTGGCGTCACTGACTTTTGGAACGCGGAGAATCCCACGCCCGGAGTGCAGATTTGGCCCATGAGGCTCGCCATGAGTAGCATTCCAAACGCCCGCGATGTGAAACCCTGGGATTTTGCGGGATGGCAAGGATGTTTATAGAAGATGTGATTGTTTTTGGACTCCTTCAGAACTTTATCTGATCAAAGTGGGGAAAAGAGCGATAGAGCTTAAGTAAGCTTATCTTAGTCTGATAAGATAACAGATACGGTTGATTGTAAAGGCTTGTTTGGATGGAGCGGGCGATTAGTTAGCAATAACTTAATACTTATAGAGTGGGGATTTAATAGGTAATAGAGATTTTACAATCTATCTATTAGTTAGAAGATAAGGTCCTTTTTATATCCCTACCCTACAAGTACAAAGTTATCGTTGACTAATCACTCACTCAATCCATTAACGTAAGTTCTTATATCTTTGGCTGATCTTATAGATGCAGACAATATTTGCGACAGAGACAACTCTAGAGTTGACCGTATACGTAATAACACTGAGGATAAGCATACAGAGGCGGATAGTTGCCTATGTTACCTAACTCAAAACGATCGCGGTTGACTTGATGTGAGGTTTGCTTTCTGCTTTATGGCTCCATTTAACCCTTCCCATGTTCTCAGGCCAAAGTCGCTCTGTGGTTTTGTTAGTGCGTATGATCATTACATGGACGTCTGAGATATTGTCCTAAGATAATGCTTCAAACTCCATGCATAATATGAATTTAGAAGTCTGTAACATTCTGGTAATCTTTCACTTATATAATATTATTTAGTTATATGCGGCTTATTTTTAGGCATGCCAATGGTATCTTTAGGTCCCAGGTTAATCTGTGTTGATCTGCACCAACCAACCTCTAGTCTGTAGCCTCTCTGGCTCTTCAGTCAGCAAGCTCGCTCGATTCGGTTTTTCCTCCTGGTATTTGAGTATTTGGGGGATTGCTGACACAGAGACACTTGGAAATACTTATTTTTGGGCAGTTCAAGTACAGAAATGAGGGCAAAATGGCCATCTATTCAAACTACAAGGGGTTCGGAACCAAGCACGTATCGAAGGTGTTTTTGCCCTTGGTATTGGCATTTATACCCAATCCAAAATATATGGCAACCCTTTCCGACAGTGTGAAATTTGCGAGGACTTAGCAACCATCCTATCACGTACATTTTAGGAGGGGGTTTATATCCAACTCAGCTTCTCATGTTATTCGGTGGGTGATGCGTAATTTCTCCAGTCCTATGCGCTGAAGCACAATGTATGGTGGTTTATTCCGGTCACTCATAGCTGTATTGTATATTCACTTCCGATCGTCCTTTGGCATTTTCATCCCCATCATGCCGAGCATGTTGCTTCCGGGTCCAGACGCGCCGCCTTGGCTGCCAAAACTCTCCAGAAGATTTCTTGCTAGGTTGATGTCGATCTCAGTATCGTCGAGCTCTTCCATTTCGCTTTCATCATCATCATTTTCACCCGGATGTTGGTCCCTTACTGGGGCCTTCTCCTTGACAGCCTTTTTCCTGCTTTGGGTGCGAGAGGCATTGAATTGGTCAAAGAACCCCGCCTGTCTTAACTCCGCTTCCATCTTCTTGGAGATATCTTCGATTTCGTCTGCATCATCCTCTCCATCATTGGATTCTTCGAGGTCTTGAATGCGTTTGGGCCTGTATGAGGATCCCTTGTTCGAGGCGGATGGCATACCCATCATCTCCTTCATCATCCTTGAAAATTCCTCCTCATCGAAAGAAGCATCTTTGTCCTCACCATCGCTACTGAATCCTTCGTCATCATCAAAATCGGCATCGCTGTCATCTGATCCAAATTCGTTAATAAGCCCCGCCCCGTCATAGCCAGCTGTATCATCGTTTAGGAATTCCTCAAATTTTGAGACTATCCTCTGCAGGTTCTCCTGCGCAGCTTTATCACCAAAGCCCTCTCTATTTTTATCCTTTCCGCCACTGCCTCTACCTTTCAGCTCACCTTCGAGATCCTCAAAACTAATATCAAGCCACGCTTCATTGTCATCTTGCCTATCCCAACTCTCAATCTCTTTGTCCGTGGGAAGTGCCTCCTCCCCTGTGTCAACGTCTTCAAGGATAAGCTTTATTTCTCGTACAGAGGACTTATCACGATTCAGTGGATCTGACAATAACATTTCAAAACCGCAGGTCAATTTCATCCCAACGGCTGCACGCTCAGAATCCTTCGACGTGTTGGTTTTAGGGATTCGGTTTTTCCACTTTGCGGGTGCTGGAAAATCCTGGCTCTTCAACTGTGCAAACCCAACTTTTGTGAATTTGACACTGACTGTAACGAAATCTGAAGGCTCAAAAATTAATTTATTTGAACCTTCATTCTGAAGAGGCCGCAATGCAATGGGGTCCCGTAAGTAAAATGCTTCAACAGCTGGAGATATGTAACCTGGTTTTGTGCGTAATAAATGTGCTACTCTCCGCGGTATCGTAACCAAAGATGAGTGCAAGTTATTTTCAATCTGACTTGGGTAGTTCCGAAGCCGGTAAAAGGCTTCCTCCTCAATCGTAGGAGACCGCATCAGCCTTTTAGGCTCGGTGAGAATTATGTTCCTTGCATCTCGGAATGTTAGTTTCCCATCAGTTTCCTTCTTCCTGGTTGTGGTAGTGGAGGCTCCAAGTTTAATGATGACCAGTTCACCCTTATTGATCCAGACCTAAATCGCGAGTTAGTGTTGGTGAAATGTAAAGTTAGGTTTCAAGAGAGTAAGGGAAGCTATCTCACCCGGTTGTCAGCAATTTCAGGTTCTAGCCAAGCGGGCAATGCGGCGGCCGCCTCTACAAGTAAAAATTCCCCATCGCTATCTGTCACCTTTACCCACAAGTTGTCAAATCTCCGTGAAAGCTCACGCAAAATGTATACAATAACCCATTCATCTTCGATTGAGTCTCCATATTCAGTTCTTCCGCGAAGTAAATGGATACCTAAACATTCAAAGCATCAAACATCGCCGATTAGCAAGTCGATATAGACTCTTGGCTGCGTGGGATAAGAATGAATTACCATCTTCCTTTGTGAACTCAAGCTTGAAACTATCACGCTGCCATATATAGCTCTTCAGGTATTCTTTTACCAAGCCTGCTGAGTGTTTTTGTACTTCAATCAAAGAGGTTCGGATCAAGTCTGATATACCCACGTCGTCAAGTGGGCTATTCTTCAACGGAATCCAGTATAGCGAATATTCGACACAGTCATCCGGAAGTTGAGGTTTCGGAATGGGCCGAAAGGTAGATTTAAACCATGCGATGTCTTCTTCACTCGGACCGGCCATATCTAGTCCACTATCTGCTATGGTCTTTGTTGTATTTCCTCCCTTTTATGTTTCTATATTTTTTTTCTTTAAGCATTTTTGATGACATCATCAAACTTCGGGCCGATAAAATTCCGCATAAACTCGCGCTAAACCGAAAAAAGCTATATGTAAACAACGTCACATCCAAACACGCCAAAAATTCACGATTTGGCCTTCTTCGACATTTATTACGTCTGATTTTCTCCGTGTCTCGTTGATTTGGCTCGTTTATTTTTATTCAAGGACGAGTGACACATCTTGGAGTAGTTGATGGTTGTCGGTATACGCGCGTCATACAAGGTTACAAAACTGTCGACATGGCGTTTCCCTACATTGACACTCCACGCACTGAAGTGGACGGAAACGCGACATATATCAGCCATGGCCAGCGAAGCGCAACGCGACATAATCTCTCAGCATTGGACTCGGTTGAGAATTCCTTTGTATCGCCAACTAAGGATAATGATATATTAAAAGAAACATCTGGCTCGCGAAATCGACAGCGCAGAGTTTCACTTCGAACCCCCCGAGCGAGCCAAGGTCTTAAATCAGCAAGATATGATAAACGCACTCTACCCAATTCTGCATTGCCCAAGGGGGAGTTTACTCCTCTTATGAACAGTGTGACGAAAAACAATTTTTTGCGAACTGGAGGGGAGCGCGTTCGAGGTGTGCCGGCCACGCCCGCTCTGTCCAAAATAGACGAAAGCAATATATACGAAGGGGGCTCCATTAATAGTTCCGCCTACGATGCGACCCCCGTACCTCAAGGCGCACCAAGTAGTGGCCAAAGCACCCCATTGCCCGCACTTCCTCAGAGGGATGGCACCGGAGGGGTTATTCGTGACGGACAAAATATGACTCTGAGGGAGCAAGAAAACGTACGGAATTGGGCATATTTCCTCTTATGAGAATCAATGTTTGTTACACAATTAAAATGACTAACATATAGTGGTATTTTGGCAGATCATTAACAAGTTCGATAAAGAGAATTTTGGCCTCAAGTTAAAAATACACTATTTGGAAGAACAGCTAAAGAAGGCGGGCCCTGAGCTGAACCAGGCCGCCCTCAAGGAGAATACAGAACTGAAAGTGTCAAAGGTGACAGTGCAAAGGGACCTACATAGATGCAAAAAGAGCCTGCTACACGCAGAACGTGACTTGGAATCCTGTCAGCTTCAACTTCAAGAGCTTCGTGCAAAACTGGCCTCGAAACAATCCGATAGCACAACCCAGGAAACAATAAAATGGATGCGTGAAGATATGGAATCCAAAGAAGCAGACATAGCAGAGCTACAGGAGCAATTAAAGTCGGCAGAATCCAAACAAGCGGAAGAGGTTGCAAACTTAAGGGAAGAAATAAACGAGTTGGAATATACTATTCGTGAAAAGGACAGACGCATCGAGGAAAAGGAGGAAGAAATTGAAAATTTGCAATCTAAACACGCGGATGAGAATGTTAATATGGCTGACTTGGAGACGGAACTTGAAGATGCTAGAGGGAAGATTGAAGATCTTCAAGATAGTCTCGAGCGAGCAAGAGCTGAGACAGAAGAAGCCGAGACCGCCTGTGAGCAAGCTCTCCAGGAAAAGGAGCAGGCCGTTGAAGACTTGAGAGAGTTACAGGACGAAATGGCCAATAAGTCTATCTCTGCTTCAGGGCTAACCCGTCAATTAGAGGAAAAGGCAAATAAACTGGAGGGAGAGCTTACCGCTGTCCGACAACAATATGCCGGTCTTCAAGAAAAGCTAGAGGATAAGGTGCAATTTGAGCGCCGCCTACAAGAGCAGATCAAGGACCTTGCACGGGATCAATCATCAACAGAACGTGAACTTCTTTTCCTTCAAAAAGAGCATGCCGGTTGCCAAGGGGATCTTGAAGACAAGATGCGCACTGAACATAGATTACAAGAACGAATCGAAGACCTTAAGCAGGAACTATCATCTACCAAATCTGACCTACAACATGAGCTTGAACAGGCACACCACGAGAAATCGGTTGCCATCCGTGACCAAAAGTCCGCTTTGTCTCGCCTTAATGCTCTTGAAGATGAGCTGCGACAGAAAGGAGATACCAAGAGCCTACTGCAAAACCGTCATGATGCTTTAACAAACGAAACACAAGCTCTACAAAATGACCTTGATCGTGCAAAGAAGGCAATTGCAGACCTGGAAGATGAGGCGGCTGCCGAACGACAAGAATCCCTGAACACGATTGAGGAAATGCGACAGCGTCATAAAGATGAGCTTGATCGACTGAACACACAGATAACTCAGCTTCGCCGTGAGTTAGACAACAAAGACTCATTATTTAATTCGGATTTAGACAAATGGGAAAATATAAAGCGATCACTAGAACTTGAGCGGGATCGGGCAGTGCAGCAGGCCGAGGCGTATAAACGAACAATTGACAGCCTTCAACAGATGGAAACGACAAAGTCTGGACGAGAGAAAAGATTGCAGGATATAATTGATAGCGAGAAACAACGCCGCCTGCAACAGGAAGAACTACTCACGCGCCAGATAAAAGAGCTAAACGACGATATCTCATCTAGAAGGGAGGCGTCTGAAACTCAAAGATCTGAGATGCTCTCCCTGAAGGAACAACTTAGGGTCAGCCGGCGAGAAGAACAAAATCTCAAAGATAAGGTGCAGGGCTTGGAAGACGAAATTGTGGTCTTGCAGGCTAGCCTTGAGGAAGAGCAACAATACGCTTTGGCCCAGCGAAAGGCCGGCACCTTGGAGTCCGGCAATCATTTACAGGGCATAGCACAAGAAAAACAGGCCCTTAGAGAACAACTAGCCACTGCAAACACTGAGCTGAACGAGCTCCGGATTACCCTTGCTGAGGTAGAAGCAGAGCGAGACAGCCTCCAAGACCAACTTGCTCAATACGATATCAATGTTGACGATACGTATCGAGTAGATCAGGAAAAGCTTGAGCTGAAAAAGGCCAAGCTACGTCTAGAGCGAGACGTCATTCGCCTAAATGCCGAAAAGAGCTCTTTACAGGAAGCTAAAGACGTTCTTCAGAATGATATCGATAATGAGCTTACCCGCGCTGCCGCAGAGGAAGATCGTCTAGCGGCAGAAATCAATCGACTACAAGACAAGCTATTCATGGCTAATGATAAGAAAGATCGTGAACTTCTATCATCCAGAAGCAAGATAACTCGTCTTGAAGCTCGCCTTAAAGAGCTAGAAACTCATCTTCACAACCCTGCTCCATCGGAGACTATATCTCCTCCAGACAATGCCGATTCTTCCATACTCCGTCAGTGTCTAGCTGAAACGCGCGAGCGAGAGAGGATTATCCTTCAACGAGAATCAGACTTGAAATCATCCATTCGGCATCTCAAGTCCCGAATCACTGATTTGGAGAAGGAGAACCATGATCTCCAGATTGCAAAATACGGTGATAGTTCTCCAAACACCTCTCCGTCCTCACGGCTTCAAGAAGAATTACGAAATCTCCGTGCACAAAATCTAGACACCCATAAGGCCCTGAAGGAACTAAAGGCCAAATACCGCGAACTGGAACAGCAAAGTTACGCTGCCAAAGATGAGAGCCAAAACTTTAGTGAGGTTGTCGACCTGTCTACGTTTGAGGCAGAATCTATTGCAGCTAAGTTAGCAAAACGCGAAGCCCGAATCCGTGAGCTGGAGGTTGACCTTTATCGAATCCGAGGGGAGCGGTCCACCGCCCTCAAGAACCTCAATGCTGCAGATCGAAGGATCCGGTTACTTCAAGACCGCCATCCTAAAGCCATCCATGACCTGTCGAGGCAACTAGAGAAACAAAAAACTCGGCACGATAAGGAGATCGAGGTCTTGCGTATGGAACTTCTTTGGAATCAAGCACGCTTGATCCGAACAGAGCAGTTCCGAAGGGATCTTGCCTGGTACAAAGAGATCTCACAGTTCAGAGAACAAGAACGAATCAGAACTACATGGTATGCGTCTTTTATTTTGCCTGGCTGTAATTTTTGTCGAAGCTAACAGTTTTCTGAAATAGTGCTCAGATAGAGCGACAGATGATGGCTAATATGGGCATAGTGGTGTCTGAAGCAGCAGAGCAGCTCAGCCCTGTACAAAAATTTAAAGCCGCCATTTCAGTCGCATTATTCATTGCTCGGGCAAAAAGGGTGACGGTTGAATGGAAGAAGAACTCGCAAATAGGAGATCTAGTCAAAAGAGCAAAGAAAGACCAGGTTAAGAAGCTTGGGAGAGTGGGGCAGAAATGAAGGACATATCTGAGAAGATTTCTTCTTGACGCTTAATGAATCTTTTTACTGTTATTCCCAGTTGTATTGGTTTAATACACTCTATTGTTAACCAAGTTGATAGCGTTCCTTTTTGCAGACCTATGGAGGAAAGGACCAGGAGTTTGGCGTTTGGTGTAAGGATCTGACCAGATGGGATGATGGGTTCTGTGGTTTGGCAACTTGTATATCAAAGTTGGCTATAAGTTATTTTGTGGATAAAACTGATAGCTGTTCATTACTCCATTCGCTAAAACGGCAATCGACTTGGTATAACTCAAGTATCTCAACATAGTGTCCCAGGGGTAAGGAAATATTGTACTCCATAAGTTTTCTAGAGGCTAGGTTATAGCCAGAATTAAGCGCCTTCACTCCCAAACATTTCGGTCCACTCAGCGCTTTTGGCGAGGTCTTCAGGGCTAACCGTCGGTCGAGATCCTTTGACAGCCTTGACAAAGTCTTTGAGAACAAGTGGAGGCTCAAGAAGCTCGTCTGGATTTACATCCACCCAGGTCATTTCAGTGGCCCCCTGATCACCCGGGGAGCAGGGGGTGACTTTTTGCACTCCATCCACCATTACCTTATATATAATATCAGTAACCTGTCAAAAAATACCAGAGTTATATATGGACAGTACAAGACGGGATCACGCACCTTTTTATAGTGAGTTGCTGACTGAATTTTGCGCACAGGTTGCATGAGTGCATCCTGAACAGCAATATTGATATCACTTCCTGAATAGCCCTCAGTCAACTCCGCAAGCGTCCGGAAATCAGGCACTGTTAGCTCGCAAGGTGTGCTACCTATACTTATTTTAAACATTTTCATTCGGGCAGCCATATCAGGTAGACTTATGTAGACCCTTCGCTGAAAACGTCGTCGAATAGCCGAATCTAGCTGCCATGGGATATTCGTTGCTCCTAGGATCAAAACACCAGTTGAATCTTTCCCGACACCGTCCATTTGCACGAGCAATTCAGTTTTGATACGCCGCGATGCATCTGGTTCTCCTTCCCCACGTGTACCACAGAGGGCGTCTATTTCGTCAATAAAAACGATAGCAGGTTTATTTTCCCGAGCCATATTGAATAGTTGTTTAACAAGCCTGATAATTGACGGGTTAGTTTCAGATATGAAAACATCAGGGCTCTTAAACCAACCTCTCACTCTCTCCCATCCATTTTGAAACCAAATCACTACTGCTCACACTGAAAAATGTGCTGTTTGCCTCTGTAGCCACGGCTTTGGCTAGATAGGATTTACCCGTCCCTGGTGGCCCATAGAGTAATATACCCTTCCACGGCTTACGATTCCCTGTGAACAACGAAGGGAACTTGATGGGTAGTATGACAGCTTCTTGGAGGGCCTCTTTTGCGCCTTGTAAACCGGCAACATCTTCCCACCTTACGTTTGGCTTGTCCGTTAATATAGCTCCTGCTAAAGCTCCACGGAGCTTCTTAGACTCGGCATCTTCATCATCATCGTCACCCTTGCTAGAAATTTTGGAAACCCGTATTAGACCCGGTTTTGCGCGGAAAAAGATACGGAATGCCAAAAAAAAACCTGGGAACTCACCCTCCTTTCCCACTTCCTTGCGCAATCTTTCCATTCGTCCCAACCGCACTCGGTTTCTTCCGATTGTCAAGTCCCGCCAGGTGATTCTTTAACTTCTCTGCCCTTTCCATGTATTCCCCAGTCTTCGCCCGGATCATTTCCTTCGACTTGGGATTCTTCTCCCATTTCAAAGCAAGCATGAACAGCTCCAGAGCTGAGTAGTATGTCTGGTATGCTTTCTCATATTCGCCCGCATTGTCAAATTCAATCGCGCTCTTCACGGTGTCGATCGCCCGGCCGAGGAAATCGGTGTTGCTCATCGTCATCCAATTCGTAAACGGATAACACAATAAAATGAGAACAGACAATACACTACAGCGCTACTCAGACTGCTGGCAGAACGGTCAAAACCGTTTTGAATGAGGGGGGCGATACGTGCTTCGAAGCTGGATCCAAAATGGCGGGTGATTTCGCGAAAGCTATGGGAGCGAGGTACTGATTTTATAATATCTCTGGGATAATCTGCATATCGCGTGTCCTGCAAGAAAGAAAAGATAGTCTCTAGCTGAAATGTGGCGGCCTAAATCCTCAACATCGATGTTGCCTTGCGTTGTGTTTGCAGCAGCTTTGGATGATTTTCCCCAGCTTTGGCTTTTTAGCCCTTTTTTTTTTCGTTGCCGCGATTAGATAAGAAACATCAAGAACGACATAAAGACTTTTAACACTTTATTGCAATCTTCGATAAAAACCCGTTTTATCATGGCAGACGCCCAGAAGCAGATTCAGGCGCTCAGCGAAGAGTATCAGAAACTTCAGACTGGTCAGGACACTCTTGAATTATCCCCTGGAAGGCCGGTCTGGCTCTCAGTTATAACCCACCAACTGACATCTACCCCTCGATACATACAGAGCTCGAAGAAGCTATCGCAGCACGAGAGAAGCTAGAAGCCCAGCAGCAGGAAAATACCAGCGTGCAGAAGGTGAGAGGCAGTATACTTATTACCTTGGGGGCCGACCGTTGCTAATGGTTGAACGCTGGCTAGGAGTTTAAAACGCTAGACGAAGATGCGAACATATATAAACTCGTTGGACCGGTATTGTTGAAGCAGGATAAGACAGAAGCGGTAATGGCGGTCGATGGTCGTCTGGACTTTATAGAAAAGGAAATGTACGAGCAATTTTTGCCTGGAGAAGCTGGAGTTACCCTTAACCGAGAAGCTGACCACCGTCATTGACAGCAATCGAATCGAGAAGCAAATCGCTGAGATACAGGAGAAGAGCGAAATGAAGAAGGGAGAGGTATGCTAACAGCATTGAATGCCGAGAATTTATGTTGTTTAAATGCTGTGACTGACATATCTAAACAGATCATCCAATTGCAATCTCGAATGCAACAACCACAGGCAGGCGGAGCTCCTGTAGCTGCTTGAAAATTTCCTCACCTGTACTCTTTATAACTTCAAGGCCACCGTGAATATACCAATTCTAGCGCTGCACTGATCATCAATATCCCATGTTTCCGTATGAGTTACAGATTCAAAAGGAAATAGATATTGGGACCGAGGAAGGGGAACGCATTTTATTGACCCATGTCTGCTATCCAGCGGATAGGGGGTACCCCTAGTTCCCCGTTCCAAAGATATGCCAGTCAGTTACTATACTAATTAATAATTCAAGCATAGCACTGGGTACAACCATTCCCTATGGTGGCAAATATTCCTGTTCCTGCTGGGCAGGGCCGGCACTATCAAATTAAGAAATAATGAGGCAGAGCCTCAAGAAACCAACATATTAATATTCCTTTTCTTTTTATAAGACGCACTAGGAAGACAGAAACTCATTCTATGAATGGATCAACCTGATATTTCTATATTTACAACTTTCCAACCCTTGTCCTGACGGCTTCCGTTTACATCCTAATCCTGAGCTAACTACTCACTCCATATTTAAACCCAACTAAAATCTAGTGACCTTATCTATGCTCTGACAAGCAAACTAGAGCCATCCATTTCCTCTGGTTTCTCAATACCCATGACATCAAGAACGGTGGGAGCAACGTCACCAAGGACGCCGCCCGATTTCTTCAGGCTCCATCCTTCGGGTGCGTTTGCCATGACGAATGGAACCAAGTTGGTAGTATGGGAAGTCTTTGGGCTTCCATCTGCGTTCTTCATCTCCTCGGCGTTTCTGGAGAGCGAGGGGTCAGTTTGACGATATTACAAATAGGCAAACGACTTCATGTTCGAGCACTTACCCGTGATCAGCAGTGACAAACAGGATGTATCCGTGTTTCTTGCAAGCTTCATAGACGCAACCGATAGCAGCATCCGTGGCAGCAACGCCCTTAATAGCAGCTTCATAAACACCAGTGTGGCCAACCATATCTGGGGGAGCGAAGTTGTTCATCAAGAATTCATACTTGTTATCAGCAATTCTTTCAGCAAGTTTTTCTCCAACTGGCTGTGCGCTCATCTTAGGGTCAAGGTCATAGGTTGCCACTTTTGGAGATGGGATCATTTCTCGGTCTTCACCTTCAAACTGTTTCTCAACACCTCCGTTGAAGAAGAAGGTGACGTGAGCATACTTCTCAGTCTCTGCAATGTGGCATTGCTTAAGCTGTTTCTTACTCAACCACTCAGCTAAGACGTTACCCATGTGTTGAGGGGCAAAAGCAACTGGGAAGGGGTAATCGGTCTTGTATCTGGTCATAGTGGTGAGAGAGATGTTCTTGGGGTAGGGGAAGTCTGGCTTTGGAGACCGGTCTATATCTCCCAAGAGCTGAGTTATTTCTCTAACACGGTCTGAGCGGTAGTTGAAGAAGAAAAGAGTATCGTTGTCTATTTACGGCATATTAGCGTCTAATATACTCTCCAGTGTGTTGGTTTATACAGTGCTTACCTTGAACTCTGCGGTCCTGGCCACCAACAATGATAGGTTTCAAGAACTCATCATTCTCACTCTTCCCATACCTCTCCTTTATTGTTTTGACCGCATCGGCACTTTCCTCACCCTCTCCGGAAACGATACCCTTCATGGCAATCTCGATACGGTCCCATCGTTTATCCCGGTCCATGGCATAGTACCGGCCTACTACCGTAGCCAGTTCGCCAATACCTAGCTCCTTGGTCTTCTGCAACAGCTGTTCCATGTATCCAGCAGCGCTCTTTGGATCTGTGTCTCGTCCATCGCCAAAGAAGTGGATAAACACCTTTGGTACACCCATCTCCTTTGCTACCTGGAGCAAGCCAAACAGGTGGTTGATATGAGAATGCACTCCACCATCGGAGATGAGTCCAAGGAGATGCAGTCGTCCGTTCCCATCCTTTGCAGTCTGGAATGACTTGACGATGTTCTCTACTTGGTTCAGCTTCCCATTCTTCAAGGTCTGGTCGATGCGGACCACGTCCTGCCACACCACTCGTCCTGCACCGATGTTCAAATGGCCGACCTCACTATTTCCCATGAGCCCTTCTGGAAGACCAACAGCGGTAGAAGAAGCATCGATCTCAGTGTATCCTTGGGCGGTCTTTGATCCCTCTGCTGCAAAGCCAGACATCACCGGAGTCTCAGCAGCAGCAATGGCATCTCCATCCTTGGGGGAATCACGACCAGGAATACCCCAGCCATCGATAACAACTAATATCAACCACCGGTTAGTAAATGCTCTTGAACAAATCGTATTGACGTTCATATCTGGTCCGTCAGCATAGTAGATAGAACGTACTCAGAACCGCCTTGTTCTCTACCTTGGCCATGATTTATAGAGTGAACAGACAACAATTGGGCGGTAAGAGGCCAGAACAACCAATGCTATCAGCCCGTATCAACCTGTATCAGCGCAGAGAAGGTGGAAGAATCTCTATAATGAGGGAATCTCTTGTTTTTGGCGGGGCGTTATAGAGGGGCTTTTTTTTCTTTTGCTGTCGCCGGAACATCTTTTCTGCCCCCAAAGAAAAAAAAAAAAAAAAACACCGCAACGACGTCATCTTCTTCTCTTCCCGCAAGCCCTTTTCGCCAGCCCTTCTCTTACTACGGAGGATCAACTCCTCCGTTGGCTGTCGATGTTGAAAACAGCTTCATGAGATCCTTCAGTGATAATAATATTAATAATAATGTCCGTCCAACCGTCCTCAGCGCATGCCACTCCAACGCGCAAAACTCCCGGCGTCTCCTCCACACATCCTAATACGCCAAACATCCAACCACCTCCGTCACAACAGGACGAGGCCACCTCCGATCCAAAAGTCGCACCTACATTCCCTCCTCCACAGACATTTGATATCCTCCCGCCTCTTCACGCGCTCTTGGCTCGTCTCCTTTCAAACCCATCGACCAGCTTTGCTACAGGCCAGCCGGGGGAATCAGGCCTCTCTCAATCTACGGAACAGACACCCGGCGGTGGGATCGCGTCACTGGATGGCCTGGATCCGAAGTCGTTGCTTACAGGAGCTAGTGCGGTCAAGATACGAATTCAAAAGGCGAGGAACGCTGTTGAGGAGTTGCCGGATATAGACCGAACGATTGCTGAGCAGGAAGAGGAGATTCAGCAGTTAGAAAGGAGGATTGCGAAACTTAAGGGAGTTATGGATGAGTTTAGAGTGAGGAGTGAGAAGCTTGTGGGCGGCATATGACGGCGTCAGTCCTTTTTTTTTTTTTTCTTTATGAAACGGTGATGTACGATTATTAGCGATTGTTACGATACCAATTTGTGTTTTACGAGATGACAATGAATCGAAGCGGTTGATGGTCAAAAGTCATACATATTTTCATAATGAGCCAGAAGTTTTGGGACTAAGGCAGCCAGTGATGAGACATGGCTGTCATCGAAATAGTTGAATGTACAGATGAAACTGAGGCAATCTGCCAGAACACAAGGAAATATATTAATGAACCAAGAAATGAAGTTGATATCGTCCCACCAAAAACACCATGGATTGCTTGTTGAAGATCCATAACACGTAGATTCACCGGTCATCGCTCCCAAAAAAAATCGTGTTTGCACATAAAGGTTGAAAATTCATCGCTTTTTTTACCCATTTTTTCTTCTTTTCCAGACGAAGCAATGCACCGGGTCATGACATCAAAGGGGAATAAAGGAAATTTAAGGAGAGGAGATTGATGGCATTTTAGACTGGGAGAGGGAAAGTGCTGGCCCATTCGGCGATCTCCTTTCTGAGCTCAACAATTTCCTTGACGGAGTCATCGGCGACCTTGGCCTTGAAGTCCTTGAGCTTGTTGGCCTCCTTGGGCAGCTTGCTCTGGACATCCTTGCAGATATTGATGGCGGTGTCGATGTAGCGGGTGATGCGCTTGAAATCTTCCTCGCCCATACCACGAGAGCTCATGGCCGGAGCGCCGATTCTGAGACCGCATGGGGTCAGGGCAGACTTGTCTCCTGGGATAGAGTTCTTGTTGCAGGTAATGTTGATTTGCTCGAGGACGGCTTCAACACGAGCACCATCGAGACCCTTGGGCCTTAGGTCGAGGAGGACCATGTGGCTGTCAGTTCCGTCAGCAACGAGTGTGTGTCCAAGTTTCTTCAGCTCTTCCTCGACAGCCTTGGCGTTCTTGAGGACTTGTTCTTGGTATTGCTTGAACTCGGGGGTATCGACCTGCTTGAGGGCAACGGCCAAGGCGGTGATGGTGTGGTTGTGGGGGCCACCCTGATGGCCGGGGAAGACGGAGAAGTTGATTGGGTTCTCGAGGTCATACATGATCTCCTTACCGTTCTTATCGGTGCTTCTAACGCCCTTGCGGAAGAAGATCATGGCTCCTCGGGGTCCACGGAGAGACTTGTGGGTAGTGGTGGTAACAACATCGGCGTGTTCAAATGGAGATGGAATGACACCGGCAGCAATGAGGCCGGAAATGTGAGCCATGTCGACAATGAGATAGGCACCAACGGAGTCGGCAATCTTCCTCATTCTGGCATAGTCGATAAGACGGCAGTAGGCAGAAGTACCGGCAACAAGACACTTTGGTCTGTAGAGCTTAGCATTGGACTCAAGCAAGTCATAGTCAATTATGCCAGTCTCGAGGTTGACCTGGTATGGGAAAGTCTCAAAGTAAGTGGAGACAGCAGAGATTCTATCAATCATCGAATGTTAATGTTCTTTTTTTTTGGGTTCTCCAAATTCAGTGTATATAACATACTTCTTAGTAGGAGTCTGATAACCGTGACTCAGATGGCCGCCGTGTGGCAGGTCCAAACCCATGAGTCTGTCATGAGGTCTCATCAAGGCCTGGTAGACCTGGAGATTGGCAGGGCTTCCACTGAGACACTGGACGTTGACTCCCCATTTCTCGGGGTCCAGGTTGAAAGCCTTGAGAGCTCTGCGCTGGCAGGTAAGCTCGAGGGAGTCAATGTGCTGGTTTCCGCCATAGTAACGGGCTCCAGGGTATCCCTCTGAATACTTGTTCGACATGGGGGAGCCCAGAGCATCGAAGACAGCTCGCGAGGTCACATTCTCAGAGGCAATGAGAAGGATGGATTCCCGTTGACGCTTGATCTCTTTTTCCTGTTTCCTCATTGTTAAATCTCGCCGAATGTACCAGTAAAGTCACAATACGGAAGACGACAGACGTACCATGATCTCGGCGATCTCTGGATCAGAGTCCACAAGGGATTTTTCCATTTGCTGTTGACATTGTCAGTTCCGCATCCCTTGACCTGGAGTTGGAGGGGTAGCTTCACTTACCTCACGATGAGCCTGAGAGAGGGCGTAGGTAGACATGATGAATCTGATTCTTCTTCGTATAGGCTTCCTTGTCAATCCCTAGGCAGCAACCAGTCCTGGCTCTGTATATTCAAGTTGCTTGGTTGTTGTTGTTGTTGAAGAGATTTTCTCGGAAGGTTTTTATTTTTGGCCGGAAGAAAAGTTCGGTGGGGGTGGTGGCTTTTTTTTTTTTTTTTTTTTTTTTTTTTTTTTTGGCTTCCTGCTTTAGCTCATCTCAATTATTCGCTGGGGTCGGAAGATTCAGTGAGTATATCAACAGAATAAATATATAAATGGGATGAATATAGGGGTGGGTAGTAACCGGAGCAGATATATACGGAGCAATCGGTGTGTACATGGACCGGAGAAAAGGTATATGGTTTTGCATGTCCTATTTGGGCCGTTATATTTACATAGCTTCCGACTGTCTCTTCCGCCGCTTCTCTTCCTTGCGTACTTTTCGCTCTTCATCAATCTCGTCTCTGTGTTTTTTCTTGCTGTTTTTCTTTTGGGCTTCAGGGCTGTCTGCCTTTTGTCTGCCTTCTATGCTCTTCTTGGACTTCTTCTGCTTCTTCTGCTCGCCGTCTTCCCGTATCGGAAGAGACTGTCTCTTCTTCGGGCTCTCTCGCGCCGAACTGGCTGGCTCTTCATCGCCCTCGATATCCTGCTTTCTCTTCTTGTGCTTTCGATCTATATCGGCTCCCTTGGGCACTTTGAACTGCTTGTCCTCTGGCTCTGGCTCGCTGTCGCTTAACCCAATTGTTTCTGGAAGCTGATCTGCCGACCCAAACGGCTTGTAGCGCATTCGTAGATTTTGGGGCTGCTTTGGTGGCCTTTTCGTCAAGGCTGATATGTCCACGGATCCGTTGGCATGGAAGTTATCTCCGTGTGGGATACTGACGACCTGCTCGAGACGGTATGTTCTGGAGACAGGGCGTCTTTGCCGGCGGTAGACATTACCATCCTTACCTGGAATAAGCAGCGATTTCTGCTTCTCGGCCCCTAGCTGGTTCTCCTGTAGTCGGTAGGCAGTTCCCTTGTGTGTCAGGACTGGCTCTCCACCTGAGATGGCATTCACAGCAAGGCTCTCTATCGACGATACCGGAACTCCCATGGGGGCTGTTATATGCCATAACTGCTTGCCGTCAAGGTTGGAGAGAAGCTGTGATATATCGCTGGGCTGGGAGGAAGATTTCTGCATGAACTGGAATCCTGGTGGAGGCTTAAATGCTTTAGATGGTAGAGGGGCAATTGTATTCCTATTGTTAGGTCGTTAGCCAACAGCACCCTAGTAAAGCTCGCAGATCAATTGCATACTCCTCTTGTATCGTCACCTTCTTTTTACTAGAGGGAGGTGGTACAGGTTCCGCAGGTGATGCTGATTCTGAATCTTCATCTTCTGTACCAGTTGAGCCCCTTGAAGACTCTCCCGAGCTGGGAATACTCGATTCCTCTGTTGTCTCGATGGCCTTTTTGCTTTTCTTTGGCTTATCCTGTCTCGTAAGCCGCGATTCCTCCTCGCTCTCTGAACTTGAACTGTCCGAAACTATTTCTTTGCTCAACGGCGCTTTCATATTGTATCGAGCGAATTCAAAGATCGTGAGAGGTCAGACGTTAGGAAAACTACAAACTCATAAGTAGGAATTGGTATAGCCCGTCTAAGAAAAAATGAAACAAAAGAGCGTCTGTAGTCGTTATATCGCCCAGGAAAAAAAGACAATGTTTGATATCTTCAAATCGCTTTTTCGAAGCTCAAGAAAACTTTTTTTTTGGCACCGAGCACGGGCCACATCTAAGCCGATAAGATAAAAAAATAAACTTATCAAATATGAAGGGAAAAAAAACCAACGCTCATTAATATTAATGTAACAGGGGAATTTATTTGAATAATGAAACGAAGAGCCTCAGGGCAATCGCAGCCAGGTAATTGACATAACTGCGGTACTTTGATTCAGACAGTTTTGCTAACAACACCTATAGCAGCACCCATCAGTGCGATTGCAGCTCGAAGAGCCCGACAAGCTAACAGTACGGTCGAAAAACCAGCTGCCGGCACAATAGAGCCCAAATCGACAGGAAAATCTTCTTCAAAACGGGCAAAGGCTTCCTCATCGTCGATACCCCAGAAGCAAACCGGAATTTCACGAGAACCTACACACACTTCCCGGAATGGGATAGAGGTCGAGGCAGTAGACATAGGCACTAGCCAGGACGATGATGAATATGCGGTAGAGGATGACAATAAAAGCCAGTCTCCGAGGGAGGATGGCCGTGAAGAGAGGTATATTACACCTACCACGATCAATGGTTACAAAATACTGATGCCAGTATACAGCAATTTGCCTGCATTAATTTCTGAGCCACAGGAGAATTTCTTACTATCCAAGGGACGCATCACCCGTGACAGTGTTGTATATACTAGAGAAGATGCTGTCTGTCTACGGCTAAAGCTAAAGACGGTACGAGACTGGTACATTACCCCTCCGGCGAATACAGAGTACTGATTGAGTCGATAGACATTAGCAATCGTTGGCCAGTATGATATCTGGGTAAAACGAGGGGTGGTGAGCGTGATGGGAGCGAAGCTATACCCAAGTCCTATAGTACACAGGGTTTATGCGCCCTCTACACACTCTTTGCCAGTTATAAAATCTGTATCCGGGCCCGACGGATATGCTGAAGTCGAGCTCATCTCCGTCCAAGATGGCCTACCTCAGCTCAGTCGAATATCTAACTTGTACTATCGGATATGGAATGGCCAGAGAGAATCAACTGTCCGGAGGAACCCTTTGGACCTCGAGAAAGCCTCATTTTCCATTGTGAGTTGTGCCCGGAACATCCACTTATGAAAGCATGGTTGACCAATATTTGGATAGTTAAATTCATCCTCTGACGATCCTTATAAACGGCATCTTCGTCCTCTCCATCTAGATAAGAAATGGAGCGTGATGATCAAACAGCTTTCTCGACGCGCCGAGTATCTACGAGTGCTTACCTGCGGGCCTGGAGGATCAGGCAAGTCGACGTTCAACAGATACCTGCTGAACCATCTGCTCAGTCCCTCACCCGACGATGCCAGCAAATTGGCGAACGAAGACGGCGTTGCCTTCCTTGACCTGGACCCCGGGCAACCAGAGTTCTCGCCGATGGGCCACGTCTATCTAGCCCATCTACGCGCCCCAGTACTGGGGCCGCCCTTGTCGCATCCCTCGCTCGGTTCAGGAGACGGCTCAATCATCCGATCACATCATATCGGCGGCAGCTCCCCCAAGGACGATTCCGACCACTACGTCCAGTGTGCCATGAACCTTCTAGACCATTATGGGAGGTTTCTTGAAAGTTATCCCCAGTGTCCGCTTATCATCAACTACCCCGGATGGATATTTGGGAAGGGCCTAGAAATCCTAACCCGGTTCTTGGAAACGCTTGGACTCTCCGATGTAGTGTATACGAGCGAAACAGGGCCGGAGGAAGTGGCTTGGCCGCTCCAATCTGTGGCGAAAGAATTCGGCATACCGTTCTCGACCCTGCCATCCCAGCCAACAGAGTATGCATCTCGATCCAGTGGCCAGCTAAGAACTATGCAGATGGTCTCTTATTTTCACATGCAAGATGCTTGTTCGTCGTCTTCTAAACCATACTGGTCTGCCACTCCTCTGTGCCAGACACGCACAATCAAGGTGAACTACTCGGGCAGCAGCCAAGGCATACTCGGTGTAATGATAGTGGGCTACCCTCACGATAAGGAGCATATACTAAATCTATTGGATGGATCGATAGTAGGAGTCGTGGCAATCGAGCGTGCCGATGCCATCAAGTCTTCGTCTTCATTCTCGACCGTGTCCGATCGGGATAGTATATCCGACGCGGCTGAGGGTGAAGGTAGCACAGTAGGCTCACCACCCAGCAGCACCGATAAACAAACTCATCCCTGCCTACACCGCACCGAGAGAGAGAACCTCCCTTATCTCTTCAGCGGCAATGGGACATGCGCGCCTCTGGACCCCGAACTATCCTACTCCCTGGGCCTAGCCCTTATCCGATCAGTCGACACGGCCTCCGAGACCATCGAGCTTATCTCGCCCATCCGATCTACGGCTGTGCGCGATGCGTTGGAACGCGGACATCAAATCGTGCTTGTGCGAGGACGTCTCGACAATCCAGACTGGGCAATTGGCGAAGAATACTTTGCCGCTCGATGGGCGCACAGGCAATTACCACAGTTACAGCAAAGGCTAAAGCAGCAGCAGAAGCCAGAGAGTCGCTCGACTCAAGAGAGGGAGCGTTATATTTATCAAGGTAGAGTGAAGGAGCGGTTACGTCGGGCAGGAGAAGTGCCATGGATGCATGCATCGGGCGCCTCCAAGGCAGAATCTACCGCTACCTCTCACACCACCAAGTCGAATAAGATGTGGAAGCTACGGAAGATAGCATATTCTGCAGACTCCAGCAGCGGGAGTGAGCAAGAATGGTGATAATTCTTTTTTACCGCTACATGAGTAGATATTTGATGCATGCAAGTTGGGAAATAAACAAGCCTACCCTTGGGGTTTTTTTCCTACCCCTTCATCCCAGCTTTATTTCTAATACTTACTTATATCAAGATATATAGTATGGGATGTATGTAATAATGTGTCATATGCTCCCGCTCACCGTCTGGTCGGACAGCCAACGGGAGCAGACCATGTCATCGAGGCTGAACGATTGCCGGGACGGGACACATGTAAGAGCATACGTACATAGCATATACATACATACAGGGGCTGCGGTGACAAGATCACTGCACATGCATAAGATAAGTGCTATGTAGCAACGAGAAGTAAGTGAATCGTGCATGCCAGAGTAAATCGAGAACGCATCCCCATGTCCAAACCATGGCGAACGGTTCGTCCAGGACAGGATGAAACGCAGGCCGTATATGTATACGATGTGATAATATAGATACATTTGACAGCCATAAGTATACCTCCAAAGTATACGGCAGGTATACACATACCTGGGCTCAATAGCCGAAAACGAGAACCTTGACGTCTTGTTATAAACATGGCCCGTGGCTATTATCTAAGTGCTCCAGTATACGGAGTATGTGAATGGCTATTATATAAAAGAAACGACCGGAAGAGGATCCGTATAGCAGAACCGTCCGAAAAAAAGGGAGAAAAAGCAAAGAAAAGTAGAGGGCGTCGTCTGCCGGATGCATCACAACGCCGCGTCTCTTCACGATCTTGAGCCTTGAACACGATGAAGGTCGCAAGATGAGAGATGGGAACGAGAAAAGAGAGAGACTAATGACAGCTCACATCGCATCCATCTTTCGGATTGACGCTCCCGCTGCTCCCCGTCCTTCCCGTATGCACACTATTTAAGACTATCCCACCCCTTTTTTCTATCAGGACCAGATGGTGGTGCATCCGCATCTCTCTACTCCAAGCGATTGGGACATCACATTTCTCCCCCATGGGGCAGAAGCAAGCAGAAGAAACAAAAAAACAATATTCCTTCACGTTTTGTATTTCTTTTTCCTCCTTTAAACGGGTTTGTATGACTCAAGTGCGAGACAGGGGTCAGGGATTCGGCAACTTTCCTTTTTTTCTCTCGTCTCTGGCGGATGTATTGATGTAAGTCCAGTGTGTGTTTGTTTTGTATTACGCAGCAGTCAACATATATTAAGTGACAGTAGTATGGGATGCAGATAACCGCTGGACATGCAAGGCCAGGGGGTTCCATGGATGGAAGGGAGACATCAGCCCAATGAAGGAGCGTTCACGCCAGTGCCATGCATACTAAAATGCGATCTCTACTCACTCTCTATATGTATATACTATGTATATACTATGATGGGTGATGAAGTATGGTTCGTGTGCATGTATGATGACGCTACTGCGGGTTGCCTGGAGGGAGAGCGACAGAGAGAAGAGAGACCAGGAAGAAGAGTCGCTCTCTCGCCCGCTATTGGAACACGATAGAAAGAGCGGTGAACGGCTGGTCCATGGACGAATGGGATCGTCGTCCGGGGAATTACAGAGTCCATCTCTGCATCCTTGAGCCGCAGCTATACATATATACATACATATGTATATGCTCGATTAATATATGTATATGCACCATGTATGGGTATTAGTAAGAGGTGAGTCGTTGAGTTGCCGTGCAACCCTAGCCCATGTCTTGTCCCTTGGGTTCTCAACGGCGATTGTCCGTACATCATGATACATGAGATCTAGACAGGCGAAGAGCTGGCCATGCATGTGCGAATACGACTTTATCTGATATCTGCATACCATGCTAACATCTCTATACATGCAAAGAACAGAGAAGTATATATGTATACAAGTACTCTGATCAGCGAGATCACCAACTTGCCACTCCCATATAAGCAGGTAAGCTCGGTCTCTGCCCTGTTTTCGCACTTCTGGCCGGGACTAGATCGCAGGGCGGAGAGAACAGAAGTGGAAGAGAGACGGACGGGCTGGCAAGAGCTCGCGTGTTGCCTTGTCCACTCGACTGCAACGGTATCCCACAGGCTGACGAACCCACGGTGGACCTGTATTCATATATACATTACATAGTATATACCGTATGAGGAAGATGTCCGGGACGACCGAGGTGCCACACGAGACCGTTGAGCTGCCTGAGACGAGAACGAGCAGCCATGTCCGAGTCCTCCGAAGACGCACACAGAGGGAGAGTAAAAGAGTAAAAAGGAGGCAAAGGATGAAACGCTGGTTCGGGCCCAGGAGGAGGTCGCAGCCATAGTGGATGGGTGGACTTACTTCCCCTTGGGCAGCGACAAGAAGGACTAGCGACGCCCTAGAAGCCGGCTGGAAGGGAAGCCAGGCAGTCTCCTTTCTATGGGCATCTTCATGTATCTATCCCCTCACACACACACACTCTCTCTCTATCTATCGTCTTCTATCTATAATATATATCTACCTTCATCTACCATCGACCATCTGCTTCTGTGGATGTAACGTAGCTTACATAATATACCGAGGCTTGGCACTGAACCATGGCCCCGGGAAAGTCACGCGTACTGTCATCATAATACAAATAATACATACATTCAATACACATAAACACTTTGTATATCGAAGCAAGACGGAGAAGATGGAGACGACGAAAAGAAGGTGAAGAGAAAAGAAGAGAAAGCAGAGAAAAACTCGAGAGTTGCGTGATCGAGTGGTAAGGATGTCCCCTGAGGTGGGAGAGTCTTATAAGACGCCCTACTAAGAAGCCCTGCCCCGCCAGCCAAAAAAAAAAGGGACGAAGAAGCCGCGGAGAGACAAGAAGTAATTGAGGTCTTAGTAAAGACCGCAACTTGATAGGCGAGGCATTAAAAGGGCGGACAAAGATATGGTAAAAGAGAAGAAGCCTCAACGGCGCTGCATCTTCTGATACCACTAACCACTGCTCCATAGACGCCCTACATACATATTACTCACTCCCATGTACCGCCAGACCGACGTCGCAGCCGAAAGAAGTCAGCGTCGCACGAGCAGAGAAAGGCCGTGAAGGAAATAAAAGGGTAAAATTCCCGAGGGATTTGCAGGGAAGAAAGACGAAGAAGAAGAAGAAAAAAGACAAGAGGAAAAAGCAAAAAAGGGTTTCAATTTCTTCTTCTTTTTTCCTTTTTATTTTTTTATTTTTTTATTTTTTATTTTTTTTATACCGCAAGCTTTAATCTTATTTTTTTTTTGAGTTTTTGGGTTTCGATGTTACTTTAAAGTTCGCTTGTTTTGGAAAATAATAATAATATATGTATGGACGCTTTTTCTTCTTCTTACTCCCTCTGACTTCTCGAAGCAGTTTCTCACGATATCGTCACCGTCAACGATATCATCTATCGACAGTCCTCGTCGACGTCGAAGCATGTCTCTTCGCGCCAGGGCGACCCTGACTCTCTCCTCTCGTCTCTCCTGACACTAACCGTCCTCCCCGTCTCGTCACCCTAGCTATGGATTTCATTGTAAGTACATCTACAATTGTATACACTGTCTGCAATGTATATATTCTATATCTATATTATCTTAAAAGGGTGTACTTGCTGACAGATTAGCTCTCCCTGACACACTTCTGCGAAGTGCATGGCCCGACCTCCATTCTCTGCTCCCAGATACTGCCCACCCCCTGTCAGCAGTGTTCCCCGGACTCGCCCGTCTCCTCGCCAGACGGATCGCCTTCTTCACCCTCGTCTTCATCGTCTATCCACGTACGAGACGCCCGTCATGCTCCGGTCACGGCCACTGCGGCGCCAGACCTCAGTTCTTCCCCCTCGTCAGTCCGCTGCGTCACCACATCCGCCATCGAGCCCCTCGCCACCCCGCCTGCTTCGGCCCCTGTGACTGCACCGCGCATAGAAGACCATCCTTGGTTTGCCAGCGAGAAGAATCTCAAGGCTGCAGGAGGAGTGTCTGGTGTAACTGGACCCGAGAAAAAGTCGGCGGCTCGGCTTGGTGGTGGTGGTGGTGCGGACGGAGATACTTGCGCCAGCTGTAGACTCAAGCTGCCCGAGGATGTCAGTAGACAGCTTCCCCTGGACGCCAATGGCTCACGCGAGGACCACGGATACCACAGCAGCCCTGTTCTACGCTCGAGGGAGGTCGTCTATGCCTGTCGAGGCAGCCATGCAGATCACCACTACGACCAGGACGACGATTATACCTGCTCTTCCACCCCGGTCTCTTCGTCCTCGCATCACCACAACAGCAGCAGCAACGGCAACGGCAACAATTATTATTCACCTGCATCAGTACACTCGTCTTATTCTTCGGATTCCTCCTGTCACACCCACGTAGTCACCTATTTGTCCATGCGCGGACCTGCCAACCCAGATGACTACTCCCTCCTCCGCCGCGCCTCCATCCGCACCCTCTCCTGCGAACTGCTGCCCCGCGGCCTCTCCTCTGGCCCTCTATCCTTTGGTGATTCGTCTGCCGGATACACGGTTGCCTACGTCTTCCGTCTGCCTGACCCCATGGCACGCGGAAAGCGTCGAAGTTACGCCCTAGTCGCTCTCGCAGGCAAAGATGCTGGCCGCACCTTCAAAGCTAGCCCACTCATCTGGCGTACGTTTGCCCGTATCGCAAACAACATCGTCAGCGCGGCAGAGAAGTTCCAGGAGGGTGAAAAGGTTCGTGAACATGGCTACCCTGCTGTGCCTACAACCGCATCAACACATGCTCCTTCTGGACGCAATTACACGCCTATATCATCCTTCTTGACTGGAAGAGCCCTCGACCCAGACGGCCACCCCAGAAGAGTAGGTCAGGTTCGCGCCCGCAACCTGATCGAGATCGTGGGGAACGAATACATCTTTGCTGAACTACATGCTCAATTCGTTGCCTTGCTACAGCAGCTCAGCGCCATGTTCATTTCTCCCTCCGACAGCCACCATGCAGACATGTACGATGATTACACCGGTCGGTCGTCTTCAGACCGATTGAGAGGCACCGGCAGCACCGGAAGTGATCGCAGCAGCATCGACCACGACCGCTCCGCCACCGCCATCGGAGCTGCATCCTTCGCAAAGCAGTTCTCGCAGCTACAGATGTCTACATCGGTACCAAAGCCAATTCCCATCTCTCGACGAAGGAAGATGGTTGCGTAGGCCTGTTCCTTGTTTACCTACCTACCCTGGTCCCTTCCCTTCCCTCCCCCTCGGCCGACTATCCCGCCCTGTTTCACCCCCGACTTCGACCAGGCCTTGACTCGTGGATGTTTTCTTTTTCCACTTTCTCCCTCTTTCTTCTTCTCCTCCCTCCCCCCAGATGTACCACAATGTCACCGCTGCCACCCGGTCGGGCTCTGCCAAATCCCATCCCTTGTTACGATGGCCGATCTGAAACCAGTCACGGCGTTCCCCTTTATACCCCTGTTCTTACTATGCATCCTCGACATGGTCTCGACCCACCCGCTACCAACATCACCAGAAGCCGCCTTTACGACGTAATGAACCTGATCGATACCAGACATACCCAACCCATAGACACACACACATACTTATATCACCGCCATTAATCCCTCATGCATCCCCGCCATTCACACTCTCGCTTTCCGCATGAGGACCAACGCCTAACATGCATCTTCACCATCGCTAAAAAGTCCAGCCGTGGGGAGAAAGGAAAAAAAAAACCAAAACCAAAAAGCTCGATCGGTTGATTTCTTTTCTTTTTCTCTTCTCATCTTCTCCGCCTCGCTCGTCTCTCTCCCCCCCGCCCTCTCTCAAACTACTGCGCTACAACACGCAACGAGTCCAACGGCTTTTCCTCTTTTTCTTTTTTCTTTTCTCAGTTCTTAGACGGGGCAATATCGGCAAGGGCTGGTGCACGGGTTTCGATACCCTCTGGCTTTTATTTCTCTTTTCTTCTTTCTGCTTCTTCATCCAGGGTGTTTTTACGGACCAGCGACTCGGCTTTGTGCTTTTCTTCTTCTTCTTCGTGTTCCTCTCTCCCGATAGATCTCTTTTCTTTTCTCTTTTCTCTACGGCTTCACGGACCGGCAAGTTCTTCGGCTCGACCTTGATATCCTCTTTTCTTTTCCTTTCTTTCCGCTTTCTCCTTTCTACTTTTCACTTCTACTTCTTAGGGCGGGGACCCAAGTTAGCTTATCCTGTTCTTTTCTTCTCTTCATTGCCTTCTCCACCGTCGTGCTGCGGCGTGTGTCGAGTCGTTTTGTGCTTTACTTTACCCACTTCTACTCACTGCCTTTTTATCTAATTACCTCCGTACTCCCTTGAGCAAATAAATATATTTAATACCTTCTTTTACATCCCGTGCAAGTTGTGGATTCAACAGTTCCAATCTTCTGTAGTTGAACAGGACAGGCCAGATGGCAATTTGCATCTGATATTAAATTATCAAACGTTACTTATTTTTGGCCAAAGTCAGAATTTTCAGTGAGCCGAAGTCTTCACGTGATGCCGCTTTGTTATTCACACTTGTTGGCTTGTGACTTTACATGTGCAATCTATAATATTAACGTCGATGTCTGTAGAGTAGCATGAGCAAGTCTTGTAATTGACTAGTAACATCGACTCGAAAGACCTTGACTCTCGCTCAATTGCTCTTCGTCCTCCTTCAAGATGTTTAGATGTATAAGATGACTAAGCGGGACGGAGAAACATTCCAAAAAGAGACAGAAAGCCACAAAAAATATCTCAGAGTGAAAAACATCAACTTCACACATACAAAGTACAATACAACTTCTACACATCTACCTAATCCTTCACTCGAGAGTCACTGTTTATCCTTGTGGTGGACTCCTTACATCTGACTTTATACCCGTTTTTAGTTCTACCCCGTTAGCGAAGAGGGACACAGAACTGCACACTTCTTGTGGGATAATATAATAGTTAAATCTTCACAATGTCGACGTCGTTTGATAAATGCAAGACGCGGCCGCCGCACATGGACGCTATTTTAAATGGACTCGACAGATATAACCCCGAGACAACGACTGTTTTCCAAGATTACATTGTACAGCAGTGCGAGGACAGGACGTTTGACTGCTATGCCAATCTAGCGTTATTGAAACTGTACGTTCTTTCTCTTTTCCTTTTACTTTCGATCTGCCCGAAATACACTCGTTTGAAATGATTATTTACCTATAAACGTTTCCTATTAACACGACCATACCATTGGTATACATGGGGAGAACTTTTAATATGATTAAAACATTCAATTCACCTGTTTTCTTGCACCACTTTGAGAGACATACGCTATCAGACCACTCTAACAAAGGACAACAGTTACCAATTTAACCCACACCTCCTCAACATCGAAACCACAACCAATATCCTAGTCAAGGCCCTCACGGTCTTCCCCTCCCCCGCCTTCTCTCTCTCCCTCGCCCTCCTCCCAGCATACACTCAGCCGTTCAGCTCTTCTGCCCCCGCCCAAGGCCCATCCTCCACCCTCCCCATCCAAACAGCAGATTTCGTCGAGTCAGTCCAGAAACTCGCTCGTCTCTCTACACTGCTTGAATCAGCCCAATATTCCCTCTTCTGGTCCACCCTAAACTCAGATGATCTCTACGCGGACCTAACTGCCGATGTTGCGGGTTTCGAAGAGCTGATTCGTGTACGTATCGCGGTAGAAGTTGGAAAAGCCTTCCGTGAAATTAGTGCGGAGATGTTGATGGATTGGCTAGATGTTAAGGGGTTGGATACTTTGGAGAAATTCGCTGTAGATGTATGTGGGTGGGAAGTTGATAAGAGCGGTGCCTCAGGGCCCGGTGATGCGAAGAACGTTATTGTTAGGGTCCCGAGGAATAAGGAGAACGAGGCTCGAGGAGAGGTTAAGGGTGAGAAGGTCGGGATTGAGATGTTTGGAAGAGTTATTAGGAGGGGCTTTGAGCAGCCCGCTTGATTCTATTCCCCTCTTCCCCTCCCCTTTCATTCACCTCTTCAAATAGATACCTATGTTGTTAAAAGGGTTACTTTTTTTACCCACGTTACGTCTTTTAATGGCTTTTATTTAACGGCTAGACTAAACAAAATCAAAACAATCATGTCTTTCAATCGTTTCCAGTTTCTATCTACCTTTTTTTCCCAATTCTTCTATTTAGACACTAGCCTTTCTTCCCACTGCACACCAACCCATTCCTCCCGCCATCCAGCCTCCCCTATCTTTTCAGGTGCACAGTCCGCCGCACAAACACCCAATATAATAGTCCCCCACTCCATACCCAAATCATCCTTCGGTCCCAGACCAATTCCTTCCATCCCTTCCTCAAGAACAGCAATTGCATGCGGTACAAGCTGTAGCTCAAATACACGATCCCCGCCGCACGACTCACACCGTGGAATGCTACTCTTCCCTCCACCACTGGTCTGCACTTTCGCATTCGACTGTCCCTCAGAAGAAGCGAATAACTTACCCACTTCATCACTCGTCGAGTATAATAGTGGCGTTCCGCGGAATTCATATCTAAGTACTTGTTCTGGGTTATGTTCCAGGCGCGTGGAAAAGCGAATAAACGACTTGTCCATGGCGGATTCGAAGAGGTCCTTTTCCGACTCCTTTTTGCCTGAAGATGATGCGGGGTCGTTTTCTGTCTCGAGGGTATCTATCTGTACATTGGATGGAAGTTTTGTCTCCTCTACCTTGGAGAGAGCTTCATATTCGGCGTCGAAGAAGTAATGTGGAAATGGTGGTGGGAAAGCAGACTGTTCTGGCCAGGGAGCTTGTGGTCCTGCGGGTTTGGTGGATGGTTGCATAGGAGATGAAATGCGTGCTTTCTGCGCGAATGTTTCGGGGAGCTTCTCCTCTTCTGGCTTTTGCGGTACTACTGCCGCAAGTGATGATGTAGGCAGTGAAGCGAATGGGTTGGCACCACTGGTTCCTGCGCCAGTTGAAAAGGGATTGGAGTTTCCTGACGTGCTGGAAGTTGGTTTCACGCCGAAAAGATCAGCCCCCAGATCTCGTTTCGGTTTATTTTGCGCTTCTTCCTTTTGCTTTTCGAATACTTTTTCTCTGTCTTCGACGGTTTTATGTCTCTTCACGGCGCGCAATGCGCGTACGCTTCCCTTTTTGCGACTACATGTTCTCCTCACGCAACCGAATATATACAGCCATCTCTCATCGTGCGCAAAGTGTTCGGGTAGGTCTCCATTTAGTTGTAGGATAAGGGGCATCGGGTCATTGCAAATCTTGCATTTGGCGAAATCTCCTGGAGGAGGGGTCGCGGGGTCAAGCCATGTCTGATAAGATAAAAAAGTGTGTGCCGTTAGCAATGCAGCTTTTCTAATTATATCGTTCAAACGTTGCGCATAAGTAAGCCCTGTATAATGATGGACAGAGGGCAAATAGGCCACTGAGAGGAGAGATATAGAGAATTGGGGTATACTCACCGGCCATCCACCTAAGTGGCTTATAGTATCACTGAGCTCTTCCTTAGAAGCATATCCAAGAAGAACACCTGTTTCGGTGTAGTCATCAAGTTCTTCATCTATGCCAGATGAGTCACTATCGTAAGGATCCATGTTTCTTCCCGCTGCGAGAGATTCACTTCTCTATCTTTCTATCTTATACAAAACTTTTTTATCTTGTGAGAATCAAAAATTGTTTATCGGTGACTCACGTGATCATAGCGATAAGGAAATAACTAATCATATTTATATTTTGTTTATTTTATTAGCTAGTTGGAAGCTCTTCTGATGTTTGACTATTCGATCTAACAATTAGAATATTTCTGGTTAGAAATAGCAGATATCTATTTCACTCGCTTTGCATCTGTGTGTTGTCCCTCGAGATGTTCTGATATCATCAACAAAAGAAGTGGAACCATGTTTAACTATATAGACTTACTTAAATTATGTTAATTCTACTTCCAACTTCCACTAACCCCTTGAAACGGATATGGGGCATCTATTTACAATGGCATGAGTATATATATTATTATTTGGTGGCGTCCTTTCGTCGTTTTCTGAGATACGGTGCCCCCCTGAGACGGGGCTGTTTCTTTCTGTATCGCGGTATCGGTTTCAACCAACAGCAAGGTCAGCGTTCAGCCCAGACACGGGCTACCGCATTAGTATGTGTGTACAGACGAATATAAGTATGCAGCCATCCATCGTCTATCTCCTCGCCGTGTCGATCCTATAAAGTGCGCTAGCTCTCACCCGCTATAAATAACTCATGCTTTGTCCTGTGCAGGCGAACCAACATATCCGGATACATGCATATTGCTCGACCGTCGTGCATCAACAAGGTGATATAAATGCATCGCTGTGTGCCGCAGAGCATTTAGTTTAACAGCACTCGAAAAGCTGTGGTACAGGGCTGAAGCAGCGTTCGTTGTACGGAGAGTACTTGCTACCTTCCTGCCGATATTGCTACTGTGGCTTCCTTTCTTCTACCTCAGTGCTGTGCTTGTGACAAGGGGAACTCCACAGTTCACTGCAGCCATTGCAGATATACAGGCATCCACTATGCTTTGAGCTGCCCTACCCTTGATGTTTGCCTGCATATTCTGATCGACAACTCGCTTGTGCAAAAATCCGGTGTGACAACGCCCGACACCTGCAGAAGTAGCCCTCGTTTATCTGTCTACATTTTGGTCATCAGTTGAATTGGTCGGAACCGCAAACAAATCACCATGCATACCATCCGCTTTACCGTTGTTTTCTATTTGCTCCTGCTGTCAAACTTCGTCTTGTCGCAGGAAGTGCAGCAACCATTAGGAGCAGAGACACCAGTCGCCTCCAAGAAACCAAAAATGGTTGCAGTAATCGGTATGAAAATGGATAGTGAAACCCTTTAAAGCAATCCCCATGCTAATTATCTACAAGGTGCTGGGTCTGGAGGGACGTCTGCAGCTTACTATCTCCGAACTTATGCCGATTACTTCTCCGTTCCCATAAACATCACGATATTCGAACAATCGTCATATGTTGGTGGACGATCAACCACCGTTGATGTCTTCGATGATCCATCCCTACCCATAGAGCTGGGGGCATCGATATTTGTCGAGGTGAATAGAAATCTCATGAAAGCTGCAAAGAACTTTGGCCTCACAATCCAAGGTGCCGGAGATACCCGACCAAAGGAGGCAACGGACAGTTTGGGTGTATGGGATGGAAGTAAATTCGTATTTCAGCAGAGAGAGGGCAACTACAGATGGTGGAACATTGTGCAACTTCTCTGGAAGTACGGATGGGCTCCAATGAGAACCCAAGATTTAATGAAGTCCACAATTGGCAAGTTTCTGAAATTATACCGATACCCGCTATTTCCATGGAAGAATCTTTCTGAGGCCGCACGAAGTAGTGGGCTGATCGAGTCAACCTGGGCCACGGGAGCAGAGTTCTTGAAGGACAACCACATATCAGAAACATTCTCGAGAGAGGTAATTCAAGCAAGTACTCGCGTGAACTATGGCCAAAACCTTCCTCTCATACATGGGCTGGAGACCATGGTATGCATGGCAGCGCAAGGTGCGGTCTCAGTCCGGGGAGGAAACTGGCAGATATTTCGTGGTATGGCAGAAGCATCCAAGGCTGTCTTGAAACTTGGATCTAAAGTTACAAGCTTGAAAAATCGAGACAATAGCGCCTACACCATCTCCTATAATACAAAGACCAACACAACAGAGGAAGAAGTGTTCGACAATGTCGTGATAGCCGCTCCACTTCAGTTCTCGAATATTGAGCTCGAGCCTACTCTCAATAAGCCGGATGAAATCCCTTATGTCAAGCTACATGTCACTCTCTTCTCATCGCCTCATAGACTGTCTCCTAAATACTTCAACCTCCCACTTAGTGCCACGGTGCCTGAAACCGTTCTCACCACCTTACCCAAGGGCCTTAACCTGGGATCTCGCCGTGATGGGGTTGGGCCTACTGGATTTTGGAGTATAAGTACTCTTCGCAAGGTGCAGCCGCCAGCGAAACAAAAGGCTGATGTCCCAGATCACTATGTTTACAAGATCTTCTCTCCCGAACCACTGAACGCAATGTTCCTATCAGGCATTCTGGGACTAGAGGGGCCGACAAATGGATCGATCACAGATTTTTCAAAGTCAGACATCAGCTGGAGCCATGAGAAAGTGTGGCACTCATATCCTGTGCTATACCCGCGGGTGACATTCGAAGACATCCAGCTAGCTCCGAACCTATGGTACACTAGTGGGATCGAAAGCCTGATCTCAACCATGGAGACGAGCTCTCTTTCTGGAATGAACGTCGCTGCTCTGATGGTTTCCCAGTGGACGGAAGACTTTGATCCAAAGATGAATATTTTGGAAGGAGATCCTCATTAGGGCCGTTGTCGAAGTTTCTGGCTAGCTTTCATCGTCTTTCTTTCTTTTTGGATGCTTGCAACGGCGCTTTCGGCATGGCGTAATATTGTTAATCCTAGTTTCGTTCCTTATCTCTTGTATTCGTAGAACCTGGCCGGTTGGTTCCGTAGTCCGGATCCTCGGTTGGTGAAAAGAGAGATGCACTGAGCCAAGATGCGCACCTCACTTTTGATTCTCTCGCTATTTGTTTGTTAGTTGGGCTTCGGTATAACTGGCATTCCACCACGCCGTCTGTATGCCTTGTCCGGTGTTCTATAACACTCAACGGCTGACAACGTCTGGTGTTTTTTAAGGTTGTTTCCCCATCGGACTAGTTAGTTAGGGGCGAGGTGGAGCGTAACTCCAGCATATGAAATCGCCGATTCTTCCAACAGCGCCCCGTTGGGTCATGTCTCTTGTAAATCCGTGGAAAGTGACCTTGCTTGCTGACCTTTTTTCCTTTGGTCTTCCTTACAAAGAGAAAGAAAAAAACGCCTTTTCCGTGACTTTGCTGACTTTCGGAACATGTGACTGCAAACATGTGACACATGTAGGTTTCTGCTTTGGGATAGCTAGAAGTGGATAACGTCAGAGAGCCGCAACTTTTCCTCTCAACTTCAACTTCAACTTCAACTTCTCTTTAACCATCACCTACGACCAACAACCAGTACAGCCTGCACCACTAACGCTGTGATATCTACGTCTATCCAATACAGTACACCAAGTATCTTTCTTAACTACCTAACAACTACTTTTATTCTACCGCAGTTATGGAACCCATCCTACTATGTGGCCCGTGATACCGAGAGATCTTAAGCGCCCTATAATATCTTGCTTGTTTCAGAACGTCCCTCTTCCCTCTCTCCCTTCGAATAATATCGTCTACCGTGCATTTGGTCCGTTTGTAATATCTGATAGCAAGATGTCGAAAGCGTTTTGGAGGCTCTGTGAGCTTCTAGCCCACCAGGGCCAGCAAGACCTTCCTACCGCTTTCCCGCCAGAAACAGAGGAAGAGATTCAGCAACTATATGACCAAGTAAGCGGTCGTCGGCGGAGTAAAAGCAACGGAGGCAGTGAAAATGAACCTGCCACAACGGAAACTACCAGCACTAGCGGGTCTGCACCTGTTGATAGCACCACCCATGACTTCGATGTCCAAACTCTCAAATCCTCCATATCTAACTTATCCCAAGATAACGCTCCCATGTTCTTTGACGATAACTCCGCGTCTATTATCAACTTCAAACCAACAGAACCACTGCGAATAACCTGCCTTACTATCGGTTCTCGTGGTGATGTTCAGCCATATATTTCACTCTGCAAGGGCTTGCTAGAAGAAGGGCACAAGCCCCGCATCGCAACTCACAAGGAGTTTGAGAGCTGGATAAGAGAGCATGGTATTGACTTTGCTCCTATCGATGGCGATCCGGCAGAACTTATGAGAATATGTGTTGATCATGGCATGTTTACATATGCGTTCTTGAGGGAAGCAACCACAAACTTCCGCGGATGGATAGACGATCTTCTTTCTTCGTCTTGGAAGGGCTGCCAGAATTCCGATATCCTCATAGAATCCCCAAGTGCTATGGCTGGTATTCACGTCGCCGAAGCCTTGGGGATCCCCTACTTCCGTGCCTTCACTATGCCCTGGACAAAGACAGCAGTATATCCCCACGCATTTGCTGTCCCGGACCGCAATCTAGGAGGGACGTATAATAGACTTACTTATGCAGTGTTTGACGCCTTATTTTGGAAGGCTATTTCTGGACAAGTCAATAGATGGAGAAAGAAGCAGCTTGGCCTGCAGCCTACAAGCCTCGACAAGATGCAGCCAGATAAAGTTCCTTTCCTTTATAATTTCTCCCCTTCGGTCGTACCGCCTCCCACAGACTATCTAGAGTGGGTACGTGTGACTGGCTACTGGTTTTTGAACGCAGCGTCGGATTGGACTCCACCAGAAGACCTTGTAGCATTTATTGCCAAGGCAAAGGCCGACAAAAAGAAACTGGTATACATTGGGTTCGGATCAATAGTCGTCTCTGACCCTGCAGCCATGACGAAAACAGTGGTCGAGTCTGTACGAAAGACTGGTGTACGATGTATCTTGTCCAAAGGCTGGTCAGATAGGCATGGAGACCCAAAGAGTTCACAAGTGGAAATTGAACTTCCCCCAGAGATTCACCAAATTGATGCCGCACCCCACGACTGGTTATTCTCCCAAGTTGACGCTGTTGCGCATCACGGCGGGGCCGGAACAACTGGAGCCAGCCTTAGAGCTGGGGTACCTACTATTGTGAAACCTTTTTTTGGAGACCAGTTCTTCTTTGGCACCCGCGTACACGATCTTGGAGTTGGTTTGTGTATGAAGAAATTGAATGTTGTTGCCTTCACCAGAGCGTTATGGGAAGCTACTAATAGCCAGCGCATGATTATAAAGGCTAAACAAATTGGCGAACGGATCCGTCAGGTATGCCTTACCACCCATTTCATTCCTCCTTTCATTATATTTGAATCGCCGGTGTATAACTGACTTATACCATAGGAAGATGGCGTTTCCAAGGCTATTCAGTCCATATATCGGGACCTAGAATATGCCAAAACTCTCACTTACTTACGTCGTACCGCTGCTGGTCATCCTTCAAGTGATGCCCTTGATGAAGAGAGCCTTGAAGATTTCCTAGATGGAATTGAGGAGTCTTGGACCTTCATCGGTGACGAGATATTCCCGAGAACCCAGGATCCCAGGAGCGAACTTGCTTCTCTGATGGGCGGGGCTGCAGCTGGAACTTTACCACCTCTAGATGATGACGAAGAGGATGTCGCTTGCTGATAGGCGGTGACTAGTCTCTACCACAATACACTCTAGTTCGTACATGTTTTGCTGCAACTATTACGATTTACGATCCCAATGAAAGGTAGGTAGGGTGTGTTAAGGCGCTATGGGACTTTGGTTTCAGTCTTTCTCATTTACTTTTGTTTCTTTCCGTCATTGTTCATTTACTTCATATCTTCATGCATAATCTTTCATTCTCATATATCTGCCACTACTAAAGGAGTCCGGCGTCGACATGGAGCAAACAAAGGTCGCATCCGCATCTCAAACACAGACCTGAATGAACATCTCCCGCGTTATGCTCTATGTGAATACCTCCCGTTTATAGTGTAGCGATACCGCCATCGCATCTCGCCGAGTTTCTGCAAGAAAGAACTGCCCCTCCCGAGCTGCGAGTTTCAAACGTGACCAGCGACGCCAACCTCGCCAAGTTGCACCTGTAACTTACCCCTAGCAGCGCTTCAGCTTACTGGCGGCTGTCTCATCCACTCATCGTTACAATTGCTTGATGGTGGTAGACGCTAACAGGAGAGAGCACGCCTTGCTTAATGAACAGCGGAAAAGCTGATGTTTACAGTCTAAGATGTTGCTGATGTGGATGGTCATCGATACCTAGCCCTTGGTATTGCGCGCGAACGAGCCTGCGGAGTGCTCAAAACTGCTGTTTGCCTTTTATCTTTGCCTGCCTCTCGACGCGCTGGCCAGGGGGTCGCGAGAAGGGGCAAGGCATTTGGCACCGGGATCAGACTCGAGTTTATGCGCTGCGCGCTATACGGAGATTATAAAGGTTCCGAAGCTCAGCGTAACGCATGCACCGGATTCTTTGCTCAAGTACCCTCTCTCTCCCTCTCTATCTCTTTCTTTCTCTTTGCCAATTCTTTCCTTTCTCTCTCTCTCTCGTTAGAAAGGACCTGCTGAGCAGTTCTGTTGGATTATGTTTCTATGTTATACTTTCCTCGCTGGCTGGTCCATCAAATGAGTGCATATACAGATAGACTGCTCTCTCACTGAGACCTGCTCACAACTTCTCACCTGTTCTTGCCTTGCTCCTTGGACACCTACACTCTCTTTAAAAACCTCCTTCTTTCCCACTATCTCCCTTTATACACAACTTGAAAGATGAATTATGTCTATGAGTAGCTTATCTATAGCTATCGGAAAGCTCAATAAGATATAAGAAGGTTAACAACAGAACCGGTACTAGTAGTTATAGACAGTAGCACTACCCTACTTATCTTGGATGAAGGGATCGTCAAGGCGTACTATGAGAAGATCAAGGGCGCCAGATATGATGCTAAGCGATATTTAGAACATCTCAATGCTATCGTTTTTCCTCGCTGTTGGTAAGGACCCCATGGCTATCATCCCCAGCACGCCCAAGACCAAAGAAAGAAAAAAAAAGAAAAAAGAATAAAAAAAAAGGAAACAGAGCGAAGAGGAGGGGAGGGTAGTTATATCAGTCGCTTCATGTGAGCTGCATCCCATCCAGGCGTAATTTCAATTTTCATGCCCGGGTTAAATACACGTCCTGATATCCTATTTAATACCCTGTATACTCCAATTTTGTAGAATAACTCAAACTCCGCCACATAGTTGCTTGCAATGCCTAATCCATCCATTTTCAGCCTCACCATGAAGTCTAGTAAGAGGAGCCATACCTACTATGGAGTGGGCAGAAGGCCTGCTGCCACGCACGCAGCCTGACACGCCCCAAACGCTGAATTGCATGCTATTATAGATGCTGGAGCTGTTGCTCCTAACGTCGCCCCCCAGGTGAAGCCAGCAGCCGCATAGCAAGCCATGACGATAGTGGCACATCCGGCTTGACATATCCCATACGCAGCTGGGCCCCCAAGTACACTGCTCGTAAGGAGGAGAAAGGGTAAAAGGATACCGTGGAGAAGCATATTGTGGGTTGTAAAAGTCGGATTGTGGGTTATAGATGTCGGATTGTGGGTTGTAGATGTCGGATTGTTGGGTAAATCAAGAAATACTGAGAACAGGGAGAATGGGGGGTTATTATACTCGCGCGGATAGAGAAAAGAGAGGACAACAGGAAGTCAGGATCCTGTTTTATGCATCCTGCAGTCCTTTTACAAGTTTCTTTTTACTTGTGCCAAACTTGGGGAGCTACTGGCTAAACATAATAGTTACCTAGGGCATGATGTAACCCGGATTATCTCCCTATATATCAATACAAGCCCTTGGGAGAAACGGAAGATAACGACATACGGAGTACGGCGATACGGTCATCACACGGCTCGAGCAGAGACTTCGGCCATGGTGGTATTTGTATATAGTATTCTCGTAAATGCTGTTCTTTCGACAGACGGTTTAACAAGTTCCTTGGGTGGTAGATGGGGAATATCAGGGTTGGGTATCTCATCATCCGTTACCAGCATGGTGATTGAAAAAATTGGGATAGATCTATTAAGAGTAAATATGTGAAACGTGTGGCTGTAGGAAATGAAAGTTGAGATTAGTTGATGTTGTCTATACCTAGTGTTTGAACCTGGCGAGAAAAGGGGATCACGGTTAACTAGTCAGCGGAACTACTTTGATAGCAACGAGCTGGCGGTAAAACCATTTCATACTATCAACATTTTTCTATATTCAAAAGGGGCCATTTTTACCGGTGGTTTTATCCTGTCAGTCTTTTTTGTCCTGAAGAGTGTCAGCTACGTTGGCCTCGGTTTTTCAAGTGTCATTTTCTCGTTCCTGGTGCCAGTATACGAGCGTCCATTTGTGCAGCCCTTTTGTCTAGGAATAATGATATACAAGGAAAACCAAGCCCAATTTTTGTATATAAGGCCCTCTTTTATCCTGGAAAGAAAACCTGAGAAGATGGCTCCACGTTTGTATAAATGGTTATAACTAACCATCTGTCCGTACCCGCTTCCCTTCACCTTCTGTTTCCTCATCTTTACCCTCTGCTTTCTCCTTTCGTCTCTGTACCACATCCCAGTTATATACACGGGCTGTCGCAACCTCGAGTGTCTAAAAACATGCATTAGTTTGTCAGTTTCATAATTCTACTCGACCATGTTAAAGATGAACTGACCGTAACCTGCTCTCTCAAAAACTCCATGTCCTCTTCGCAGTTCTTGAAGCTCACTTCCGCAGCCTGTAATTTATCTTCTAGTAATGTTTCTGCCTCGTCGATGGGATATGCAAGCATAACGTTTGCTGCAAGCCATAGGTATACTTCATCTGTATCATCGGGTAATACAGTCGCATGGGCATAGAGCGTGTCATTCATGTCAAATGTGGTTTTAATAGGTTCGTTTGTGCCAGCCTAGCAGATATATCTCGTCAATGTCAAGGAACCAGAGTATTCCAAGCATAAGGCCGTACCTCTCTCCTACTCTTCAAAAATCTAACAGTCTCGAGGGTTTTTCGTATATCTGGAATTTTCTGCTGCAGGCCCTGTGCACGTCTCTGTGTATTTACTTCCATGAATTGATATTTGGACACCATCTCCTGGAATGATCTAAGTGTGGGCTCAACATCTGCCCTTGTGGTAACGTAGTCTGTGACATTGTCGACGAAAGGAGCTGCTGGGATACCGCGAGGATTAGAACCTGTCGTTGGAAGGCTTCGTTTTCTATATATTTCCGTTCATCAGCCAACTTTCTGGTGATAATTGGGGATTTATTCAAGGGTTATGGGGAGTGTATGTGGGGGAGCAAGTATACGTCTCTGCTTGTTTCTCTGCCATCTCGATAAATACCACAACTCCCTGATTTGTAATACGATTGCTCTTGGATATATTTGAGTATCAGCGACTCCTATTTCAGAGTCAGAAAGAGAGCGTGTGGAAGTAAGTGTGCTGGTTGACGCATTTGGTTCAGTATTTTGGTGGTGGGAAAAATCACCAAAAAAAGTGACGTCGTTCTTTCGATCTGCCAAAAACAACAACGTTCAATGTCATCAACTTCACACTGACGAGGCTTTCACGCAATATTTATGCGTGTAGCAACTGATTCGAACTCACTGAAGATATTTATGCCAAATACATGAATTCCAGCCTTATCTGAGCCCATAATGGTGCTATTAAAAGCTACTCCGGGCATCATCTCTGCGATCGAAGCTCTCCCTTTATCCCTACGCGAGGAGCTTTCTCTCCTTGAAACCCCTGAATTAAAGGCGCCTATATCTCATAGCCAGTTGATATTAATCGCACGGAGTTTTTCATCTCATCCCTTCAAATCGAACGAGGCCAGTGGAAAGGATAACGCCCAAGCAACAATCGCTGGGGAAGGCAGCAAGCATACGTTGAACCACCTACTTCGCGGAACAGCGCTCTATATTCCTCCTCCGCCGCCGAAACCTGCACCAGTAAGTGGCCTACGCTTATTATACTGTTTACCTATAGTTTGGTATAATGAAAATCCATTCTAACCTACCTTAGAGCCCAGAATACCTTGCTCTTAAAGCCAAATTGCTGGTGGAAGCAGAACAAAACCAATACAACAACCTGCTTCATCCACTCTCCCCATCCGAATCGAAGCGACAGCCATCCGCAATATTCGCGTCCCCCTCGGGCCGTGTACACAATGGTGCTAAACAGCCCGTATTTATGGAGAAGGAAGAGTCAGATCCAATCACTCCCTCTCTGGTGCTAAACATACTCGTCTCTATACTCTTCACTGGATTTGCTACGTACTGGGGCCTCTCTAATTTTCGAATACCCAAACTATCTACCCTATCGCCCTGGGCAACACGCCCTAGCTCTGCAACTAGCGACCCTCATGCCCATTATTACTATCCCCACGCACCTTCATCTCAACCATTTCGAGTGTTCGTTGCTCTTTTTGCTGGAATATTGGTCGGGGTTGCCGAAGTGGTTGTTTATGCATCTTATCTGCGAAAGGTAGCAAATGCGAAAGCGAAGGAGAAGGCGAAGGTAGAAAAGAAGGTGTTCATCGGGCTGGTTGAAGATCCGCATTATGATAAGGATCAAGAACCTGCAGAAGGACCTGTATCTGTTTCGTTGAAAGATGGCAAGAAAGAAGAGATCTGGGGAAAAGGCACAAATGGTGGAGCCCGAAGAAGAGTCCGCGAGAGATGGAGGGAGAACGAAAATAAGTTGGGAAATGAATAAGACGGTAAGTGATCCGCTAAATACAGCTTGAATAGGCAGAGGTTTAATATTTACGGCTATAGATAAAAGTGATATATTAAGGGCAGCACACGTGGTGCTACTTGACAGTTTGAACGTTTGGCATCATGTTGCGCCTAGTTATATAACTAAAGTATTAACCATTTTCTTTGGCAACTGGGCAATCAACTCTGCATTGGGCCTGGAATTGGCGCGGCAGCTACTGCTATACGATGGTGTCAATTGGATATTCTAATTTACTATAAGAACGGAATCAAGTTTTTCATGGAGGGCTTATTTTTAAGCGCGGACACCAGGATACATGGAGAACATTATCTGATCAGCACCGGACACCGCTGCACTCTCCATGGAAGCCCTCAGCCCGAGAGAATATCTTCCGGCCCCTCAACCAAGTTTCCCGTACGATACCTTTCATGGTCTTGCCTTGGTAAGGAGAACACTTGTTTCTGAATAACATCGTGCTTGGCTCGACCACCCATTCCGCCTCATCATCGAAAACACATACGTCCCCGTCGTAACCAACAGCCAGCGTGCCCTTCGTTTTATCGCATGATACCTGTGCAGCAGTATTGCTACAACACCACTGAGCAACCTCTTCGAGGAACGGCTTTCCTGCAGGAGTCAGGTTACTTTTATATCGCCTCTGTATCTCGGTCCATAGGATAGGCAACCCAAGCCCCACAGATGATATACCTCCCCAGGCTTCCATAAAGTCTCCAGATTTTCCATCGCCCATGCTCCCAGGAATGTGACTGGGAAGCAACTTCAAATTTGGGGTGCAAGGCGAGTGGTCGGATACTATTGTTTTTATCACCCCGTCTGAGGAATGACGCAGTAACTCATCCCAAAGCTGGTCTTGATTGGCCTTTCCTCGTATTGGAGGACAACACTTGTACCTCGTATCACCGTCGTGGATATCTTCTGCTGCAAGAGACAGGTAATGAAAACATGTTTCTGCAGTTATCTTCGCCCCTTTACCACGGGCCTCGCGGAGCAAAGGGATTGATTCAACAGCCGAAAGATGCACAATGTGTAAAGGTAAGTTTGGTGCAACATGAGAAAGTGATAGAATTTCTTGTACGGCAGTGGTCTCAAGCTTAGGAGGCCGGGATGACAAAAAGGTTGAATAAGACGTTGGAGGCTCAATGGATGCTGTGCACCCTCCATGCCCCGGGCCCGGTGACCCTTCTGGCTGGGCCATTTCAGCATGGAACATGAGAACAGTTTTCTCATCTGCCAATTTCTCCATTGCGGACTTGATATCTCCTGATGAAACTGCCGGGAACTCCTCGACCTATCATAAATTAGCACTTGATCGTCAAACCTCAATATAGGAATAACACTTTAAGGGATGCTTACACCACTGTCAATTAAAAACCCCTTGAAACCCTTCACGTTATTCTTCACTAGAGGTTTCAGCTCGGGGGCATTATTTGGAACAAGTCCTCCATAGAACCCATAGTCCACCCAGCATTGGCCCTTTGCCGCTTCAACCTTCTCCTCCAGCCACGGGACTGTCGTTGTCGGTGGTATAGAGTTCAGCGGCATATCAATGACGGTAGTAACACCACCAAATGCTGCTGCTTGAGTACCTGTATAGAAGCCCTCCCATTCCGTACGCCCAGGCTCATTTAGGTGAACATGCGCATCAACAAGGCCCGGCATAAGAATCCATGGGGAATAATCTTTATACAAAGTACTAGACCCTGAGAATTCAGATTCGGGGAGCACAGTCTTAGAAATTGAAGTTATTTTGCCCGTTGTGGCTGAAATGACAATGGTTGCCGGACTAAGAGTCCCTGAGATGATAGCCCTGGAGGAAGCCATGACAACTACTTCAATCCCCTCAAGGTTTTGTAACGAACCCCGATAATCCATGATTATAAAATGAGAAAATATGTATATCCCAAAACAAAAACAATTGTTGACTACCCTAAAAAAACACTAGAAATAGGACTTTGTATATGTATACAACTTCTTCCCGGAAGTTCAAGAAGTAACAAGAAGCTCTCGCATCGTGAGGGTCTCGTTATAAGAGCTGCACGTGATACATGCCGGACAGCGGAGGTCGCCGCCCAAAAAAAAAGGAACTTCTAAATATCAGCTGGTAAAATCTAAGAATGCATGTATAGCGAATTTTGGTTGTCAACAAGGAATGACACTTCACAGCTCATCCTTATCCGTAGCCTCCAGCTCTGGCTCTTCAGTTTCGTCATGACTTGTATGATCCGCTTCGGAGTCTTGGGCGCCAACCGTCTTTGCTAGCTGCGCAATCTCTTCATCATACACAGTCCATTCTGGCACTTGTCTTCTTGCCCTGTCAAGCTTTGGCTCTTTGGTCTGTGGGTTATTACACAAATCGATTGTTTTTGCGGTCTTGAGTGACTCGTCGGAACACCAAGTCTCACACCAAAGCCAGTCCTGGGGAAGACTCTTGATTGGAATGGAATGCTGCATATGGTTTGGTAAATCTTGGTCAAGGTTAGATAAACTGGCTGGGTCAGCGGATAAAGATTGGTATTGTCCTCTGAGCCTGTCACCAGCAGCGATGGTACGGAACCGGTTCAGGTCAACGACATAGAGAGCAGAAATGTGGTATGGCTTGCCGCGTAAGAAACGCTTCCAGTATCCTTGATTCCAGAATCTGAACCCTTCGATCTCGGTACGAGAGTCACACATTGGTGTGAAGCCATAAGGTGCTCCTTCGAGATCAAGCGAGACAAGATCATACATGTCCGTACGGACAATCTGGTCTGCATCCACGAAAATAACCTTGTCTAGAGACAAGGGGAAAAGAACATCGAGAAAGAGGATCTTGTATCCCCAAATCTCTCGTTGTTTTTCACGCTGTGGACGGAGCCAGTGTGGCCATTTGTATGTGACCATCTCATATGAAAACCCGTATTTTTCAGCTAAATGTGGAACAAACGACTTGAAAGAGGGTGACAGGAATTGCTCAATGAACCAGAATTTGACAGAATGTTTCGTGTGCTTGGTGACAGAGAGCATCATAATGTTCAGCATTCGTTCATACAAGTGGCCGCTGGCGACAGAAAAGATATTTATATCTGCATGCTTCTCCTTTTGTGTTTTTGCTACACCAGAGAAAATGCCAGAAGCGAAATTGAGTCCCTGAGAAAGGAAGTTTTTTGCTGAGCTTGGCTTGTTACCTCCATCTTCAAGAACATCATCGGACTCGTGACCCGGCTTGCGGGACAAGCGAGGGAACAGTGTCTTTCCTTGGAACGATAGCAAGGAAACTTCGTTATTATCATCTCCAGGCTTGGGGGTATAGCCCATCCCGCCGACGCTATCGAGATTAAAAATTTGTTCGCTCCTACCGGGCTTCAATGTTATCTGCCAGTGACCTGGTTGAGCCTTGAACTGGAAATAACCGAGATTGGCCATGATGATGGTATCAGTAAAATGGGGGTCTTTCTCTGTACCCAGGAGTAATTGGACTCCTCTTGGGGGTTTGTTATTAGACATATCGCGGGAATGCCCTTCAATCAAGATATGCTCAAGCTCATATATAGCATCAACATTGGTACCTTCTTTTAGGGAGCTGAGCTTTATGTTATCTAGATCATGAACCGAGTCCTTGGGAGCCACGAGCCAGGAAGGAGGTACATCCATTCCGAGATTCAATAACGCTTCCTGAGGAACTCCATGGAAAGATGCTCTTGGTTGTCGTAGTGAGCCATCATCGTGAAAGGATGGCGCAGCCTCAAGAATGTGTCTGTAAAACCTCTTCACGGGCAGTTCCTTTATGCTCTCTAGAGGGGTCAGATATATCTTCAAAGAAACACTGCTGAGATTGGACAAGACTTTCAGGATGGGAATCCATCGTTGAGCAACTTCTGTTGCAGGATCCACAGTCGCAACAATTTGAATCAACGGCGTCTCTGTGTTTGAAATAGTGATAGCCGAATGCTCACTAGCCCAGTCATTGAAAATACCAGTGCGGATCATTGGGCCGCTTTGGAAAGTTCCTTGTGGGATATCCGAAATTGTCGAAAGCGCGACCATAGATGTCAATCTTGCAAATGCTGAGTGATCACGAATTTTATCTGTCGCTTGGAGTGATCCAAGGGCCTTTACTACAGGAGTAATACGCCTAGAGCGTTCATACTGCAGTGCCAATTCCAGGTCTTGAACATCTAGAATTGTCGTCTGGTTGAGAGGTCCAATTAGTCTCCCATTCAGGAGAACATGCATGCCATTTTCAGCAACTCCTAGCTCTGAAAGCACTGACTGGACGGATGAATAATACTTCTCAGAGTTAGATGAGGTACTCTTGCTCTCGACATCCTTGTGAAGCAAAGCAATGACAGAATCGGTTTTAAGGTCACGCCCGCCATCAAGAAGACTATGAAGCCCAATGGACAGACTACCCTTCTTAGCTGGCGAGGTGGGCTTATGCAGTATCAAGATCTCCACCTCAGGGTTAGCTTTGTGGAATTCAACTGCGTTAGCCAATTGCTTTGCGCCGTGTTCATTGTCTAGATCAATGGCAAGTGCGAGTTGAGCCCATTTTTCAATGGTAGAACCGCTTTTCCCAGGTATCCGAGGAATTTTATTAAATGCATCCGTATGTTTAGTATAAGCATCGTTAATACTCTTCACTGTTATGTCGCTTGCGTCCTCAGGGACAATCATTGGGTTGCACTTTGGAGATGCATCTTCCAAGTAAAAGCTAGGAAGCCACACATCCTCCTTGTAGGCGCCTTCGTAAATACGTCGCTGCATACCCTGCACATCTTTGAAAAGCCTGTCAATCAGGAAGTGGATCCAATTTTCCCCCCGTTCAAGAGGGATGGCATTGGCAAACATAGGCGGATTCTCCCCATCAGCAGCCAGCCGTTTGAGGTAGTCTTTTGATTTCGAAATGACAGCATCCAACTCGGTGGACTTCACAACGTCTTCGAACAAAATTGCGGATCGATCATCATTCAACACTCTGCCTTTTATAGCCGTCTCGAAATCAGCTTTGCTTGGTAAAGCGAATTTCTGAGCTGAGTATATCTGGAAAGATGTTAGAACGTTTTGTAGTTTCGACGGCAGTCGTTATGTAGTATTATAACAAACCTCAGTAAAGTAGCTGAAAACAGCTTCTAATCCATAAGCATCCTGCAGATAGTAGGCAATCTTCGCTTGCTCCCTAGAAAGCTCGCTGCGCTGCAGTGGAACCAACCCAAACCTAATGGGGACCTTATTCAAGACAAACGCTTGTATCTCCTCGACAAACAGTGTAATATCTTCTTTATTAGCCAAGTCTAACGGTAACACGACGTTATGAACTTCACGGCGGAGTTCATGGAACTGGCCCGGATATGTAGGTTGCAGGAGCTATATATCATAAGCACGTCTTCTGTTGAAGGTCTGTGTAATAATCAACTAGACTTACCGTGGTGACCTCGTCTGACCACTCTTCATAACGTGGATCCTTTTCTAAATCATTCAACCAGATTATAACGCCCCCTCCTTCAATGTCATCACGATAGTCAAACCGCTGACTTCCTTGCACAGTCTGAGCCTTTGAAATGACAGGATTAGACAGGAGTTTGACGGCTTCTTGCGCTGATAACCCAAGCTCATTGAGTGAGTTCATGAGTTTTCGCTCTTGTCTTAAATGGGCCAAAAGTGAAAAAGCATCAATATTTCGAGGAGACATCTGTACTCCATTAATCCACATGCTGTTTATACCAGGCTGTAGTCCCTCTCCTCTGTTTTCTCGATATTCAGTGAGAAACTCCGAGGTAGCATTGAAGGCAGCGATTGTCTTTGAGTGCCTAGGGAAATCATCTGATAACTTGACCAGAGTATCAAATGGGTCATCACTATTCATGACAAAGCTAGCTGCATTCAATCCAAGGCTTGACACTTCGGATGACGAGAGGGGTTCCAAGTCAGCGGTAGGGCTTTCAGCTAGACCGTCAGCGGCCAATGTTGGCTTCGTGTCTGGGGCACTCTGTTTAGAGTCTCCTTTTTCTTCAGTGCGGTCATCGATCATGATGTAATCGGTACGCTTTAGAGAAAGCTCTACACCATATCCACTAACGAAGAGTGGTTTTGCTGGGCCAGAAGCGGTCGTTGAAGGTCGATAACGGACCCTGTACGAGATCTCACCATCTCTGGCTCTCTTGCTGACTGCCTTGTGAAACTCGCCGAATAAAGGCGAAGTAATGTCTGCGTATAAAACTAATGATTGCTGGCTCTCTTCTTCATCACCGTTTGAAACAGCAAGCACACGATCAAAAGGCAGCAACTTCTCAAGTGACCTAAAAGCATGCCCGTTAGCAGTGTTTCAACCATTTCTCATCATTCCTCTGCCCGTTATTTTTTGCTCTTTAACAAATCACGACTCACGCACTCGTCCCTTCCAGCAATTAAAGGCTGCTGGGCATGCTCTAAAGTAGGCGAGCAATATTGAGATCCGTCATAATGAGCCCAAACCTGACACACCGCATCCTGCGCCGCCATCAACGAATTTTCAACCGAGGAGTTATAGTACTGGTAGTGTGCCTGGATTCGAGGCGCAGTAGACCGAATTGACAGCGCAAATTTAAACGACGACAAGGCAACTGGGTCCGTAACATGGCCATCTTCGCTAAGCACCTGGATGAACTGTTCGTAGAGGTCTTTCTCCGTCGTGGCATCCGCAAATCTACCGTCAGCTATGCGGTCGAGGAGGGGGAAATAGGACGTCGAATTCTCTTCAGCCGCTGTCTCCCTGGTATTATATGTCAGTAAAGAGCCATGTAACATGAATTCGGGGTGCTTCGATCTAGCCAGCTTACAAGAGTTCCATTAGGTATGGAGCCGAATGGAACGAAGCACTCAAGGCCACGTTGACCGACGAGCTGGCTTGAGATACATTGGGAAAAAGCACAAGACTAGCTAGGAATAGATTCAATGGCCGGAGAGGCCATGGTTTCGTAAACGACATTATCACCGTGTTGAGATTCCAGCTCTGTGCATATGGGAATGAATGGTTGGTTGAACTGCTGAAGGTAGCCTGGAGCTTCAGATTCCCTATTTCTCTAGTAGATGCATATTCTAGAGGGAATACCGAGCCGTCATGGAAGCCTGGCAGGGCTTGCTAAACGAATTGGCGATGCAGTTGGTTGTTGTTTATTATTTACTGCTGTTCACCTTCAGGCCACATTTCGTGTTTCTTTACATCATCAACACTAAAACATCAAGTTAATATACATAAGATGATGGCAGCGAAACTAGGATTAAATAATTATATTATAATACGTATGCCGCACTTCATATCTGTATTAGCTACTAATGAAGTGTCTTTAGCGATTATAAATTAACAGTAACACTTTTTTCAATCGCTGAGGGCACAGAGAGTACAGTCGGTCAGCCAGGCTTTCAAGCATCGAAGCGTACATCCAGTAGAGAGGCAAAAGAAATAAGGGAAAAAAGCACACAGGGGGCACCAAACATCCAGCTCAAGATAAAACACTAAAGAGCAGAGGCATTAGAAGCCATAGTTAGAACAGATACAAGAATCGAATCCCCCAATTGGGGCCTATTGCCTGCAAAGAATTGCCGTCGGGTTGGGTATGGAAAAAGTGAGTATTTGGTTAACCTGTGGGCGAGGATAGGGTATTCGGGTTTTGGTTCGTTTGTTGGATACGATCGCGAGATAGGCTTAAGAGGTAAATATCAAAGAATCCTTTAATCTTCCGAGCGCCGTTTGTGTAAAAAGACAAGGGGGAAATAACAAGAAACCGGTTCTCTTTCATTCCTGACCTGGTAAAGAGAGTCGTGCCGAGTCGTTTGTGGCGAAGACCTGGGAGAGGGAGAGGGAGGAAGGAAATTGGTTGCCAGATAGTAGTCTGGTGACTTGCGATATTGGTGGTAGTAGAAGATTTCGGCTGTTAAAAGTCTGCCAGGTCGAAAAAGAAATGAAACGAGAGGATGGTGTCACGGAAATTATGTATGCGAATGGGGTATCGTTGAAGTTATCCGGAAGGGTAAAAAGAAAAGAAAAGAAAAGAGGCTGCTGAGTGGCGGAGAAATGACACGTAGAGAAAATTCGTGAAAATTCGTTCAAAGGGCGATTGCATGTGCTCTCACTCAGTAGCTTGTCTGAGCTTGTGTGCATTCTTTGCCTCCCACTGCTTTCTCTGTTGTTTGAATTTGTCTGGGTCGAAGGTTGGCTCGTCGGTCATGGACAAGCTGCGCATGGTTTCCCTGAGGAGACCAGAAGACTTAATCTTCTTAACGGTGTTTGGTCGTTTTGACGGTTCTTTTGCCGCTTCTCTAAGGTCACCACGGGATTTTAGTTTCTTGATTTCCCGCGCAATTCTCTCTAGAGTCGATCCATTCGAGCCCTTGGCCTGTGTGTTTTGAGACAGAGGGGTGGAGGGTTTTGTAGAGTTTTTGGAGCTGCTAGAGGAACTCCCACTTGTGGATGGGCGTTCGGATGATGTGAAGCTAATTCCAGAGTCGACTTTTCTTCCTTTGCGCTGTCCTGCTTCGGTTTCTGCAAAGTGTTGGCAACCGGTGACTTCAGAGCATTCGTTGATGATATTATTGGCTAGATTGAGGTAGCTATCAATCATGCCTCTGGCTACAGGCCAGCCGGTCTTCTCGCCTGGCCGTCTGTCTTGCTCGATGACAGGTTTTAGTACCTGGACTCCCTTTTTCTCGAAGGAGGAAATGTAGTCGTAGAAACGCATTCGATGGTCCAGCAACAGCTTTCCATTAAGATGTGGAGTGGGCGGCCTGGAATCCAGCGGAGGGAAAAGAGTGTTCAACAATGCGATACAGTTGTATCTGTTGAATGGAGTGAGAAGCATCTCATTGACCAGAGCCTGTAACACGTTTTAGCAGTCAAAACTAGAATATATAATGCTGAAGGGGCACCATTAACATACCCAATATCTGATGCGGAGGTATACTTGAGTGTAGAGGGCAATAACGTCTCTCTCCTTCCTTTCTATGGCCTTGACCCACGCGAGGACACCTGGATACCGTCTCGAGAGCTCCAGTCTCTCGCTGTCGGTTCCGGTGAGCCCCAGTCTGTCAAACGCATTGACGACCTCTCTTTTGCGGCGGTTCTCGAGGTCTCTGAGGTAATCTAGCGCAGTCAGAGCCTGAGGGAAATCCACATCTTCCAGTACGGGTGGGAAAGACCGCCGAACAAAAGAGGTGATGAAGCTGGGCGGAAGAGAAGCTGGCTGCGAGGGTAGCTGCGCTATCTGGGCCATCATCTGGGCCTTGAACCTAGCAGCGGTGTCTGACATGGCAGAGTCGCTTGATCCGTGTTTCTCATGACGTGAAGAAGGTGCAGAACTGGTTGGAGACGGAGTTGTCGGAGCTCGAGAGAAAGCAGAGCCAGTCAAGCTAGGGGATATGCTGGACAGATCTGCCGTCCGGGGAGAAGAGTTGAGAGTGTACATGGTGCGCAGAGGGATCTCATAGCTGCCGGGATATGCCAGTAGGTGCTCCAGGATCCATGGCAGAGCAGCTCCCTCGCTGCCGCTAGAGGAGAAGCTCGAGTTCTGGCTGCTCATGATGCACCAGCTTCTTAGAGGTATCGTGTAGATGTCCTTCGCCCTGAGGGAGAGAGGAAAGAAGAAGAAGAAGACGAAAGACTAAGGCCACGCGAGGCGTGTTAAAAGGATGCGTGAACAGGCCGATCTCCCTGCTGCAGTGGAAGAGATGGCTTGTTTCTGGCGTTTGCAAGACAGGCGCGCGCGCTGTCTCTTGTGTGTGTTGACAGGATGTTGGTGGAAGTTGTTTTTCTTTTTCGTTATTTGTTTACTTGGTTCGCTTGTGTCCTCCCCAAACCAGTCATCCTCATATCTCGATCATCCAACAACACCCACAACCAACAAGCGCGAATCAAGAACCAGGAAGACGGGCCTGACCGGAGCCTGGAAGAAGAGGGTGGAGAGGAGGGTGGAAGAGGATGAGGGTAAACAAAGCTCCAAAAGAAATGGAAAAAAGGTCAGCGGACGTCCAGATCAAGGCTAATATCAACTGCTAACAAGGAAGAATGACAAGATAAATCCGGGCCCTGGCTCGATACGCAGAGAAAGGAAATGAAAAGAAAAGAAAAAAGAGAAAAGAAAATCAATAGTCAAACCGGCGACTCCTCTAATGACCTCTTTCTTTACTTCCCTGACGAAGCAGAAAGCAGAGGGAAGAAGAGAAGAAAACGACAACACAGAAGGGAGACGAAAGGCAAGATAAAAGGCGAGTTATGAGATCGAGTCGTCACATTCACTGTCCCACCCCCGAGACATCTAGATCCACTGCTAATAACAAGCGCTGTAAGATGTATATTATATTTCTTTTACATGCAGGACGGAGAGAGTACGTGGGGACTACGAAACCCCAGGGCGCCACACTTTACTCCGTACTTTTATAGATCGGATCCTCCTTATTATACATGACTTTCTACTTGGCTTTCCCAACGGGCTGGCTCGTTAGTCGAAACATCCTGGGAACATCCAAGAACGCTGCTGTTCTGATAGTGCACATCATCTTTGCTAACGGAGTATGTATACGGAGTACATACATATCTTTATCTGCGAAAAGGGGGTTGCTCGACATGCAGGAACTCTCCTCTGTGGGCTGGAGGATGTATCTTTCTTCTTTCTTTCTTTTTTTTTTCTTCTTACAGGTACGTACTCGCCTCGTCTGCACTACTTTATGTACGATGTAGGACTTGAGACCTGTTGGAAAAGGCTACTTTTTGTATTTGGCTTTATGCATCTATCCCAGCCTCTGTGCCCCAGTTGGATTTTTGCAGCCCGGAGATGTTTTTTTTTTAATCTTATAGTTATGGAGGACCCCGAACCCTTAGGAGGGTTTATATATCGTGCTGCCCAGCTAATAAATACGTATACGATATCAGATATGCCATCCTTGGAAATTTCAGGAGCTGGTCATATTTTAGCAAATCTAACCCCCATATCGAACAGCGGTTCAGGGATCTTCGTCGTTTGTGTATATGGAGATTTAAGTTGGGAAAAATAATAATTTTTCGCGATATGATGGGCCCTTTTTTCCTCTTTTCTCCCTATGAGCGACCTACCCCTGGCATGCTCTTCCTGGTTTGTACGCTTACTTATTAGTGCCTGCAGGTTGACCGCGTCTCTGCTGTACACTTGTCCTCCCGCAAGTCGGCGCACTTATTCTCCTTGGTCAAATAGTCAAAAAGTCCGATGGGATGTGGCTTTTTTTTCCCGTGAAGACGCAAGGCCATCTTCAAAATTACACCAGCGTCCGCAACAATTGGCAAACACCTTCTTGTGCCTCTTGGGGCTGTCCATCTTCCGCCAGTTAATACAGCCAGAAGCCGTCGGTGGACATGACGATATGGGTACGCTCGATCCTGTTATCCGTCTTGGCGTCTGCGTCCTGTGAGCAGTTTGGTATGGTCTGAGAAGGGGGGAAAACGGGATCTCCATATCAGATTCATACATGAACGCAATGCATTCCGTTTGTGTCGAGTTATACCAGCCAGGCTGGTTTAGCCTGTCAGGCTAGGGTCGCCGCCTAGTTGCAGGTAAACGGATTTCTCCTCCACTCAGAACAAAGCCGATTTTCAAGATACGAACAACCCCCCATCGTTATACTTTCCGCTCACACCCCGTTGAAAGATGAGCTCTCAGTTTTTATTTCACTCTTCTTACTTTTGCCATGGGAATGGGATCGTAAGACTCCGCGCCCAATGATATGGTGCATCGGGTCCCAAGAGAAAGTATGGGAAAGAAAAGAAAGGAAGAAAAGAGGCGGATGTGCGAATCACAGTGGTAGACCGTCAGATCGAGGCGTGGGTTCGAACCTTAGTGAGAAAAAAGAAGAGAAGATGGACCGAAAATGTGGCAGATCAGATTTGTGACAGTTAACACCTGTATCTATATCTCCACATCCTCCGTGGCGCCTGAATTCGATAAATTTCAACCAAAGCCTTATACACGCTCCCCCACGGCAAGATACAAATTAACATGACATCGACAGCATATTTATAGCACTTGTCAGATCGCTTAGATAGCTATGCAGCGTGCAGCACTCGGCAAATGTGCTTATATTTAAATCTATTGCCCCAGAAGGAGAGGCTAAAAGGAAAAAAAAAAAAGGGCGTGACAAACCCTGGTCGATGGCTTCCGCCTCTGTCTCTCTTTCTTCTGCTCCTCTCCTGGCTGGACTTGAGGCTTTAGCCTCTTCGCCAACGGTTTCTTCGGAGGCATATCCATGCCATCGAGTAGCGAAACGGCTTTTGGGTTTAACGCACAGAGCTCGATGTAGTATTTGATCAAACAGCTAATCAATATTGGGAAAGCTCACGTCTCGGCTTCACGCTAGAACACCTCCACGGCACGCCGAAGAAAAAAACGTACCCGCCAGATCAACACGAGGGAGGCGATCAGCGATGCCAAATGAACGAATAATGGGGAAGAATTCTCAGACAGAGGTCTCCAAAATGAACCTCATGCCCCAGTCATCAAACGTCAATTGGGAGATCAAGAGCGGAAATGGTTTTATACTTGTCGGTAAACAGTTCCTTACCCATGTTGACCATCCTGGAACGCACAAGGGAAGATCCAGAACATCCTTGTGGGCTGGGCGAAACCGATGCTGTGAGAAAGAGACCCCCCCATCCAGCTTCCTGCACCCTGACTTGAATGCATATAAAAGTCAGCTGCTATTGTCTAACCCCCCCCCTTCTTGTGTGGCGATCACCACTGCTGTCAATAGCGTCTTAAATCGTCAGTCTACCCAAAGGAGGTGCTCAGATAGATGAATTGGAGAACAGGTTTCCCATGTCGGTTCGTTCTCGCTGGCGAAAATAGGCGCACTAAATAAGTCAAGTTGCATAAGCATATACGCGAAGGATGATAACTGGGTTCACGCTTGATCATCCAGAACAGCGTGGACAACTCGCAAAGCCAGTACTAGCTGTTGCTCTGGCTGCACATCACAACTAGTGCCCTGTATCAGGCAAGCCACCACTTCCAGAGAACGCAAAGAACATCCCCACGGCAAGACAGCCAACCATGGTACTGCTCTTTATCCATGTTTATTCCCCTCATATATATGCTGGATACTTCGATGTATATTCCAGTACTCCGTATGTATCTGAATTCCATCCTTTCTTCTCGAAATCAAATAGAAAAATCTTCGCAATGTCCACTTTCTGTATATCACGTGGTGTTATCCACTTTGGGACGTCCCGTGACTTTTGCCTTGTGCATCTCGAAATCATGAAATTTGGAAAGATTAAAAAACACGATCTTCATCCCGCTGGAAAACCGAATGATATCAAGTATATCGTCATATTATTAGTATATACACTTAACAGGCTGGGGGAGTGACGAAAGACCTGCATCGGAAAAGGCGCCCGTCAGTGGAAATGGAGGCTGGACACCTTAGTTTTGGTAGGTCACAGGGCGGCCACCAGGGAAGTTTTGCCCAGCTTCACTGGCTATACGGGATATTTTTTCTTTTCTTTTTTTTCCCTCTCAAGGTTGGCCAAATCCATATCACTGACATGTCCAAATTTTAGTGACGCTTGATGTGTTCACATCAGAAAGGTTGATATCTTGTCCACCTTGATAGCTTCAATTTTCCCCTCTTAGACTGGGTTTGAAAACCAGCATCCTGTATGCAGAGATGGGGGTAGATCTCTGTCGGATCAAACATTATATCCCAGCCAGTTACAGTCAAAACCATGCCTTTTCCACAGACCCATACCATTGTTTATTTTTACTTTCTCTAGATGTCTAACGCTTTTCATCTCATGATCATGGCAGGTATGATGGAAGCCCACTTGCAGTGGTGCGGTTGAAGAAGGATGACTCCCTATCCTTGGAGAGGAGGATGCAAATTGCTATAGAATTTGGGTATAATAATACCGCTTTCCTATACGAGCCATTTTACATGGAGAAAATTGGCAAAAATGTTCGAAAATTGGAGCTTTTCGGTGCGACAAAGGCGCACAAGCCTTTGGCCTTCGAGGCCATTCTAGGCGTTGCGTTGTACATATTCCAGGAGAATCCTCTCAACTCAACAACACCGGTACCTAGTCCGCGTGGGGGCACAGAAGCAGACAAATCCGCATCTGCAGCCTTTTTGGAATGCTTTATCCAGTGCGATGACTTGGTATTTCGCGCCGAGTATGATCCCTTACGTCAGGTAGGAGTCCTGCTGATGCCGCACAATATCCACATACATGGTCGAGAAACGAAAAAGGACGAGATACTCGCCATCCAACCAAGCCTCTCCAATGCGGAGGATGTGAGGAAGCTGAGGGCTTCGTACCCTATTATGTCGATCGCTACTGGAGTTACTTATACCTTGGTGGACTTCACTAACAGCCCTAACCTTCTCAACCTTCTGGAAGCCGGTGAACCGCCGACACCCGAACTTGATACGAGCTGGAAACAGAGGGCCGTTGATGAATCGATGGTCCACCGCCACTACGGTGCGGTGTACTTTGTCCAAGACGAAGCCGATTTCACTGAGGAACCTTACATCACCAGTCTCCATGTACGGGTGATCCAGGACAGTGTTGAACAGACTGCGACTGCCGGCGCCTGTTCCACCCTTGCAGCATACTTGGCGCTGCAGAAGGGAGGAAATAATTCAAGCCATGCATTTGCGATGAAGCAAACCACCACAACGGGCCGATCGAGCCAACTGTGCTTACAGATCGGGCTGGATGAGAACGGCACAAGCGTTAAGCGGATCGTTCTCTCTGGACGTTGTACCCTGATCAGTCGAGGTACATTAATGTAGAAGAGAACCACGCACCCACTACATCCATAACCCTGTCTTATCCATGTATATACATATACGGCCTCCTCATTTCCATATATCCGTGCGTTACTTCTCTGACGTTTGCCCCTTGTCCTCTGGCAATGCCACTGTTCCTCGATCTGTTCCTACATGCATATAAGTAACAATACGGTTCGTTCATCGTATATTAATATTTCTGTATAAATATTTACATGGGTCGAACTATTTTGCAAAAGTTAATATGGATCATGCATATAATTTCTGCGAAGGCAAACCCGCCGCTGCCTCTTGCCACCATCTACTCCAGACATAGCACGGACAGAGTGCCCCGTACAAGATCACTTTGGACGGAAGGCTGATACACCCCTAACAGCAATTCTAGAAGACAAGCCTATACACTTTGAAGAAGCTGTGTTTATAATTTATCTCGTACAATTTTTCGCTTGTAGGGGGTTGTTGGTACCAATAGTTCATACACGAGCAGTTCCAATAAGATACCTATGTTATCACCATCTTAGCAAGGATCATAAGGACAAACACATATGTTATCATATGCCAGCCTATAGAACCTATATAGAACCTATACATATATCACTCCTCGTTCTCCTTTTATTTGAAACTCGAGTCTCAGGAACTACTACACTTTAAACAAGTCACACTTGAGTACTCCGTAGTTCAAAGGCGCAAGGGATCATGCTTTAGGCCTGCTTGCAGAACTCATAATAGGTAAGGGTCATCTATCTTCCATTCACTCTTGTACCTTGGCCCTGTATACTCTGTGACAGTTCCTCTCATCGTTTTCAAACAAACATGAAACACTCTCTTAACGTCTATAACCATAACTATATCACGTGATGTTATCGATAAGATAACTACCTGGTCATGAAAACACAGAAAAAAAAAGCGACTTTGCGACGTTTTAACGGGATGACATTTCGGTTCTTTTTCTTTTTTTAAAACAGCACTTATTACAACCATCTATCTTGATCAAACTGTCCGTGTTGCAAATCCGATTGATTAAATTCTATTAATAAAAAATTAGTTATAGAATACCGTTGCCGAGGCGATCGGCCAGTGTGCCCTCCAGTGTCATCTAGATATGGCATCACCAACAATCATCCTCCCCGGAGACACACTGCAATTATCACAGCCCAATGCTCCTAAATTAGGACCGATCTTCATCTATGTCATCACAGGCCCAGTC